TTATTTAAGCCCAGCTTATATCCGGAAAACATTGAATTTGAGCTTTTTCTAGCCATCAGAACCCAGAACTCCCATATTTTCAGGATATAAGCTGGGCTTAAATAAGCCAATGCCCGCAGTGATTACGTGTCGCGACGCGTTATTTGTGTGTGTTTGGTCCAGTATATAAGTGCGACCTTGAGCTTTCTTTTCTTCCTCTTACCAGAGCCATGTCGTCCATACGCTGTCTGTGTCATTCCGATACCTTTAACCGCTCCAGGTCTCTGTCCAAGTCATTCACGTCCATGCTACCGATGTCCTGTCGCCGCTTCCAGCCAGCTATTCTCCCTTAACCCGGAGAAACACTTAACCTTATATATTCACGACTGCTTGAATTCCGCCACCTAGCTTTCGCAAATCTTGAATAACCTCCGTGGTTTGGGTGGGCGACGCTTACCCGGGGAATTCAATCAAAACCAAGCATATCTTTTTCCACGCAGTAGTCGCCGCTTCACGCGTACCGCTGAGTCCATCTCGACCCGTTTATCTCATCTGCTATGATTCGTCGAGCGGAACACCCTATCGCCCCTTCGGAAAGTGTTTCATTGCTCGAATTACAGTCACGCTTGCCACTTGTGCATTTATACAGATTCTAGCTTGTGCTGCCTCGGGACCCCGCTTCTTTGCTTGGCAATGAAAGGGAAGGCAGTGCCGGAAAGGCTTAGAATCAATCTCCATGAGTGGACGAGTGCGATTGCGACCAGGACAGCAGAGGGGCGTCGCGGTGTTATGAATGGTGTTTCCCCGACGAGGAGCAGACTTCGTACAAGCTGGAGAGTTTTGAGGATGCTCTGTGGTACGTGCCCTGGGTCACGCACAAACCTTGATAGGTCAAACTCACCCATCGTCGCCTTCGGTCGTGGCTTCTCGTGGACTAAATGCTTGACGAGAGCCGAAATGTTCGGCTCATGATTTGCTGCTCCTCGGAGCGAAGCATTACGCACTGGATGATTGTGGTCCGAGTCTTTGACTCTCTTTCCTTGAGCTGTGGCTTAGGCTACATGCTCTATCCCGGCGACTTTTTGACCGATTTCGGTCGCCGCGAGCTGTCTCGGCTTTCTCAGTTTCCACTCGCAAGAGGGAACGAGAGACAAGGGTGGAGCTCTGAAAGGCCGGCGTGCTTTCGAAATCTCATGGCTTCGCGGTGACTTGTATAATGGAGAAATGTATCGGATTCGTGAATTGGCGAGGACTTATGAGGTCGTACAGGAATGCACGAAAGCGAAATTGCGTGGCCTCGTTATCAGCAGGCATAATTGCTTTGCTTTGTTTCACCCGCCCCCAATAGCTGTCTTCTAATGGCACTACGGATATCGCTATGAGTTAGTAATGCAGTCTCTGTGCTCGGTCGAGCACTCTAGCTCCTTATCTTTGATGCAATATGGTTGGGCGGCGTCCTGTTCATCTTGTGGAGAATGTTTGTGGTCCTGTCCATGCAATGTCACTTGGAACTCTTGCGAAGACCTGTTTGTCGAGCTCGTTCGTTTCTCTCTTGTATCTGTTCTTCTCTGTGACAGCCTGTTTCATGTGGTCATGGTCCTCGATGTTGAAGAAGCTTTGATGATATGGCTAGTTCCACTCGTCGCATTGTGCTTTTGTTTTTCTTTTGTCTGCGGATGGTACTCCGTGTATGCGCATGTCCTCCCGATTTAAAGCTGAAGTTGTTTCTCCTCCGGGGTTGTTGCAACAGAGATTCGTTCTCGATGCCAGTGATTATCGTGGAGTTGACCTCTCGACTGCGCGGAAGCGACCTGATCGTATGACTACGCACAAAGCAGAGTATTATGTGACGGGACTGGGTAAGCAGCCAGTGAGATGTCTTCTTTGCTTTGACTGTGGTTTACTGCGGCTTGTTACTCTTTCAAGAAGACTGGGTTGCGAGTGGCGGTATGTAGTTTCGGAATGGCGAGCAAAAAGGTGGTCGCTGCGTGGACTCTGCCGTAGAGATCTTTTCAGGTGCAGGAATGTCCGACTTCGTATTCTTGGAAACGGAGACTGGGTGTGTAGAACGATGCATGGGAGGTCGTCCAAGTTGTGCACACGACGAGGATAGACCGTGGGGCGAGGACTGCGCCAAGACACATCAGCCGCCTGTACTGCCGGTGGTGGTATGGGGTAAGATTCGTAGGGGGAAAGCTTGGCTTCGAGAGTGGGCTGAACCAATTTTTGGGAACATCTTCTGTCTTCGAGACAGATTCATCTGTGACATGGTCTTATCCATGTACTCCATATGGAGGTATGGACAAGGTGAGCGGTCCACCTTTCCTTGATTGACAGATTTCCAATGGGTTCCCTTTCATCGCAGGGTTGTCCCCCCGAGCTCATCTTCATCATGAAGTCCCTTAGGTCAGTTCCATCGCATATGGTTCGACGTATTACTGCTTTCTTGATGCAATACCGCAGTCTACATATCGTAACCGTATTGCGAAACTTAACCTTCGTTGGCAATATGGATAGACGGACAACCTTTTGGTATTTTACTCTTTCTCAAGTTTAACATGATGGTGTCCGGCTGCAGACGATAAATGTGTGCTCAAGGGTCAAGGGAGGTCTATTTTTTTTTTTTGGTACTCTTGTAGTGCTAACTCGTTTCTATCTAGGTATCATCTGATGCATTCCATCACTAATGAAACTGGGTCGCGTCGGTATGATAACCTCCGCAAACTCGACTCGCGTTTCAACGTGGAGATATTCTAACTTTTTCTGTAACAAGTACCTTTATGTTTGATGACCACTGCATATTCTGGACATTGGTCATATAACTAAGACGTAACCCACTCGACGACAGCCGACTGATCAAGAAAGTATATATGATAAAGAACAAAAAGAACAAATTACCTCCCATTTCCTTTAGAACAATTGGGATCGTGCATGGTCTGCGTAGTTTGCGAATAAGAAGCAGGAGCCCTGGACTAATCAGACCTGTTGCGACCGATGGCAGCAACAATGAATGAGAAGAGAAGAATCGAAAAAAAAAAAAAAAAAATGGTGCGAAGCACTCATCCATACGACACGTATTGTGTTTTCGAGAACAATAGAGGCAGTTTTCCGATCCTATGGCAGCTGTATCAGGTTCGGTGATAAATTCATACTTTTCTCTGCTGGGAAAACCATTGGGACATTGATTGGACCTGTGGTCCACACAAAGTGTTCGGCATTTGAAACAGCCAGCGTGACGATTGAGAATATCGCGTTCGACCTGAGTAAGAGCGGGGGAGGCGAACAGAAGCGGTAATGTTCACTTTACTGAGGTGTTGCTTGTTGTAGACGTTGGCTTTGACATCTTTGTTGGTACGCTTTTTTCATTCTGCTTGTGACTTGGCAGTATTAGCGATTTCTTCTAGACGAGCTGAGCGTCTCTCGTCGAAAGCCTCAACGGCACATATCTACTGAGTCACATCTTCTTCGGTTATGTTTTCGTAATAGTAGTCTAGAGCAAGTCCGTCGTCCATGTTATTTTCGAGTAGACACTTCATCAGAATGTCGTTCAGATGAAAAGCGGTCCCTCGTAGTAAACAGTTTTGTGACTGGCATTCGATAGCCCAGTCGCAGAACGGTCGCGAACCTTGCTTACTGTTGAAGATTTTTTTGAGAACACCAGCTGCCCAGTCCAGCAGAAGACACACGGTACGTAGCTCGGACATGTACTCGTCGAAAGATAGGGAGCTGATTCGAGCTTGATTCACTTGATACCAGTTCCGCACTTTTGGATCCTGGATGCTCCAGACGACTGTTCGGACTTGTACTGCAGCTGGGGTCGATTTGTGCATGAAATAGCATTGACAAGATATTTCCCAAGCTTCGATAACTTCAGGAGTGAATGTGCCGGGAGTGAGTATGTCGGGAGCCATGATAGTTCTGTGAACAGCTTTTTGAGAACAGTGAGAATAGAGTGAGGATGGATAGGAAGACGGCGGGAAGAAAGATAATGTAGTGTCACGAGCAACCGGGGTTTAAGTAGTTCGTTGTACAAACAATCCATCCACATGAGTAATGACATATAAACAGTTGCCGCGGCGAGTGTCAATGTCCAATGACCAGATTACAAGTGTTACCACAACGGTAGAATTCGAATAGCAGAATAATAAGAAAATAGGATCAATGAGAAGCCTTACCAGCGATAATTTTACCACCAGCACGTCCGCGAGTCTATTTATCCTTTAGGTTCAAGCTGACCATTATGTCTCTCGAAGATCTCTATGGCTCTGCGGGAACAGTCCAATCATCGCGGTTTGTGTCTTTAACAGTGTTACTCCTCAGTTTATGACAGCTGATAAGCCAGGAGAAGGTGTCAGTCAAAACTTTTGCGTTGTTCATATTATTATGCTGGGTTATATGTAGTGATGCTACATGCTACAAAATCAATTGATATAATCGATGATGTGATGGATGAGGTTGGACCTGCCTAGATACTATAACGGCCGACATCCGAGTCCAGACGTACAAACATAGGGGTTCAACGGATTAGGTCGACACCTGCATTTTCTCCAATGTCACCTTATGCCCACCGGTCTCAATATACACGGGCCGGTTAAGAGCCCTGATATGTCTGATATACGTTGGAGCTGGAACTACCACAAGACCTCAGGCCTCAGGCTCCAGCACGGTCAAGTGACTTTTTAACTCCTAAGGTGGTCGTAGTGAAAATCCATTTATATTCCATGGCTGAGATGGACTCACTCACGTCCTTGCACTTGCACCATGACGAATCTCCCCGAGCCAAAAGGCGTCGCTGCCATCCTCAACCCAAACGCATGTCCATCTGTCCATCGCTCCATCTTCTCTGACTTTGCCCTCCCTGGACGCGTTGCAGTCATCACAGGCGGACACAGAGGCATAGGCCTCGAAATGGCGTTCGCGCTCGCAGAAGCGGGTGCGATTGTCTATTGCGTCGACTTGCCAGCATTTCCCGATTCCGACTGGGAAGCAGTGAAACAGCATGTTGACAAGCTGTCCCCCCTATCTGAGGAGATTGTACGAGGCGCTGCCAACAAGCCGTCGTCCAAATCAAAGCTCGTATACATCTCTGCAGACGTGACAGACCAGGACGGCACGCGTGCTGTATTCAAGCACATCGCTGAAACGGAGGGTCGCGTAGACGTCTGTGTTGCATGCGCAGGGATCCTTAGGAGTGCAGAGTGCTTGGAGTACCCGGGCGACGAGTTCAGGAAGGTTCCTATCATTCCGACTAGTATCATGCGTCTTGGACGCTGACATCATGACGTCATAGCTGATCGACATTAATGTCAACGGGGTGTTCTTCACGGCCCAAGCTGCTGCACGTCAGATGGTACGCCTTGGCATCCCAGGCAGCATCATCTTGATTGCATCCATGAGCGGTAGTATTGCAAATAGGGTCCGTAGTCTAACCTGCACCAGTCAGCATTAATCATAACAAGATACGTAGGGACAAAATTTCGTCGCCTACAACACTAGCAAGTCCGCCGTTCTCCAGATGGCTCGGAGCATGGCTTGCGAGCTGGCCCCACAGAAGATTCGCGTGAACACGATCTCCCCTGGCTACATTCTTACCGAGTACGTCTCTGTGATAATGCATGTGTGGGATGAACTGATGCTGAGTACTTGTGCTTTTTTGGCGTGAAGTATGACCAAGGCGTATCTGGATCCTCAGCCTAAGCTTCATGCCGAGTGGTCGTCGCAAAATCCCATGGATAGACTCGGACGACCAGACGAGTTGCGTGGTGTTGTCACCTGGCTTGCATCCGATGCCTCTACCTACTGCACCGGTAGCGAGTAAGCTAATTCTGCATTCACATCCTTTACATCCTTGCTCACAGACGTCGCCTCTTCTCAGTATGATCGTTGACGGAGGGCATAGAGCTTGGTGAAGGGGGGGAAGGGAAAAGAAAAGGAAGTATATGTATTATCTGTATAAATATATCAATGTAAATGGAATGTAGCATCACAGTCACCCGCATCTTGCCCATCTTCTAGTTCACCTTCCTGTACACCTCTCAAAAGGCAGAATCAACTTGGAGATGTCTGTGGATTGCGGGGAAGTCTTTCCCAGAGCTCTCTCTTCTGTGCCGTCGACAATTTGACATCAAGGCCAACGTATGGCTTTAGCTGAGAGAATCAAATTAGAGAAACCACAAAAAGGAAAGGCAAAACAGCGCGCATACTGTAGATTCTTTCATATCCGCAACAGAAGGTGCGATGAAGATGCGCACTTTTTCGTCCAAGAGACGATACTTTGCTGAACCTCCAATGACATGTTTTCCTGGAGCACCCGTGCGGTGACCACCTGGAAGAAATGCTTGCCGAGTGCCTATATTTTGATATTTTTACTGTCAGTCACTACGAAGAAACGCAGTTATTTTCACAAATGACCTTTGTAGAAATCCTTGTTTCCACGTTTTGGAGTGAGTGCTCTCCGAGATGCTTTGGACAGACAGACTACAGTTGGATGCATGGCGCGTTCAGTACAAGATCGTTGAGTTTGCGGTAGGAAAAATGACTACTGTTTCGTGGTTAGGGTTAGTCGGCCCGAACTCACATCTAACCATGATCGAAAGAAAGACTGCTTACATTCAACCATCTCACTACAAAAATCAAGCATGGGCAAACAGAAATCCTCCTCAAAGCCTTCATCTTCCAGAGGGAGGGGAAGCAGAAGAGGTGCTCAACGCGGTGGTAGACATCCTCAATCTCGAACATCCGAAGGTCAAAGCGCATACGAAACTGGATTCAACGAAATCCGACCAGATAGTGCAATCGACAACGGCGAAGCTCAGGATGATAATCAGGACGCCGACGGTAAGTATCACCCCATGTATTACTTGTGCTGCACTTCTCACATTTTCTCAGAAACGCCGCAAAGGGTCAAGATCGAGGTCCCAGTTGCCATGTGGGTCAGCAAAGACCTGGTTTACCGTCGAATAATGGCTGATCATCTTTCTGCTCTCAAATACTAGGACTTTGACCACTGCGATCCACGTCGCTGTTCAGGAAAGAAGCTCTCCAGGTTGGGTTTGATCAAGGAACTCAAAGTGGGATCACGGTTCCGCGGGATTGTCGTTTCGTGAGCATCTTCCTCTCACCCCGTCAGTCTACCAGGTTCTGCATTTCGAGATGCACCCTCTCATAAATCCCAACCCATTCCACCTTTTAAACAACCGCTTATTCACTTATTCAGACCGAAAGCTACCTCGATCATAAGTCCAGCTGACAGAGAGATCGTGCAAGCCAACGGCCTCGCCGTCGTCGAGTGTTCGTGGGCCAAACTCGATGACGTCCCGTTCTCAAAAATAGCTAGCCCGCATGAACGTCTCTGTGCGTAAATATTCCTGAGCATTCTGACTTGCGATCTTATAGCAATATCCAACAGTGCCATATCTAATGGCCACGAATCCCACAAACTATGGAAAACCTTGGCGTCTCAATTGCGTCGAAGCTCTCGCCGCTGCATTTTATATCACGGGCTTTGACGAGTATGCAGAGACTTTGTTAAGTGGGTTTGGATGGGGCGGGTCGTTTTATAAAGTCAATCGGTGCGTCAGGCATTTCCTCTAGGTTCAAAGCTACGAGAAGCTTTCGTAGCTTTTCGCCGTCTTGATACGGTCAACTATATGACGAATATAGATATTCTGACTGAATTTCATTATATTTAGAGTCTACCTCGAGCGATACAAAATGTGCACATCAAGCGCAGATATCAGCACCGTCCAGGAGACCATTATCCAAGAACTGGAGGCGAGCTATGAAGAGTCACGACGGGGAAAAGGTACGTTTTCTTTTTGTCGCCGGTGCTGGCAACCATTGGTGCTAAGCTAAACTGTCAATTTTCGGGGCTTAAGCTACCAATTCGGGGAGCACAGAGGATTTGTTGATGCCTAATCCGAATCATGCACCATTGTCACCAGATGACGATAGCGATGCGGAATCTGCGTCTGGATCAGACGAGGGAGGAGGCCCAGGAGAAAGAGAGAGTATATCTGCAGACTAGAGCTGGCAACATGCACGCAACGCAACTCACTTTTTTTTTTTTTTTTTTTTTTTTCATTTGCAGTTTTTTGATTGGGCTCAAACAGTACATGGGCAATAAGTTATTTCAGTCCCTGGATTGCTGTCCAAAAAGCAGTGTACAAGCTATGTTGTGAAATGGCACATCCAAATCTGGGTTACCAGTATTGCACCTGAAATCTTCCCTGCTATTACTATCCTTTATCGGTTCTCTTCTTGACCTTCCCCACTAAGCACACATAATCAATGATTGTAGGAGTATCACCAATGTGTGTACACCTGTGTTGGAATATATTTACGTTTATATAAAAGTTGCAATATCAAGAGCGGTACATGTAACAACTAAAGTGTTTGATGGAACACCCACACTATGGGTACTTCTACGGCGTCTAACGAGGACCGAGTCACAGGAAAAAAGGAACACAAAGCAGAGTTCTGATCTTGTGAGTAACAGAACTGCGTTACAATAGGCACCCAAGCACCTACTTTACGATTTACTTTTACTTTTACTTTTCATTTTTCAAGTCATGTGACCACTCATTCTACTTTATGTCGGATATTTCCATTCCTCGTTGCAAGATCACGTGATTGAAATGATCTGATAAGACAAGAAAAATTGGTTATTCCCAGGAAGGTCCCCAGGGCTATTCTGGGACCCTCCCAGGAACTTCCGGCCATACTGGAGAGAACTATTATTGAGACAACCACCTTTACATAAACAAACTTCCTTGTGTGTGTGCTGCTTCTTCATACCATTCCACCGGCATCATTCAGTAAGTGCTAAGCATTAGATCATAATAGCAGGCCTAGGTAAGCTATTAAATAGTATATTCTATAGCTTTACAGAGTCATCAATTAGAAATTACACTATCAGAGTATTTTCTTCACTGTTCTGCCCTTTTCGCAGATACCAAAAACCAGCTCAACAACCTTTGTTTTGTCAGCATAAGCCCTGACAGGTATCTACTCAGTTGGAGGTTTCCAGGCTTAATTCAGCCTTCAGCATATTTCAAGATGGCATTTGTTGTTGATTGCAAGATCTCACTGAGGCAGTGCTACTTAACCAAGGAGGCAATAGCATGTTTGAAGATGAACTGGATGTGCACAACACTGTTGCATCTTGCTGGCTTGAACCAATGGAGGATCAGTGTGGGATCAGAGCGTGGCAGTGTCTTTTACACTGTCTGTGCAAGTTTTCACTTAGTCTTGGTAAAAGGGACATGTACCTCCAAGTTGATCTCAAGGCCTATCACAGTTGGACCCCATGAGATAGAAATAGTACAAGTCTTGTTGTGACTCTATGATGATAATGGAGTGAGTGTCTTCTCTTGTAACAATATAAGGCTAATATTTTTTTGCTTGCAATCATATAGCATTCTCTTGCAAATGAGCTCCCAAAATTCAGCTCATGTGGGGACCAAATCTAAGGAATCAATTTTTCTATTGCATTCATGTCATGGTTGTCCAACCCATTCCCTGTCATTCCTCTTGCCATTGGATTAGAAGTCACGGCTGGTACTCTGTTACTTTTGCCTTTCTTCTTCTTATTTTCCTTTCACACTTGCATCCTATCATACTTACAATGTAGGAGATCCATCTCCAACCCCCAAAAAGATATCCCAATGGCATAACACTGATCAAGAGCTATGCGCAGAAATACTTTGGTGAGAGATTAATCAGCGATACAGACTGTGACTCAGCACCTTCCCATGGGCTTGCTGATCCAGCCAATCATACATCCCTTACTAAAGACTTCTCCCACACAATTGTAATTATGATAGATCATACCATTTCTTCCTTTTTCTTATTGGTTAACTATTTGGTCAGACCACTCTTTTATCTTTTCTCCTTTTGGTCTGACCTCTGCTGTTTATTATATAAGGAGTAGATATTCTATGTATTATTCCTTAGTTCAATATTAGTTTGTATTTGCGTTTATATCAATACTCTTCAACATCAATACTCTGATCCACCGCCTTCTTCAAGGACTTGGCCAGACATTTGTTGTTGTTATATAGCTCCATATTCATTGCCTGACAGCAAGAAGCCCAACAAGAGCCTCATCAGGAAAGACCTAGTTGCCTTTTATAGCTATCATAGCCACCATAGTGCTATAGTATGCCTAGACAAGTCCCTATTATATAGCTCTATATAGCAGCACTATTTTGAGCCATTTGCTATGCCTGCTATAGTAGCACATTTGTGATGTACATCATTGCCTTTACTATGGCTGCTTTCATAGGGTATAAGAGAAATCATAATTCTGGATTCTTGTTTCAAATCAATCATACTAAATTTACTTGTACTATAGCATATAGCAAACTGTCAGTATTTATTCCTAATACTGTTATATGACATGCATAGAGTAAACTACTGTAATGAAGTGAACCCCCACAAACTAGAAAATTCTCTCAACTTCCTGTTTGGTCTTAAAATACTTATTCACTATGGTCAACATTTAATATTATTGTATAAATACACTTTGACAATACTCACAGAATTTCATGAATAACTTGATAAGTTTTCTTTATAGTTTGTCAAGCCTTGATGAATAGTGCAAGCATCTGTTAAGTGATTATAAGTATAGGTATAGATATAAATGGAGGAATGTACTTTGGCTTGTTAACCTATTCACACATATTCATTGGAATCATTGCCAGGGCAATCTACCTTGCATGATTTGGGGTGTTTTTATGATCGTGTCCCTCAGCGTGATCATTCCTACTACCAGTTATATGGGTCCATTGCCTCTCCGACTTCACCACAGATCCCAAATGACATTGCCAATCTGTTATTTGCACATGAAAAAAAAAACCCCTATCTACCATCGAGAACAAAATTGTAAATGACCTGCTCGACACCCACCTGCATTTTTACCATGACCATTGCAAATGGTGTGGTGGAATTGTTATCATCAAACACTCTTGTTCAGATCCTTCTGCCGCCACACACCTCTCCCAAAGAGATATTGGCCTTTTGAATATCTTGGTTTTTGTGTACGTTCTCTTACTCCCTGTGTTCTGTGTTTTACTAATTTTCTACAGCGTCATTGCATTTTATCACCTCATTTGAGCCTGCATAGATTACTGTACTGTACTCTCATTTGACTGTTATACATTTCTAAATTTTCAAAATAAAAAATTGGTGTACCGCGTTGTATACAGACCTTGGTGTATACTGTTAAGTGGCCTTTTAGGTGCCAGGGGTGCCCGGAGGGCAATGCCATTATATAGAAAATATTTACAAAATGATCATGCTCAAGGCAGGCAACATAAAGAGAATATTTTGTAGATAATATTTATAAAATTATCCAAGGATCCACTCTAAATTGCATTATCATTGATCCTAAGCATTTATTATGAAACATTTCAAACTCATATCTTCCTTATATTCAACCCTTATCCACAGCATTTTTTTGAAATTATTTCTAATTATCTTCCAGACTGTTTTCATCCTTGAGTTGCAGCTTTGATTCACAATCAAAGCTGCAGTCCAATGGTGAACATGTCACATGTCACATAATTCCTTGTGTGACTATTTTCCTGAAATTTGATTGAATCCTGCCAGCTGAGTTGTTCTGAATCTTATCTAAATGTTTGATGCCATTACATCATCATGGTGCCCAGTGAAAAGTTGCAATCTAGAAATATGGGAAAAGCTTGAAATAGAAGTAAACATATAAATATATAGACAAATGACAACATATCACGGAAATCAGTGATCAAGTGACTCATTGGCATCATCAGGAAAATGCCGAGAACTTAATAACGACTTTTAGCAAAATGTTTGACGTACTGAAAGATTTTTGATTGTTTCAATGTGAGCTGTTGGTATGACAAGAGTGAAAACCCCCATAATCTGTGATTAATTGATAGAAGAAAATGGGTGAGTCTTATGCTATCTGACGAGAGGGCACCAGCAATAATGCTCTTTGTTCACAAGGTTTTTTCCATCCTATCTGTCCTTATACTTCTATGGTGTAAGAATTTTCACCCAATAATATGTCCTAAAATTCGCTCAGATTAACTGCAGTCATGTTATAACAGATTCTTACTGCAAATGGCAATAACAATGGTCGTGTGAACGACTCAGCATGTGATGGCTCATTCGAAATTTTTGCTCTATCACCATCTCACAATGTCCTTCTTTGATGCGGCAAGTAACACCGCCATTCTCGCTGACGCTTTTTGCAGTCTGTCACTCAACTCACGCAGGTACTCAAGCAGGCTTTCAAGCATGGTCACAGTGTAATTCAATTTAATTACTACGGTCTCAGGCTTAGAGGGTGGTACTGGTACTGTCACGGTATTATCAACATAATAGGGTAGTGTTATATAGGTTTGTTTCAAGTTCTGGGATAATTAATATCTTCCATTCACTGCATTGTACCCAGAAACAAATGTAGTAATAAAACTATGTGAAACTCAGCCGCTTCCCAAGAGGCTATAGAAATGACTGAGGTATTTCTATACTAAACTCCCTACTACTTATAGCCGGAGGTGCTACTCGCTATAGTATAATGACTCCTAGGAGTACAATTGTGCTCCTAGGAGAACAATGGTGACTCCATGGAATGGTGGCTATGCTCCATGGAGAACAATGGCTGCTTCGGCAGAGACCGGGTTTATCCAGTTTTGTCATGTAGAACATGTTATCTCATGTATATCAAGCACGTGCTTTCTTTACTCAGGATATTTGTATTCTGATACTGCTTATGCTTTAGATGCTTTGCGTAATCGGAACAGACAGGGGCGCAACTACTCTGATAGTGGCGTACACCACTTCCCTTATATGTGCAGTCACCACTATCACGGCATGACACTGCGTCATTCTTCGCCTCCAGCTGCACTATGTGCTACGAAGTCACTATCTTTCAAAGTTTCACTCAACAAATGTAGAGAATATGGCATGAAAAAGAATATGTCCAAAGCAAACAGTGATCCGCCCTGCTGTCTCAATTTTCCTTCCACAGCGTGCTGACTGAGAGTGTCCACACTGCAAGCGTGTATTTATAAGGATGTGAAATGCACCAATGAATCACCCGAGGTATTGCAAAAGTGCTAAATCTCAGGCTGTTAGGTGTGCTGGTAAAGAAGACAACAGTGCTGGAGATAGGAGGCCCAAATCACTTTCAATTTTAGACCTATTGGAGGTCCTCCCACAGTGTCCTGGTGTTCAGGCCGCTATGTCACCTACTCATCACCGTTTAACGATGGATGTTCTCGAGTGTTCCACATCACATTCAAGTACATTAGACTGTATGGATGCTAACTGTGATATATCCGATTCCAGTGATGTCCGAGGTGGCAATGATGGCAATATTTCTATGCCCCCCGAGCATGATTGTACCAGATCAATTTTGTTAGGCGAAGGCGAAGTTTGGGTTGAGTATCAACCAGCTTCAGGAAAAGAACCAAGGATCATTTCACCATCCTACTTAGAGACACCTTCGGTCACAAGTATACTTGCTCCACCTTATGCCGCCGTGGCATCCTTTTCACACAAGAGCTGATTTTGAGCAGTCAGAATTGTTCATTTGTACTGGTGCATCCGATGCAACTATTAATACACAGCTCAAGATCATACACACCGCATCACCATTCTCCTGAAAGCAACAATAATATTACGCTCAAGTCCGCTCAAGACTTACATGCCACTTTGCATGGTATATCAACAAATAGCAATATTTCATCTGTAAGCTTCTTGAACGCTCCCTCTTGCTCACATCTAAGGTTAACTCTGAGGCGGTATTGCACGGAAAAAATAGAAGTACCCTACTTGAATCACGATACGCGTAGCTACTCGCTTCGCTCCAAGGACCCTCTTCCTGTAATATTGGACATCATAGAAGATGAGACCATACACAATTGTCTTATGCTCTATCCCAGAACGTCGGTGTAACAACCAAGAGTTAGTTACTCTGGTGCACAACTCAGACAAGCAAAAGAGTAATGAGTGGGAGTGGTTACCTCTTAGGTAGGACCGAGTTAGTTGTGGGTAAACAACAGGAGGACTCGCTGAGGAGTCTCCTGGATCTATTGGGTATTTACACTACTACAGGTTTGTTTGTACATATGTACTATAGAGTTAATGGAGGCAGTGGCTGATGATGTCATGGGGCACAGCCTGTGTGACCAGCTCCACTGCATGAGATACTTGTAGCTAAAATAAGAAGAAACGCAGCACAGCGCAAGAAAGTTGGAGTTTGAACAAAAAGGAAAGTGCTGCATGGCGTAGTGTGTGAAAACTATAGAAGAAAGTTGAATAGGAGAATGAAAATTAAAGGTCCAAAAATTGTGTATCGTAACAGTCGGTATATTGCAGATCCTAATGGGGGGATCATGAGGATGTGGGAAGAATACCCGTGGTATGTTTTACTCAATCATCAGGTAACTGTGTCCCATGACTCTCTTCTGGCTGTATAGACACGTCTAGGGAACAATGCAGTAATAATATATGTACAGATTTACACAGACTCCACCCATGTCACAGTACACGGAAATGTAAAGTACTGGGGTGTTTATTTATGGGTCGGTAATGTTACGATACACAATTTTCGGACCTTTAATTTTCATTCTCCTCTTCAACTTTCTTTTGTAGTTTTCACACACTGTGCTATGCAACACTTTCCATCTTTGTTCAAACTCCACCTTCTCGTGCTGCGCTGCCTTTTCCTTATTTTTAGCTACAAGTCTCTCACGCAGTGGAGCTGGTCACACGGGCTATGCCCCATAACATCATCAGCCACTGCCTCCATCAACTGTATAGTACATATGTACAAACAACGCTGTAGTAGTATATAAACCTCAATAGATCCAGGAGACTCCTCAGCGAGTCCTTCTGTTGTTTACCCACAACTAACTCGGTTGCATCTTAAGGGGTAACCACTCCCTCTCACTACTCTTCTTGCTTGTCTGAGTTGTGTGCCAGAGTAACTAACTCTTGGTTGTTACGGGTAATATCCCAAAGGCTGATCAAAATGATCGAGGAGGCTGTGGTCGTGCATCGCTAACTGGATTCTTACCATGTGTTTGTCTCTGTTTCTCTTCATTTCAATTCAGCTTGATGTAAAATGTCAACTTACTATAGGTTGCTGGAAGGAAAGGTGACTCTCCTTTGCGTCTTGCTCTTCATCGTGTTCAAGTATTTCATGAGGCTTTGTCCTGCATCACCAACAAGCTGGAGCTTGCTTCAGTTCATGGGGTGATGTTTTGATTTGGCAAGGCTATTATGAAGGGTCATACTATCTCTATAACCACCATGGCTGACTATGAAGAGTAAGCTTGTTTGGCAGCCATATTAGGTGCCAAAAGTGACTTTCCCTGGCTCGATATGCCTTGTTCTAAGGCACAAGCAAGCAATGCTTGGGAAGAAGTGGCCAGCAAGAACAGCAGCTACAACAGAGTTGCTCATAGCTGAGGCAATGCAGCAAAAATTTAAGGCAGAGCGCAAACACATTTTACAACAGCAATTTCTTTGTCCTGTAAATGTTAGTATATACTATCAGATTCAAGTTAATGTGTACCTCTAAGTGTGCCATATTGTATCCCAGAATGCCTTTGCTCACAATCTTGCCTGGTGGTTTGATATATATATAGATCTTTTGCTCTAGATCCACTCCATCAGATTGAGCAAGGAGAATGGGGGAAACATCTTTGGATATGGCTTTCTGGTGCTCTGCCAAAGTCATTGCTAGCACAGATCAATCATTGGTTTGTGATTCTCGCCTTCACTTCCCCAACTTGCTGATTTTTCTGTAGCTTTCAGAATTGCCCCCCATTTCCAAGAATACATCATTTCAGCAACGGTGTAACTGATCTTCATTTTATATCTGGATCGGAGCATGGTATTATCTTATGTGTAAGTCATGTACATTGTTCTATTTGGTGATTGAATCTGGAATTTCAGGAGTTTTAGTATATATCACCTTTCTTAGCGGAACTCCTGTGGCCAGAACATGAAGCTACCATCCTATGACTCCTACGCAAACTCAGTATCATCTACCTTTATGTCAAGTATATTATGGTCCACACCCAGGTTACGCTGGATGTATTAAGTAACCACATTTGTTACTATGGGGAGTTGGCTGAAGCCCTCAGCTCGGATAAAAATCTGTGTCTCAAGTTTTTGTATCCCAAACATCACTTGTTGGATCATGTCATAGATCCAAGCTGCGAGGTCCTCCGTGGAGTCACTGATGTCATCACTGGCACACGACCCTTGAGGCTAACTTGACCACTCAATTTTGTTCTTTACTAGATTCGTCCTTGGACTCAGATCATTTTGAAGGCTGTTCAGGTCACAGGTCACAGTGTTGTCTAACTTGAACATATCAGCCTTTTTTCAAACTCAGGTAGACAAGTAGGACTCAAGCTTGACATTCGTTCAAGTTCAGGTAGGTCACGCTCTTTGCTAGTAATTCTCATAGTGATGTCGAGTGGTGAGGACTTCCATCATATTGCAAACTTCAGCTAACTTTTGTCTTTCAGGTGTTGATGATAACCACAACTTAGTACCATGAAAGGTTAAGAACCGCCAGTTGCAAAGTGTGCATTATTGCTACTAGAGCCTACAATCGGTTTTACTGACAAAAAATGCATTGGCTATAGGCTCTCCAAGCTCAGCTGAAATCAAAAGGGGCGATGAGAGGCAGCAATTTGTCAGAGACAGAGGATGGAGATGAAAGGATTGCAAAAAAGGCAAGGTTTACTTCAGATGATGAAGAAGATGTATAGCAATCAAATGCACTTGTCTTATTATCTTGGTGGACTGAAGAACGACGCACTGCAAGCAGGCAAGAAATTTGCCGTATGCGTAAACCTCTGAGTGGATCCAAGTGTCCTCCGCCTCATTCCTGTGAACATCAATCCTGACAGTGAGGAGGAGCATAATGAAGAGGGAGAACGTTCTCCTATCCAAGAAAATCTTGCTTCCTTAGAACAGGCCGATTTGACGTTTTTTGCCGAAGTCGTTGCGCCCGTATGTAGGTCAAAAATGGTTCTGCAAATGTGTGAGTCTAAGCTAAACATCCTGTTTATTATTCTGATCTATTAGTTCTCAGTTTGGGGAGGGGATTCAAACCATCAGGTCGAACCAGGTTCACGTCCTTGCAGACTTAGTGCCCACCTATATTTTCAAAAAATTAACTCATCAATTCGGGGATAAGGCTTGCAGGCCATATATTCCTGCAGTTGAGGCTCTCCTGAAGGATAAAAGGTTTCTGTATGATTGTGAGCCACTGACAACAACGGATAGACTGGCTGGACATATGCAACACCTGTGTGTTTTGAAGGTACAACAGTTATCTTAAAGCAACATTTCTGTGTAGCCATTCAGCTAAATCATCCAGGCTTTACACTGCATTCTCTTAGGACCCTCCGCGGTGAAGAGCGAGAATGGTGAGAAGAGCTCTAAATCACGCAAAGTAAACTCCCGCCTTTGGAATATCACCAAAGTCACAATTCCTATGCTGGCATTTGCGGCAACTGTTGTGTGTTATTTTTATCTGCGATAGTTTACCAGATGATTTGTAACTTTTGTCAGGTATATTTCATTCTAACAGGTGAACTTGAGTTTGCAGAAGAGGGGCTGAATCACAATTTTTGTGCCTTTTACAAGAATCACATAGAGATAATGCAGAAAATTGCTAAGGGGCATCACAACCTTATGGACTACTACAATCGCTCAATTTTCCCTCATGCTCATATACACGTTGGAGACAAGTATAAAGGTTATGACAAGGAGGAGAGGGAATATCTGGAAGCCTTAAAACTTGAAGAGATGGAGAGCAATGATGAGGAAAGCCAGGTACAAGACAAAGACAGACCAAACTTGAACCACTTCAGGCGACCACTTTGGGTACACTTATCTTTTGTCCATCGTCTTCGCTACAGCTACACCTACCACACGCTGCCTGGGACTCACTTGTTCCAAATTGGAACTACTCCTCTCCCTCCCTCGTTTGATCAGGTGGTCCAACACAACCAGTCCATTGGTAAGGCCATGGAACTGTCGGATTTGGACTAGGTGGTGGACCGGTGGCTCCAGTTTCTTTTTCTTCAGCAGAACATTCATTTACAGTGCGATTATTTTTGATTTTTGAATCATTTTTATGGACACATATTTTTTTAGAATGCCTGACTGACAATAAAGGAACTGTGTTGATACTGATAGTGTTTTGCCTTGCCCTTTTTTTACTGCATCTTCCCATGACATCATGATTTTCCTGCTCTCTTTTTGCTATTGGACTTTACTTTATGGCTGTACAAACCTGTGACATTACTCACAGCATTCATTGTTCTATCCCTTTCTTTTCCTTGTTTGACAATCTTATCCTGTACTACCTACGCAGGATTTGTCAGCGTACATTCCTTCCTTCATGTTCTTTCTCATTCTTTTTGCACAGCTATACTGTGCATAGCCTACTTTTCTTTTACTATACAAACCCCTGTATTTTACCTTGTAAAAAAAACAAGAACTCAATTCCAGACTTCTTCTCTAATTTCAAGTTCACTACTCTGCTGCTTGTGATCCAGTGTGGTCACAACACTTCCCACTGCTACCACTGTCAATTGCTGTCATCGTCACTTCCCACTTTTGAAGTCATTGTCATCCCTTTCAATTAGATTCCTTCTGAGCACTACAGTTTGTGCGTCAGGAGCCTGCTATCACTGGGAACCTCGTCATATTGTTGTTCTCAAACCTACCTTGTGCTACGATTAGCAAGGTAGTGCTCATCTATACTCGTCACTAAGCCCCTATCTTCTATAAATTCAACTATCCCTCCTCCTCAAAACCCACACTCATACATCTCTGGGTTTTACTTTGAAGGATCTTCATACATACCACCCCACGAACAACCAGAGCACCCACTGTTCTAGGAGGCAAAGCCCATAAACAAGTTCTGTGGAATCTGGGAGGATTGTGTGTTAGTTTGTTTTTGTGTGTGGTTTTCTAACAACAGTTCTCATCTTCAACAGCGGATATGGAAGACTGTGTCATCATTTACATTGACGATTTATTAATATTTACAGAGTCGGACGATGAGGCTGAGCATGACAGGATCATGCAAGAAGTCCTTCGACGCTTACAGGAACGGGACCTATTTGTTAAACCCGAAAAGTGTAATTTTAAAGTGAAGGAAGTAGACTTCCTCGGTATGATAATTGGCCAGAACAGGATCAAGATGGACCCTGAAAAAGTCCAAGCTATATTGGATTGGCCTGAACCTACTCACATCAAAGGAGTTAGGGCCTTCCTCGGCTTAGGCAATTTCTACCGAAGATTTGTTGAAAACTTTGCGAAGATAACAAGACCATTGAACAATCTCACTAAAAAGGATGTTGTTTGGCACTGGGGCGCCAAAGAACAAGAAGCTTTTGATAAGCTTAAACAGGCATTTACGACAGCTAGAAACTGACTCTTCTGACTTTGCTACTGGAGCTGTCTTGTCAATCAAATGCCCTAACAATCTTTGGAGGCCTTGTGCCTATATATTGCATAGTTTGTCGCCTACAGAGTGTAACTATCAAATTTACGATAAAGAGATGCTGGCCATCATTAGAGCTCTAGAGCACTGGTGGCACTACTTGGAAGGTGCTAGGCACCAATTTGAAATTTGGACCGATCATAAGAATCTGGAGTATTTTATGACAGCCCGAGACCTGAACCGGAGACAGGCCCGTTATGCAGTGTACTTGTCTAGGTTCAATTACAAATTAATTCATAAGCCTGGAACTTCTATGGGGAAAAGCGGATGCTTTGTCCAGAAGAGAGGATCATGCCAACGGCATTGAAGATGACAACAAAGGTGTAACCCTGATTGACCAATCAAGGGTTGCCAATGTTAGAATCGGGCAGGATTCTGATCTTCTGGAAGTCTTCAAGAAAGACATCTCCTCAGAAGAGAAGGTGCGCCTTGATGGCAATGAGAACTATTTATGGGAAGATGGGCTCTTCCATTTTAAAGACAAGATCTATGTGCCTGAGTCCGCAAGGATCAAGACAATAGATAGACATCACAACACTCCAGTGGCTGGGCACCCTGGATGGCAACGAACAATGGAGTTGATCTCCAGAAACTACATGTGGGCCTGGCATGGTCAAAGACGTAAAGGAATACATAAAATCCTGCTTAAGATGTGCCATGGCTAAAATTCACATCAACGCGCCGGGAAACTATGCCAAATCCGATACAGCTACCAGCTGGTCCCTGGCAAGATATATTGGTTGACTTCACGACGGATCTACCTGAGTCAAATGGGTACAATTCAGTAATGGTGGTAGTAGATCGCTTCTCCAAAGAAGTAGTATTTATTCCCACCAATAAAATTATTACCGCCGCTGGCACAGCAGATTTATTTAAAGATTTTGTATGGTCTATCCATGGACTGCCGGAAATGGTTATCTCCAATAGGGGACCACAATTCGCTAGCGAGTTTACGAAAGAGTTATGTCAGATGCTGGGCATCAAACCCAAATTATCAACGGTGTTCCATCCGCAAACTGATGGACAAACAGAAAGATTCAACCAGGAGTTGAAACAGTATCTCCGGATATTTATTAATGACAGACAGACAGATTGGGCCAAGTGGCTAAAGATAGCCCAGTTCTCATATAATATTAAACAGTTGTCGGCTACAGGAAAGGCACCATTTGAGGTAACGAGATCATACCTCCCGAGAGTAGGTGTAGAACCTGGCAAAAGCAAGAACGAGGCTGCTGGGAACATGGTCAAAGACATGAAGTCTGTCTTAGACGAAACGTGCAAGGCGCTATTTAAAACTGCAGAGCAGATGAAAGACAGGGCAGAGCGTAGACGCTCTAAGGTTCCTGACTACAAGGTCGGCAACCTGGTCTGGTTAGACACCGACCACTTAAAATTAAAAGATCGGCAGTCTAGAAAACTGACCGAAAAATGGATTGGGCCTTACCGGATTAAGGAAGTCAAACCAAACACAGTGGAGCTGGAACTCCCAAAATGAATGAGGGTAGTACCCACGGTCAATATTAGCTGTGTGAAACCCTATAAAGGGCCACTGCCGGGACAGCGCGTAGACCGGCCCAGACCGGTTGTAGTCACCCAGGAAGGTGAAGAAGAGTTCAAATTTGAATGAGTGGTGGATGCACACTTGAAGCATGGAAAATTAGAATTCCTAGTCCTATGGAAGGGCTATGGAGACGAGGACAGAACGTGGGAACCAGAAGCCCATCTGGAAAATTCCCGCAATACTGTTCGTGAATTTAATTCTAAGAATCCCTCGGCTCCTAGGAAGCTTAGAGGCATGGATTCTAAACTTTTTAATTCCCTTTTTCAACCTATGCCCAAAAATCTAACTACTACCTCCGGTACTTGGTTGAGTCTGGAAGTCGAGCCTTAGAGGGGGGGGGGGTAGTGTTACAATAACACATTTCCGGACCTTAAATTTTCAATCTCCTCTTTAACCTTTTACTGTAGTTTTCTCACATTGTGCCATGCGGCACTTTCCTTTTTGTTCAAACTCCTCTTTCTCGCACTGCGCTGCCCTCCTTCTTATTTTAGCTACAAGTCTCTCATGCAGTGGAGCTGGTCACACGGGCTGCGCCCTCTGACATCATCAGCCACTGCTTTATCAACTGTATAGTACAACATGTACAAACAACCTGTAGTAGTATATATACCTCAATAGATCCAGGAGACCCCTCAGCGAGTCCTCCTGTTGTATCCTCACAACTAACTTGTTGAAGCTTAAAGGGTAACCACTCCCTCATCATTTATCTCTATAGTTGGTTCTAGTTGTGCGCCAGAGTAACAAACTCTTGGTTGTTACAAAGATAGTCATTCCTCAATAACTTCAGATCAAACTCACTGGATGGACAGCTTGGACATTGTCAAACAATTTGTTTTGGCCACAGACACCACATGGCTTGCGAGATTGGACGAAGGAGGGCTCGGTGGATTGCAATTGTTGTATGATATGCAACTTGTTGTCTGCAGATGCAATATGAGGAAAAGACGGAGTTGTGACAGAGGGGGGACATAGCTGATGGCTTGCGCAACTTTGTCGCTGGTTTTCCATCTGCTGAAGGGTGAAGGGACGATTGATTCTGTTGAGCGCAAATGTCTGCAATAAAGTCACATTGGTGTTGACAATTGCAATCACGACAATCACTCTTCAATTCACGGAACACATATCTGTGAAAGTGCATACAAGACAAACCACATTGATGTGCAAGCAGATGGCGGATGAGAACAATCTTGACGGGATTCTTCGCAACATGTATTGCATGGGCACGAGCTATGACGCTTAAATTTGGCACAGTAAGATGTTGAAAATGTTCAAGGAGTTGGTGAATAGTTTCAAATTGAGCAACTACAATAGGTCCCATAGGCCACAGTTGTTGGGGAGAATAGCCCTCATTGTCATGAACATCACAAAAAGTAAAAACTACGCCGAAGTCGATAAGTGCTAATGAAGTTGCCAGCAACTTTACCATTCCCACATTCATAATCTTGTTCAACAACCGGCAACACTATCATTGTGCAAACATGCAAGACAACCAAAGGAAACATACAATGAGCAAAAAGGACAGAGATCAGGAAGGATGAGAAGGACATTAAAAAGAGCACTCATCGCAGTGAAGAAAGGGAGGAGGGACATTTTGGGTGCTTGAAGTGCTTGAAAGTCCAGCAGATGACGAGGACGGTATTGAGGGGTAAAAGGAGGTTGAAGGAGATGCAGATGCAGATGCAGATGGGGTGTATTGGTAAGACTGATGTGAGCGTGCAAAAGCACGCTGGGGAAGGGAGGAATACGAATGGTCAGGCGGGGGACATGAAGAGCACAGGATGAACTGTGAAGAAGAGTCATCGTGAAGAACACAGGACTCAGAAGAGTTGGCTTGAGCTGTCGGTAGGAAGGAAAGTGATAAAGATTGAAGAAACGAAAGCTTGAAAAGCAGGAAAATGGCCGGGAAGAGAGGTGACCGGTAAAAACCGGTTGTTCAGACTCGGGATGATGTTCCGGTGCCATTTCCTGTGACAATTGTGAAAATAGACCTGGTAACCTATGGTACCAGGGATATATGAGACAGTAGTACAATGATTTTACTAAAAATTCCAGACTCAAAGCTGTGAGGACAGGCAAATGACATTAGGGATTATATTTTAAAATTTTGCTTCATATTTTCCTTAGATATAATTGGTACATTTTTACAAAAAAATCACTGTAAGATCACACTGCAAGTCTAGCTATTTTAAGTCGATCCCCACAGTGTTATCAGGCCAAATTCGGGCGAATTAGGAAAAATGGATTATTGCGACATTGATACATTATAATGTGATGACAACCTGGAGTATGACTTAATAGTCTGGTAAGTAACTTCAGCAGTGTGATCTCAGTTTGATTGACGCACCTGCAGGCAGATCAATCAGTCTTTGGACTACTTGCAGGCTGGCGACGTCATGAGAAGGCACTCCTTACCCTGGAACAGGCATTTCGTTGACATCGCCAGCTTGTTGATAACGCGTCAAGTGTCTTGTCCAACTGACAGCCACTTGACGGGAAGGTCCGGGTTTGTCCTGATCTGCTAAGGCAAACCCGACATCTGCCTCTTTTGCTGATGTCAGTGATGCTTTCCTTAGCTTGACACGATCGCAGTGTAGTCAGGGGTTGGTGGACACAGATGTGAAGATTGCCCTCAGAGTACTTTTCGACAATACCAGAGAGTGTGCCCGCGCAAAAGACTGTTTTGAGATACCGCAACTGTCACAGTCGTTTTGGTTCGAGCGTCTTATCAGGAATAGCTACTCTCTTTTCTCTTTTCACCGCTCACGCATCACGCGTGCTACCAAACCATCCGTTGCTACAGTGAGTACTCATCATTCGTGCCGCATTTGGCTGTTCGAGGTGTCTTCGTAGGTGCGTCAATAGCCTAAACAATACATCTTTCATATTTAACTCTGTCTTTTCAGCTGCAACCCGTAGATGACCACTTGTGATAGACTCATCTCAAGTGCTGCCTTCAACGTTCAAGAGATCAACCTTTCGCTGCCTTTGTTGGTCCTCAGCAACTATGTTTTCCACTTAGTTATTGATCCAAGTCAATGAAATTCTTGCTTATTTAACGCACACCGGGCCTCAACAGCACATCCATACATGCTATTGAGCTCTGGTCCCATCGTTCTGCGATTGCGTCTCACCTGTTACAACCCGTTTTCATAACTTGGTCTAAAAGGGTGACATTTGACTCACCATCAGTACAACTTCCTGTAGCGAAACGCGCATTGTTCCGTGATAGATCTGATTGAGAAACAGGCAAGACAAAGGTCAAACATCAGTCAGTGGCACGAGTAAGGTGGATACAGGACGTTCAAATGCCGCGGCACACAACGATAAAACACGGTTCAGCTACAGGTGATCCTTTCGTATACGCGTAACGAATATCCAAGCTGTGAATTCTCAATATTCCTCGCTGTAGGCCTCATTGTCTGGCATCAGCTGTCAAGACCAGCTGGGAGCGTGATGGTAAGAACACTGCCTTGCTCTGACCATCATGATGGTCACGAGCCTTCTATAGCATTATAACAAATGCTAAGCGCTTAAGATGTTTCCCTTAAGTACTATTTTTTGGTCATAGTACGTCTCCTTCTCTTCGTGTCCCCTTTGTTGTTTGCAGGCCATGAGTTCCTCTCTTCCAACTGTGAATGTAGATGATCGTGATGAAAGTATAACTTACTCATCAACTGGGATATGGTGGCTTGGTGGTGTTTCTCAAGAATATGACACCACCACTCATGGTTCAACCCCCAACGGAACAGCGATGTCGATATCTTTCTCTTTTCAAGGTACGTTAGTTCTCTGAGCGCTTATGGCGTCCCTTGAACAACTTTCTATGCTAAAGGCTCTCGTGTTATGGTGTATGGCACTATCCCTCCTGCAACCTTGAACAACATCGTTCCTTCTGTCTCTTATTACACGCTGGATAACAACGCTACCGCAACCTACACTGCGCCGTCTACTCAATCCACCTTGTATCAGCAGTTGTTCTATGACTCGGGTGATCTGCCTGAAAGTACTCACAATGTAGTCATCAGCCCTCTCACCAGCCAGAACAGCACTCTATGGTTCGATTACTATGCATATGTGCCTCTGTCAGGTTCGTCCATGTGACTAGGAATAACAAAGTGCTAACCCATTCACTGTGCTGCAGTCACCACGGCTACACCAAACACGGGTCCTCCTACAACAGGGGCGACCGCTATTTCAGCGCCTTCTGCAAGTCCGACGCCCCCCGCAAGTCCAACGCCTTCCACAAGTCCAACGCCTTCTGCAAGTTCAACGCCCCCCGCAAGTTCAACGCCTTCTGCAAGTTCAACGCCTTCTGCAAGTTCGACGCCCCCTGCAAGTCCAACGCCTTCTGCAAATTCGTCTCCCCCCTCAAGTCCAACGCCCTCTACAAGCTCAACGCCTTCTGCAAGCTCATTCTCCAATAATGGAAAGTCTACACAACTTGTACCTATTCTAGCTGGTACGCTCGGTGGGGTTGTCGGTATCGCGATTCTTGCGATTCTTGGGTTTCTCCTATATCGATGCCATAGACGTTCTTATGCCTCGCTAGCAGAAAACTCCTCATCACCACCACCTCCAGGTATGCCACCACCAGTCATCCGTTTTTTGAAAATACTAAAACCTAGCTTCTCACATTAAAGACGTGATATCACATATGAACGAACCATATCGTGATGCTCCTACTATGCCAATTGGGCACCAGCATGCCAACTCGATTCCTTCCAACAGTACGATGTCTGCCTCTGCGCCCAATACACGGTCCTCGGACGCCAATTCTTCCCCACCAGGCAACTTCTCATCGCCACCACCGCCAGGTATGCCATAATGTAGCGGCCATCCTTTTTCATACTAATATCTAGCTCCCCAGAAAATCGCGGGTTACCACGCGTGGTCGAACCGTATCGTAACGCTCTAACTCCATCCTCGTTCACAAGCGCGCCTGGGTATGGGCATGGGCTCGTTAGCTCACCTCCTCTCAACAATACGATACCTGCCTCTGTGGCTGATACACGACCCTCCAACGTTGATACACCTGCACCTGTTGCAGACGAAACACTGTCCCAAATGCTTTCCGAGTCCCTTTCATCTCCATCATTGCCTCCCAAACTTCCCACGAGGCACGTGCATGAGGATGCTGGCCTAAGACTCGACGGCGGGCCTCTTCAAAACATAGACATTCCACCAGAGTACCGAGAGTACGATTAACAGGATCGTTGAAGGCAGCAAAGCAGCAAAATGGATCAACCATCAGACTAAAACGTCACAGTTAAGAATATGGCCTAGGTTCTGAAGGATGAACAGTATAAGATGCATGATAGTTGTATAACGCTATTTTTCCCCTATTGTAGTATAAGTGTAGATTGTAAATTTGAGATTCAGACGCCCACCGACAAGCGCCACGGGATATCAAAAATCATATTATATAATCATGAGGTTAGGGTTTGCGTCCATTCCGAAAGATCGTAGATAACTTTCCGAGTCAGTGATCAAGAATATACACTTTTCTGTCTATAACGAACTCCATCATCTTTATTATCCAAAAATGCGCTACTACGAACCGCGCTATCCAGAGGTAGACGAGCTTGTCATGGTACAGGTTCGTCAAATTGCAGAAATGGGTGCATATGTCAAACTGGTGAGTCCTGTTGGAGGAGTAAATGTGGCTTTTGGAAGGACTGAAAGAGAGAATGTATACTGTGATAGCTCGAGTACGACAACATCGAAGGAATGATTCTTCTATCTGAACTCTCCCGCCGTCGTATTCGATCGATCCAGAAGCTGATCCGTGTTGGGAGGAATGAGGTCGTGGTAGTGCTGAGGGTGGACCGGGAGAAAGGTGCGTTCGTATGCCATTCACAATGCGAAACGCATCTCAGTGTTTACATTTCCCATGTCACATTGCGCGGATATGTACTACGAAAGGCTACATCGATCTCTCAAAACGTCGTGTATCCCCCGAGGATATCACCAAATGCGAGGAGCGGTACATGAAATCAAAAACGGTAGCGTCCATCATGCGGCACGTTGCCTCAAAACTGCCGTCTGTAGATGCTGATTCAACAGCACCCATCGACGCACCCCCCGCGGAGGGCGCAGAGAAAGAAGTGAAGAAGTCGCGAAAGGCGAGGAAGGAGGCACAGGAGGAGGACCTCGCTGTCGACGATACTGTACCCGACGTACACAACGAAGAGGAGAGACTAGAGCGGCTCTATGAGCAGGTTGGGTGGCCTCTAGGAAAGAAATACGGACATCCCTATGAAGCTTTCAAGCTCGCTCTGACGTGAGTCATATCCACTTCCTCCATTCATGATGCTATCACTAAACCTCATGTATATTTCAGGGAACAAGAAACTGTGTTCGGATCTCTACCGAATCCTGTGCCTGCGTCGACAGTATCGATTCTGATGAGCACGATCGCACGAAGGCTGACGCCCCAGCCGATCAAGCTGCGTGCTGATATTGAACTTACGTGCTACACACCTGCTGGGATCGACGCCATCAAGAAAGCATTGAGGGCTGGTGAGAAAGAAAGCAGCGAAGCTGTACCGATAAAAGCCAAGTTGGTGGCTCCTCCGCTTTACGTCCTCAGTACGAACGCGACGGATAAGGTAGGTGCTCGTGGAGTTGAAGACATGGCATGTTGTTGACATAGACACCAGTATGCGGCCACTGAGCGACTTGAGCGCGCAATCGAGTCTATACAAGTGACTATCGAAGAGGAGGGTGGTGCGCTGGTTGTGAAGATGAAGGTAAGAAGCCGTCTTCTTTTTGTCGGGCGTTGATCTTATCTGACATCGGTGGACTTTAGCCGAAAGCAGTTTCTGAGACTGAAGAACAAGATTTGGCACAGCTCATGGCGAAAGTGGGCCAGGAGAATGCTGAAGTGTCTGGCGACGAGGACGAGGAGGAAGCAGTATAGAGCATGCCGCGGACTGTATGATGAATGCAACGCCTCTGAGCATTACTTTTGTTGATATGACTAGACCTATGAATTGATATGAATGATACTGAGAGGTAATTACATGTCAGAGTACACGTTTCGGCCTCGGTTAGAAACGCATTAGATCCACTGTTGTGATCTGTGCGCACGGGATGACAATGTGCTGAATGTGATTGCAGCGTTGCAGATGAGGCTGATGGGAGTATTCACGTGATATGAGGCATTGCGGGGTTAGAGCCGAAAACAATCAGCTGGTTCTGTTATAACCCGCCCTTGCCTTTGCTCATTGCTTTTCCCTACGGCTGCATGCCCGGCTTTTCCATTTACTTAAAAGCAAACAACACAACTCAGAATCTCTGTCTTGCATGTTCATTTCTCCATCATGTCTGCCGCATTCCGCATCTCGCCCTCTCTCTGGGACAAGATCCACCACTTTGCCTCATTTCCACAGACCGGTGGTACGTTAAGCTCCATCTTCAGATACTTCGGGTGCGCTGACATCCGTGAATTCCAGTCTCGCTGCAACAAATGGTCCTTTTTGGACAGAACCCAAGCCAGGGCACCCTTCTCAAAGCCAGCCAGTTTCTCGTAGGTCCGTCCCGCTGCCTTGTTCTCATCGCGTGATGCCTTCTAACAATCGTTTAGAGGAACTTCCAGTGCGCCTGGCTCACCGCGTGAAAGAGCTCGACGAACTGCCTCACAATCTTAGCGACATGCCTTCCATTCGCAAAGTCAAGAACTGGTATGCTCAGTCCTTCGAGGTATGTCCAGCTCTTTTTCCGCTTCTTCTAATATCATCACAAAACACTACAACCAATCATTCCAGGAATTGATCGGTTTTCCTCCCATCAGTCTATCGCCCAGCATCCGCCAAGCCCTCATGGTTCGTTCAGAAGACATCTTCCTCCCTGAATCAACCCCGAACCCTTCTTTGATGAACCCTATCGATAACGACCACCCATTCCTAGGTAACATGAATTCACGAAGTCCAAATGGCTCTTCCAATGGGAACAGTTTCAATAACATGAAACTGCGCGTTCCGATGGAGAGAAGGTATGTCTGCTCTACCCCTATCTTTTTCCCCCTGATCTGATTTTGAACGGGCACGTTGGTAGATATTACGCAAAGACAAGCGGGATCGAGTGGCCACCTGAAGTAAGCGACTTCAATAGTCGTTTCACCCGGTGCTTGGAAGCGATCAAACGGAGACACGACCCAACCGTGACTACCGTGGCACAGGGCGTGTTAGAGTGGAAACGGAGCCAGAATGCCAAAAATATAGGTTTAGATATCCAAGCATGGCTGGACAGATTCTACATGTCTCGTATAGGCATTCGTTTTCTTATAGGCCAACGTAAGTAATTCAATTTCATCTTTGTTTTCTCGTAATTCTCAACTCTTCCATCTTATAGATGTCGCTCTAAACACGCAACAGCCCCACAAGGATTATGTAGGCATCATTTGCACTGAGGCGGTTTGTCTTTCTTTCGATCTTTGCCATGTATTTGCTCCTTACCTGTGTTTTTTCAGAACGTCCATGACATTGTACAAGAAGCAATCGAGAATGCTAGATTCGTCTGTGAAGAACATTACGCCATGTTCAAAGGGCCTCCCGTCCAGCTCATCTGTCCCAAGAACCTTTCCTTCCCTTACGTCCCCGGGCACTTGTCCCATATCTGCTTTGAGCTCCTCAAAAACTCCCTTCGTGCCGTTGTAGAGCGTTTCGGACACGACAATGAGGACCACTTCCCGCCCATCAAGGTGATCGTCGTCGAGGGTAAAGAAGACATCACCATCAAGATCTCCGATGAGGGTGGGGGCATCCCACGTAGTGCCATACCCCTGATCTGGACTTATATGTACACAACAATGGAAAGTAAAGGTATAGACCAGGATTTCCAGGCTAGTGATTTCCAAGCTCCTATGGCTGGGTTCGGGTATGGACTACCTTTATCCAGATTGGTGAGTTTTTCCCTTTTGCATTTTTATTCTCGCTCCATGTGGACTGATAATTTCCAATTTCTCTACGTAGTATGCACGATATTTTGGTGGCGATCTCCGATTAATCTCAATGGATGGGTTCGGAACCGACGTATACATCCATCTCAATCGACTTTCAAGCAGCCGCGAACCTTTACAATAAACCAATGATGTATGATGTGACTGAAATACAAAACAACGTGTGTGTAATAATATTAATTGTAACCTGTATATGTACCTAGTCTCTACACTATCTCCCATTACTTTGTGTATGTTTATGGAATGGAAAACGGGGATGTCGGACGAGATGGTCCAACTAGATTGATACAAGTGTGTAAAAACCAAACAAAAAAGTGTAATAAAACGTAGCGATGCAGGGAAGATAGCATGAGAGATAGAGAGCAACGTAGCCAAACTGATAACGAAACACGAACCAAGAAAAAAGGGTGACTGATCAATGTTCTGAAGCGGGAGCGGGCCATCTCGTTTATGTCGGGCCGTCTGCATCCCATGAGCGCTTCAGGTGTGTAGGGTAGCTCTGGGACATGATGGGGAAGTAGCCCTGCCGCGATTCGTGAGCGATACTCTGCTTGCGCTGCGGCTCACTCGCAAGACCAGTGGCGAAATGCGATGGTCGGTGAGACGCTTCCAACGCTCCCACTTCCTCTTCCAGCCGTTTATTAGCATACTTCAGCTGCTGCAGCTCATACTGCCAACTCGACCCGCGCTTGGTGTCTAGCTCCTCGAATACGCTCGAGTCGAGCGGATGCGCAAGGGTCCCTCCATCCGACGAGGAAGAAGAATCGCCCAGAGCCTTGATCTGACATATCACAGGGAAAGGCGACGGCGACCCTCTATACGGCGTGCAATACAAAACGAGAGCAACATAGACCTGACAGCCATCTTTCCTTTTCATCGTACACGCCATAACGCTAGGCTCGTCAATAGTCGACGTGCGCTTCAGCTCTTCCTCCACAAGATGCCGGACGTCACCACCCACGACAAAGTCCCCGATCACCTTGCCTATCATCTCACCGGGTCCCCAGCCCAAGACGTCGCTCACCGCCATGCCAGCGACGAGGAATGTCCCCTTGTTGTTGAGGATACCCCAGAATTCCCGTTCGCACTCCTTAATGTGTTCTTTCCGCTGAAGGTGGCGGCCTCCTCCTGTCCCACGAAGTGAATGGGCGAGACCTCCGGCCTTGGCTATCGCGCTCCACCGCAAACTTGGCGTTCTCTTCACTCGACCACTCAGGATAATTGCTTTTCGACCCTTCCCTGGCTCGACATGAAGTCTACCTCTACACTCTACCCACAGGTACCCGCGAGATTTGGACTGGGCACGGAAAAGCAGATCAACTGCCCGTGGAACACCTGGAGCAGGGTTAACAGGAGTTACACTAGGCATGTCATGAGTGGGTCCGACTATGGCAGACGACTCTTTGAGTTCCCTCATGAGCGGTACGAGGTCTGCCGGATGGCAATAATCTGATATAGATTTGCCAACAAGTTCGTCGGGCTCGTAGCCTAGGACGAGCCGCACGGAGGGTGCGACGTAGAGGAAAGATCCCTTGAGGGACAGGACATGTACGAAATCCGGAGAAGTCTCGAGGAGGAGGAGATTTAGGAGCTGGTTTCCTTCGTAGATCTCGGGTTTGTCGGTAGCAGTTGAGGCGGGGAGTGCGACGGTGGTGGACTTGGTAATGGGTATAGAGTTCACGAACGTCGAGTCGGAGATGAGAGTGCGGAGGCGGTTAGACATGACGAGTGAGAAGGGAGCGTTTGACTTTCTTTCGCGGGACGCGGTAGAAATGAGAGAGGGGATGGATACGTTCGAGCTGTAGTTGACCATGTAGTTACCATCCCTCAGTTTCTGAAGGATGGCATTTGGCTGCTCGGTCAAGTCAACCTGGAAGCCGACGTGATAGACGACATCATCAGCCTCTTCTTGACGGTTGAAGAGGCCGCCGGCGATAGGTATGATGGTGATGAGGTTGACGAATGGTTCTCCGCCCTTCCTGTAGTTGATGATGCTCACCTGACACTCCTTGTCTGCAAGCATGCTCTTTTTCATGAGCGAGACAGCCTCTGGTGCGACGAACCGCCGCTCCTCTCCCTTCTGGACGTTGCCATCTGGAGCCTGCAGAAAGCGACAGTTTCTGCCTATGACTTCATGCTCTTCGTATTTTGTGAGGCTGTAGAACGAGGGTGATGCGTATATGATAGGGGCATCGAAGCGACGGGTGTCGGATACAACGAATGAGCACGAGCCATCGACTGGGCCAATCATGATCTTTGGATTTGGCCGTGAGACGACGCGGGCGAGGATGGAGAGGAGATCGAAGCCTGACGAGGAATAGACAGGGAGACCAAGCGAAGACGGAGCGCTGAGATTTGCGTGGTGTGAGCCGAGTTTAAGAAGATCTTTGGACGGGAACGTGGCGGGGACATGGGGTGGGATGTGATTGTTGTAGGTCGTGGTATGCACTGGATGGCTGTAATCGGAGGGTGGATGGATGGCTGGATGAGAGTCGAATATGCTATTTGGACTCGAACTAGAGTGCACGGACCCGTCAGAGGTAGACGTGGATACATGATTATGTTGGTGCTGCCGTGACGAGGGCGACGATGGCGGCCCAAAGCTACAGCCAAAAAGCCTCAAAAAAAGGAGATATCAGGGCCGGGGACATGCTTACAGCGAAAAACCGTTGTTGGTCAGCCACGACGAGGCCAGGCCATCTGGGCCATCTAGGAGACCAGCAGGGAGCACCTCGGCTCCACCACCAGGGGCAAGCGGGGGTGGGCCATTGTACATGTAATGGGGGATCTGCAGCGGGAGGGCATTCGAGAAGGAGGAGGGGTCACAGGCCAGCATCGCTGCGCGGTGGTCGTACGAGTAGTAGTCATCGTAGGCAGCGGCGGACTGTGCTTGCTCGCTGTCGTCTGGCTGGCGCAGATACTTTTCGAAAGGCATGGTGGACGTTCGGAGGAGAGAACGGGTTCGTTGGCAAAGACATCTACAAAAACGGGGTATAGCGATTTGAATAGTGACGGCTACAATGCCATAACCTCGTGGCGGGCTAATCCTTTACACATATCGCTCCATATACAGCAAATTCAATTCCATTGGAGCATCCCATTAGCGAATACAGATATCACATCATGTCCTAGTCTATTGTGTTCCAGCGGCTAGAATGTACAGACACAACTACTGCGTTCTACACAATATACAGCTCATCGGAAATCAGTCAATCTTTGCCCCCGTTCCCCTAACCATCATCCACGATGGACAATGTAGTGAATAGGAGGCATGCGGCACTCACACACATTCGCTTCACACAGATAACATCGTTGACGTAAATCAGAAATGTGACAGTAGACAGATAACGATACACATTACGTCTAAGCCCGGAGTTGAGCGCGCAGATTCGACTCCAGCGGGCCCTTCGGGCGAATGAACTGTACATAGGCACCATCCCTGTAACGCCAAGTTAGTCCAAGGCACAATTTAACATGATAATTGTATACGCACTGCACCACCCTCTTCTCCTCCTTCAATACCTGGTACTCCTCCTTTGCAACATTCGTGAAACCCCACTTCTTCGAGACAATGATCTTCTGGCGGCCAGGGAACTTGTATCGAGCACGGCGCAGAGCCTCCTGGATGACAGGCGCATTCGACTCCTTGCAACGAATGGACAGAATAATCTGGCCAATGTTAACACGGGCAACGGTGCCATAAGGTTTTCCCCAAGCTCCGCGCATACCGGTTTGGAGCCTAAGCAAGACAACAAGACATATTTAGTTAGCGCATGTGTACGGTAGACATCGCTTATCGGTACCTATCAGCACCAGCACAGGACAACATCTTGTTGATACGGATAACGTGGAAAGGGTGGACACGGACACGCATGTGGAAAGAGTCCTTTCCAGACGTTTTCGTCACGTATTTGTTGGCACAGATACGGGCAGCCTCAAGAGCCTCACTTGACAGCTGTTCGTATTCATCGGACACTAGATGGCAGCAGAAGGGGAATTCGTCGACAGAGGCACGCTTGCGTCCCAAGTCAAAGATACGAATCTAAAGTTAACAGGGAATTATATTAGTATATAATTATTGCGGCATTTTTGCAGTATTTTCGCTTGCGACGAACTTTGGGGTCGGGAACACCACGGTTGTACCGCGATTTCGGGTATGGCTTATTCTTACAGTAACGGTAGCATCGAGCGGGACGGCGACCCATCTTGATCACCTACGAAAAAAGGCCATGTTAGCGTCATCTGACTCTTCCTAGCACCATCCATCCCAACTAGCAGCGTTTCTCGGTCCATAACCACGCATATAATCTGCAAACGCCCAGAGGAACGGCGAACGGGCGTAAGAAAGGGACTCACTTATTATGGGGGTGTGAATGAAACGGTGGGGAACGTCTCTCGAGTTGCCTTTTTGTGGTCGAAACAGCGATGACAAACTCGTGCGCTGAGTAAGTCACTTTCAGACGCCGACATGCCGGGATTTCGGCGGTGAGTAAGCTAGCCACCGGAGCCACAGAATGATTCATTCATGGCATTGCACCGAGTCAGATACCAGGCTAACACCGAGAATAACACTTTGGAAAGACGAGTTCAAGTTCGATTATGGACAGCATCGACATACAAAACAGTCACAGCGAATGTTGAAGTTAGTAATTCATTCAGTTAAGATATGATTAAGGTGAAGGAGTGTGCGATCAACGTGTTATGGGCAAAGCAGAAAATGAAGGAGTGTCGTGTTGATGATATATCTTACTTGTTATTTGAATCCTACTGCGAATGCATAATGGTATCAGTGCGAAGTCATATCGCAAACCCCATGAGAAAAAAAAGGGCGGGAAATCGGAAGCAAAAATCAAGGGGGGGAGGATAGGGAGAAAAAATCCCAGAAAGTTCGAGTCCAATCACAAGTCCGCCCCTACAGCGTCAACGACATATAGTACCTGTTGAGGCCTCACGAACAGCCCCCTCGATTCCGCATTCGAAGCGTCAGACACCGCAGGAGACGCACTCCGCAGCCGTTTCGTTCTGTTCACAGTCAGCTGGTCTCCTTCTCTCTTCAACCCCTTGTCCCTTCCCGTCCCATGGATCCAGTCCATCTTCCTTCGTCTCGCTGCGCGATCATCTCCAAAATCCCACTCTGAACCGTTCCCTCCCATCTCGAAATATTTCACGCCACCCCACGTGCCGTCATTCCATTGTCGACCCTCGAGGGCGTCCCCACCCCACCCATCTCCAAGAGGCACCTCCACCCCAACCCAAGGCCCTTGCTCCCCTTGCACCTCTCCAATGTATCGAGCAAAAGCCCGGGAAACGTTTCCGCTTTGATGAAATGATGCACGGTATTCCAATATCAAGAGTTGAACCCAATGGGGCCGGGGGCATGTTTTGCTCCACGAGGGCAACAGTTTTTTCCGTCGGTGGCGTGGAAGTCTTGATAGTATCAGCAGATCCTTTCCTTTTCAGAGGTTGGACCACCGTCGATGGGGGTATATTCTCCTTTGACTGTTCGGATAATTCCTCAGGAATGATCTCTTTGCTCTTGCCTTTATCGTCTGGTGAGGTCGGGGGTTTAGTTTCCGTAGGCGAAATTGTCGGCGTTCCATTGGTTCCTTTTTCTGGTACAGTCGTTTTACGAACCGTCGATTTGACTGCGTTACTTGATTTTACTGACGAAGTAGACTTTGCCGATGTCGATGATATTGTGCGCTTAACTTGTGGGGGAAGCAGCTTCGAAGGATCTACCGGAGAATTAGGAACAGAGGTACCGGTACCGGTGCGCTTTATCTTGCTAACTGAGGTTGCCGTCGAGGTAGAAGAAACACCAGACAGCTGTCGAGTTCGGGGAGTTTTTGATATCGTTTTCACACTGACATTGGATATCGTAGACGTTGTAGACGTTCGCCTGGAACGCGTCGCAGATGTAGGTGTCAGTTCTGAGTTAGCCGTCTTGAAGGCTGAGGAGGCATCGCTGCTTGTGGATAAGGATGACGTAGGCCGTTGGCCACCAGAAGGCACGCGTAAGGTGGTCGATGCACTGTTACGTATAGTCGACGTGCGTGAACGCACAGAAGAAGCTACAGAAGGCACCAGCGATTTAGTTTTTGCGTTATGCTGCCCAATAATAAGCTTCGATGGTGTGGGTCTCCCATTCGCGTCTGACTGAGACGATGTCCTCTTATGACTCCTTTCGGGCGGACCAACACTAGTGCGAGTAGCGGTAGACACTGACGATGCCGAGCTAGGCGACAACTTAGAATCTGGGCGTACATCGTGAGACCGACTGGGAGTGCCGACGGCATGCACGCGGGAGGTCTTCGAGATAGTGCTGCGAGCGACCGATCGGATCGAAGCAGAAGACGATGCCAGCGTTTGATCCCGATGAGATGTCCCACCATGTTTTCCGATATTGCGGCTGAGCACGCTGGCACGGAGAGAGTGCACGCTCATTGTGTCCGAGTCTGCCTCCACTTTGCTCAAGGATGCCCTGGGTCCAACTCTAGCTGGAGACATTCTGGTCGGAGCTGGACTGACAAGATCCTCCACCGGAACTTCGATATCTGCCCAAAGCGGATCAGTAAAAACGTCTAATTGGCCGAATTTTTTTTAATAATACCACTGCTAATTTCTTTGAGAGCCCAGCCCTCCAAGTTGTCAAATCCACTTTCCTGCCTGACACTCAACCAGCGTTTTCGCAGCCAGCGGAGCACCTCCACACGGGTCTCTTCGACCTTCTCACGCATTGCTGATGTTGTTGAGAGCATAGTCATTTCATTATCAGTTGCGTGGGGTCGCAATAGTATGTTTCCCACAAGAGTCTAGCATCAGAAACGACAAATGGGAGGCATCAGTCGTAAACTACTCAGAACCAAGAGTGCACTTTACCTGATATAATGTTCCCGCGTGTTTTTCACTGATGCCCCGTCGCACAGCATCCATCACCCAGCTCACCCGCTCACCATCATCGAAATTAACGCCGTCTCCTTCCATTATTTCAAGCCAATCTGGTTGCTCGAAACACTCGGGGTGGGAGCACAACACGTCGTCAATAGTTTTGCGAGCGGCTAAAATCATTTCTCTGGAGATATCAGCCCAAGCATCGATAATAGCGTCTAGCTTATGCATCGCATGTTGAGCTGCGAAGAGCAATGCAAACACATTCAGAGGTGTCGTCCTCTTCGCCAAACCTTTGAGAAGACTATCTCTGACTTTCTGCGGAAGCATCGCAAACTCAGATAAACACCATCCTTCTCCAAAGAGCCCCACCAAAGCACGCCTGGCGCCCCGCTCCAGGTGTGAGTTCTTGACATCGTCAGAAAGAGCAAACTCGAGTACTCGCGGTGCGCGTCTAGCGCATTGCCGACATCTACAGCCACCCGTGCCCCATTTGCCGCCTGTGATGCGCTCGTATTCAGCGAATTCCAAAAACGCGTGGAACAGCCCGTGCATCATCTCTTGGACGATGCGTGCCTGGATCTCGTCGTAAAGGCTGTCGAGGGATAGGTAAGTAGCTGAGCGCATGATGTGGAAGGCGGTATCGAGATCGTAAGACCGGTGTGAAAATACGAGTGTGCCTGTATAAATAAATCCCAAGGTGAAATGAAGAGAAGCTGGTGTAAAGGGAGGAGAAGGCAAGTTCAGGGTGAGAGGCTCGCCAGCTTTTGTCGGTGATCCCCACGAGAGTAACTGTGCGTGAAAATAAGGGGAGCGAGAAACCAAGATAAAACGGTGGGATGAAAAAATGGCGGTAGCGCTCTCATGATTTGTTGATGAGAAGGATCCCGTCAGCGCAATACGGACGTCTGAATAGAGACGTGAGCGCCACATGAAAACCAGATCTTTGCGTAACTTGTCTATTCTACTTTCCTCTCCGTCTCCTTCCTCGCGATTTTCAGACGTATCAAATAAAAATTCAAAGGCCTGGCCAAGGCCCTTTCCGGTATAAAGATACTCGAGCTCGTTGGAGAAAAGAGCGGGATTTATCGATGTGGGGAGACGGAGGATGGCTCCTGTCGATGTAGAGGGAGATGGCGATGGTCCACGGAAAGGAGACGGAGATCGCGAAGTACCATTTAATTCAGGTAGAGATAGTGTGGATTGTGCTGGGATTGTGCCTGATGGCGAGGAGGGATACGGCACGGGGGAGGCGACTGGGGGAGGGCGAAACGAGAAGTATCGAGCTTGAAAACTTGGGGGAGCTCGGGCATATACGATTGCTGTAAAGTATATGTCAATGTAAGGCACATATAGGTGCGCATCGTAGAGACGCTGGACAAAAACTACAAATGATATGGTCGAGTGACGTGAGACCACGACAAGGAGTGCGATGCATATTACTACTTGTAGACTGAAATCTCGAATCCATCTAGAGATAGTAACATAGCAAAGATACCTGGAGCGATAACTTCAAACACCGTGTATAGTGCATGGCGATTCGCAGTGGTCGCACCGCGAGGACCCACAGGGAGAGAATGAGAAAAAGTAGGTACGTCTACGAACCTTTATGTCCCCAGACCTCCTCAGGATCCTTGGACTTGTCGTCGTGCTCGCCTATGAGCTCCCAAACGACATCTGGGAAACGGTCTTTGGCGTGGTGGAAAAGCGATTGTAGATTGTTCTGCCAGGCTGAAGTAGAGTTTTGTGTAGCTTCATGTATACCTGGCGGTGATGTATTTGGAGCCATTTACAAAGAAAAAGACAGGAAAATAGAGGGAAAGCTTGAAGACAAAGACTCGGCCGAGCAATTATGAAGAGTTGGTTGAAGGGTATACCAGAACACGAGGCTTGCTCGGGTTAGGGTCCGCTGTAATAACTCTGACCTTTGCTTCCGTGTGGCAATTGCAGCTCAGTCAGCTGACCCTACAATGGCCCCAATGTCAGTCCTGTGCATGTTTCCGTATCTCTGCTGATATCCACACAGACGCGACAAATTCACAATACACTCAAAGGCCATCGTCTGCCAGGATGTCGAGCTCAAGGGCGATATCACCATTGGCTCAGGTACCCAATCTCTCCCCTTGTTTTCTCATCTTCGCATTTACATCCCACACACAGGTACAATTGTTCACCCAAAGGCAACCATATTCGCGATCGCAGGTGCCATCGTGATCGGCTCGGGATGCATCATCGAGGAGAGCGCAATTATCGTCAACAGGTGCATTGCCACTGTGCTATTACCATCCTTTCGCTTCTTTTACCATAGCTTTATCCCTATCCCAGGAGAAAAGAAATCATGCGCATTGGCGATGACAACCTATTTGAAATTGGCTGCCGTGCGTTCTATTTTCAGCTTCTTAGAACATTGCTCCTCTCTTAACAACTCTCGTCCTCGCTTAGGAGTGGAGTCCCCAGCAATCGGCAACTTCAATACCATATCAACACGTGCACGAGTTCACCATACCGTCCGCATAGGGTCCTACTGTGTGATCGGTGCTGCATGCGTTGTAGTTCCCACAGAAGAGGAGTCTCTCGGCGACTACACTGTCTTTTACGGGCCTGCATCGGAACGGCGCACTTGGAGCGGAAGAGGCAAGGTGCAGGAAGCAGACCTGAGGCACAAACACACAGAGTATCTCCGTGAGATGCTCCCAAAGTTTAATCGCTTGCGTAGGGGAGATGGGACGTAAACAGGTCTTCAACATTAATCGCTCTCTTTTAATCTTGACAGATTCTGGTGAGGCTGTCTGACCTGTTAAGCCAGCTCCTACTCCCCCGTCTATTTTACTTATCATTTTTTTTGGCACTGTTCAGACGGCTTTGAGAAAAGAGACATACCGATATAACCATGTACGTGTTCGGCTTCTGCCTTTCGTACTACAGGGTCTGACGTATATTTATTCCCTACTTAGTACATTAGCAAGGATGGCGATTATTCACTGCACCGCAACGCATGTCCCCTTGACGTATAATACCACGCGTTATCTCGCTGGTGGCCTGGTTCACTCATTACCACAATAATTTCCGTTCAGGCTCCCTTGGAGCGATTGGATACAAGCTCTGTAAGCGGTAATGTCCCACAGCTTGCCTTCAATTTGGGTCCTGTCGGTTTAGACTTTTGGACGGAATAAATTCCAAGGTCGCCTCGTGCTTAGACACCCACTTATCTATCTCGCCACCGTTGAGTTCGATAATGAATCAGCTAAGTACCCCTGAAATTTTGGTCCTCAAGTTCCCAAGCTCCATGAGAAGAATGAGATGACTGGACTACCATTGGTAGATTGGTTTTTAACTTTATGCTCAGTTTATAGTTGTAGAAGCAGCAACCACCCTCAACTCTCCCATGAGGAATCAACTCGAGCTCCTATACATCCACCCCACGCTCACGCTAGTGATACAAGGAACCACTCGCTCGGATAAGCTCTTTTTTTTTTCTCGAACGGGAGCATTTACTACACCTTTCGACTTGGTAAATACTTATTTAAAATAAGAACAAGTTTTCTGCGTAATCATCAACAATGATTCCGACTGGCATGAAGATAGTTGTTATTGGGAATGCGAATGCGCTGTTCTCGGCTTTGCGAGTCATGGCAACATGCAACTACGGGGGCAAGGTAGTAAGTAGCACAGGCCGGGCCTGAGTATAGTAACTGCAGTAGTTACCAAATTTAGTAGGAACGTAACTGCAATGGTTACAAAGCACGTCGTGCGCTGCAAACCAATCTGTCAAGCAGAACGCAATCATAATTATAAGCTTGTCATGATCACATAATGAATGCCAGATGGGCATATCAACAACGCTATGTATGTCATATAACTCTACACCCCGTCCCGACTCTTAGTATGTGATTGTCAGAACTGTACGTCAAAAATTTACACTTTCAAGTTCGATCGGATATTTGTATTTTACTTCAATGGTTTACCGCTTAGATTATCAATGGAACTTCGAGTTTCGTATTTCCTAGCAAGCTGGAGACAAAGAAACACTGCGCAATGTGCCCAGCGCTGCGGCTGTGATCTCAACATAACCCACCTGCGGAGCGCAGTAGCATTCAAGTTCGGAAGGACAAGTCATTCGAACATAATCCCAGACGGAGGACATGGCCGTCTTTGCCTTCTGCCTTCTTGCCATTGTACGTTGATGCTCCATGTCACTCGTGTGCCTTTTAGCAGCACGTTAGGTACGAGAAGCCGTGCCTTCTATCATAATGCGATACAATCATCTATGCCGTAGCAGCTTAAATTTCTAAAGAAAGGTGCTATCACTAACCTGAGGCGTCATTCACCGGCCTGTCGCGCGATAGTTCTATATCTGCACCGCCTCCCCTCCATTTATCAAGAGGGGTATTTCAGAATTAAAATCCAACGACTTCACCCTTTTATCTTATACCTTCCTTTTAGTGATTTCAACTACATTTTTTCCAAAACTTCTTACCTGCATTGTTCATATATTACAATTTTTTCTTCCTAAGCAAGTCCACCGCAAATACGGCTATACAAGCTAGAAACATGAACCTCAAATGCCTTCGTAAGCACTCGCTCCTACTACCATAAACGCGTCTAAGCTGTACTTACCAAACGATAACAGCCCCTCTAGATCCAAAGTCAGAATATTTATATTGTGCATCCTTCCCCGCAGCGGTGTTGTTCTCCGTTCTTTTTGGACTTGTCACAATTTTGCACATCATACAAGGATTCTATTATCGTAAAAGGTTCACTTGGGTTATTGTCATGGCTGGAATCTGGCAAACTATCGGCCTCGTCACCCGCACACTGTCGACACTAGATCAATCACAAAGCACGTACGCAATACCGTCGCAGCTGCTTATACTCCTTTCACCACTGTGGATTAACGCTTTCGACTACATGCTTTTGGGCCGCATGGCGTATTATTTTTTACCGGACCATAAAATAGCAGGAATGAGAGCAGATAAGTTGGCCAGGTGGTTCGTACTTGCTGATATCACGTATGTCTCTATCCAGAAGACTTGACGACAGAATGTAACTGATGTTCTGACAGAGCCTTCATTGTACAAGGCGCAGGTGGCAGTCTTACCACTAGCACAGATTCAACAACGCTGATGCTTGGTGTGCACATCTATATGGGAGGTATTGGGCTGCAAGAATGCTTCATTATATTTTTCTTCGGACTTGCCGTTATGTTCCATAAACGAATGAACCGAGGAGAAGGACTAGAAAGACCGAGGGATTGGAGAAGACTTCTGTACGTCCTTTACGCAACACTGGGTTTGATAACGGTAAGCTCAAATGCTGACACGAAAATGTGATGACATACTGATTATGCTGGCGTTAAGCTTCGTATAATTTATCGTCTGGTTGAGTATTCCGATGGATTTCACTCGACGATAACGGAGAGCGAGGCGTTTTACTACTGTCTGGACGCATTGCCGATGTTCTGTGCTATCGCCCTCTACAACGTCTGGCATCCAGGCTTGATCCTTATAGGCCTAGACAGTGACTTTCCTAAGAAAGTGAAAAAGACGAAGGAGGAAAAGAAGCGAGAAAAAGAGGAGGAGAAGAATAGGAAACATAGAAGGAATTTAAGTGAGGAGGATGTTCCGACGCAATGGAGAGTCAATGCATCGTACGCCGGACGCGATATGGACGCCAGTGGCTTTGAATCCGTCGAAACAGTTTAGCTTGCTGTAGTCAGGTACTATAGACGCATCTTCTGCCATTTTTATTTATACCGTATTATAGTTGTTCCAAAATATAACGGACAATTTGACGATAGTTATGGTTCGCTTTGAGAGTTAGATGCAGTAAGGGTCGAAGAATACCTACCGAACGTATATCAGACGTTTCAAATCCACGTGTTGTCTGTCCAGAAACTGACGTGCGGATCTTATTAGTAGGTGCTGGCAAAACTGTCACAACATGTAGCCAGATTGTGGTATGATGGTATGACCCTATATTGAAAGGCTAGTAAGACTTAGATAAGGTCCTTATAACATGAAAAGTAATGTGCTTCACTTGAGACTTGGACTCGGACTCACAAAGAGTCTGTAATCCGCGAACATAAATCGTCGCCGTCCAAGGAGAAACAAGCATTTAGGAAAATTCCTTATATTTTAAATGTGTTTTGTTCGCCTTGCCAAAACCGCCGTTGATAAAGAGTACTACGTTTTGGCGACGATGGGTTCATCCTGTATTAGTCGCGCACAACTGCAGTGTATATCACGAAAAAGCAAATGGGAAAGGACGTTGCAAGGTGAGGCTGCCTGCTTAATGACATGACGGAAAGTGAGACCATCGTAAATGGAGGAAATATAATCTCGTCCAGGTCGCCATCTTAGCCATCTGAGCTGCGAGAGACGGTCGGAGCTGGATGGGGTGTCGGTCTTCAGTATTACTAGCAAAGAGGAATCCACGCTGTGTACCAGTATATTTTCCTGAATGGCGTTGAAAAATGTTTCGCATTTGAGATACAAGAAAGAAATTATCACCTCAAGCTTCGGACTCGAGTCTTCTAGTAATTGAACATTTCAGTTTAAGGTTACTTTCCTGTTTGGGCAACGAACTTGAAAGGGTTGTAAAATGAGATGCACGTGCTTGTAATGTTTGAGTCATTAGGTAGTCACGTGATACACGCGCAGTACGTGATGTGACCCCAATGGCGTGTACACCCCTGTCGGACCCTAAAAACAATAAAGACTAGGTATCTGACACGATTCACCTTGACCCACAACGACGACCTCATTCATTTCGCATTCTCTATAACAAAACGTCAACATGGTTGCAACGAGAAGCAAGAAAGTAGTAAAGCACAGCTATGCGGAGCGTAAGATAGTTTGAATACAATCCTTTACATAAACTTGAATACGCATTTTCACTTTTACTAGGTGTACTCGGTGCTTATTCTCAGGCTCAAAAGGAACATAGGAGACAAAACGTTCATCTTGCTACACTACGTTCTCAAGGTAAGTACAAAGGGCTCCTCTACCTATGAATTGTTTCTAACTCTATTGTGCTCAGTTCGAAAAATAGCCGACTTCAAAAAAGATAAGCTTGGTCCTCAGTGGGCGGCATGGGTAACGAGAGCCGTACATAAATTGGTAGGCAATGACCTTTTTTTTATTAAGGAAATGACTTATGTTATGCTTCACAGGAGGACCAAGGTATCTTCCAGCCCCTTGACTCTACTGGGTACGTTAGCATGACCTCAGAAGGGAAAAAGGCGTAAGTCCTTGACTCCAGGATTTCATTTGCAACCCAGGAATGTCTTATTCTGCATCTAGTGTTTCCGTTGCCCGACGAAAGTATCTCCCTAGCCCCAGCGCCTCTTCCTCTCCGGCTCAAGAGGATGCTGTATGGAAGTCAGTGACAGAAGAGCTATCTGTTCGAGGCCAGAAGCGTAAAGGATTGTCGCGTCCAACGTCACGTCCAATGCGTTCTGTTGTGGGACGTGACAGAGACGCTGAATTTGTGGAACATGCACCCTCTATTTCCCAGCCAGGCGGTCGAGCCAAGAGACGTAGGATGACCTCGTCTCAATTTACTCAGTCTACAAAGTCCCTGTCAAACATGACCAAAGCGGAGGTAAGTATATATACTTCGCCTGCCTACGATAGTGCCTTTCTCACATTCATCACAGTTGAAGGCCAAAGTAGAAGCAATGCAGCGCGCCCAGCTCGAGGCTTCTTTGCCAAGTGATAATTCATCTAACGAAGAACTTCAGCGTCTTCAGGATGAGCTCAGACAGAAGGACAACCAACTCTTGTCTGCAATACACGAGTTGGATGAAATGAAGAGAACGACAGTCACGCCTGAAGATGGATCATTTGACCAAGGTAACGTCACAGTCAGCAGGCCTGAGACTCCTGTTCCCTCTTTGTACGTTAACCTTATATATTTGAGTGTTTAACTTTCTAATCATGCATAATCACATCTATGATAGTGATACTACGGCGTCATCCCCTTCCAGGCCTCATAGTGCTAATATGCTGTCTCGTCCAGTGCCACTCAATGGAGTAACTCGTACTCAGTCGGGCTCGATAATTTCTCACATCAGCAAGCAGCCTACGCCTGCCCCAAGTTCCCCGGGGATGGCTCATGACGACATCATACTTGGCATGAATGATGACGATGATGTATTCATGAATTCTGGCGTTGTAGATGGCCACTGCACAGTAAACGACTCTTACCAGGTCGCTACACCTGCACCTTCACCAGTGAGATCCTCTAGGGATAATGGCCGGCGCACGCTAGAAGATGCACTTTCAACATGCAAGCGATTGGGGACGCAACTTCGGAGCTCAGAAGAACATGAGAGAGCACTTCAAGGGAAAGTGCGTATCTCACTCCTTACTTTGAATAGTAACAATTTACATCTCTCAGATTATGTCGATGGAGGAGACTATGCAAGTTCGACTTTCGGAACAGCTCGAGTTACAGAATAGCTATTCCGAGTTACAGTCGAAGCACGGGAATCTTGAAACAAGTATATCCAAACAGAACGAGCAGGTCGATATGTTGAACGAAAAGATTGCTAATCTTCAACATACAATTTCTGAACGAAGTACAACATTGGAAACTAAAGAAAGTAATCTATCCGATCTCCGAGAGCATATGGCTAGCTTGGAACGTTCTATAGCAGAAAAAGAGGAGTCAGCTCTTGAGCTTAAAAATGCCGCCAAAGATCAAGTTTCGACTATCGCACGTCTAGAGGCACAAGTCCAAGAATTAACGTCAAAACTAGCAGGTTTTGATCTCAAAATTCAAGATGTTGATAAAAAGAACCAGAGTCTCATGGCTGAGAATGACGAAGCCCGTAAGAGGGAGGAAACCTTATCTTCCTCACTGGAACTACTCGAGACAGAATCAGCTTCGTTACGTGCTCAGATTTCTGCAGTGGAAAAAGAGAAACAGTCAGTCGAGACTCAGTATCGTGGATTTGAAGTCTCCCTTGAAACCTCGCGCGCTCAAAATGCAGTCCTGGAGGCGAAAATATCTGATGTGGAGCAGAATCTCAGATTATCGAAAACGGAATTGACACTCATCAACGACGAAAACTCGTCTTTGATTTCCCGTCTAGTGGAGGCTGATGAGTTCACTATAACGTTGAAGAAGAAGGCTGCAGACATCACCGATCAGAGTGCTACAGCTAGCGCTGCTCTGGAGGTGGCTCAAACGACCATCCAAGAACTTCAAAATCGCATAGAATCTTTGGAAGATGCAGCAACGCAAACCAATGAACTCGAAAAGATTTTGACAGGACGGATCGAGACTTTACAGGATGAGAAAGAAAACTTAGAAAAGAACCTCGAAGTCGCCAATCGTGTATCTGAGTCCCTTGAGGCTCGATCATCCTCGCTCGATAACCTCAACGGGGCACTGCAATATGACTTGGATGCTACGCGGCTCGAACATGACAAGGCTCAAGAAACGATCCGTGAAATCCAAATGACGTTAGACGCCGCAAATGCACAACAAGTGGAAGATGAAAAGAAATATTTGTCGAAACTGTCGTCTGTCCAGAAATCACTTGAAGCTGCGCAACTTCACGTTGAGGAACTTGACGGTAAATTAGCGTCGGCCAATATGGCGCGTGACGAAGTCGCGCAACAGCTTGAAGTTTTTGGCCAGCGGCTGGATGAAGCGGAAGTTATCGTTTTGTCCGAGAGAAACAATGTCGCGGCGTTGAAAACAGATCTCGCGGTTACTCGTGAGCAGTTGCGAGGGGCAGAGGAGGAGGTAGAGGATCTCGAGCAATCTAAGAAGGCAGACGAAGCTACGATCGCTGGCTTGCGAGAAGGGTATGCGAAGCTCAGAGCTGTTCATATGGAGTCTATCACAGAGCTCGATGATAAAGTACGTTTATCTTATATAAGGACTCGTTCGATGGCTGATCTTTGGTTGTTGCAGATTGCTTCGGCTCAGTCATCGCCCATGCCTAACAAGCGTCGCAGCTCGAGGTTCGCTCATGATAGGCATGTTTAGATTTGTATTGCTTGCATACTCGTCCCTATGTCCGCTGACTCTTTTGCGTACTGCATTTATTCATATCATATATTGTCTGTTCTCTATTTAGTCTGCCGTTCTCATCCTTTTTGTGTAGTAACGACTCATCTTAGTTTTTAGTAACTATGCCATGTCTTTATTCATTGTTTTGAACTAGGCTCGATAGACCGAAATCTCGTAGTCTTCCCTAGGCATACCGTTTAGGAGGAAGACAGTCGTTCCTCCTATCAATAGAAATCTCTGAGACTTTATACACACCTTGCTCTCATAGTTGATTAGGAATTATATCACGTGATGTTCGCGCCAACTCGTACCGCGATGTTCGCGTTCTGTTTCTTAACTTACGAGTCGGCAAGCTAACTTGACAAGGATTAGGCATTGGGTAATACAAAAGCCACATAAAATCTCTCCCCCGTTATGTCGTCCACAGAAGCTACTAGTTCTACTTCCAACCTTGATACTGCACGCTCTTTGCAAGCCAAATTGGATGCCGCTAACCTCAAGATACTGAACGCGAAGACACAGTTCAAATCTTATAAATTTGAAGGTATTGATGATTGGCCATTAGGCGAGGAGACATCAAGAGACCCTGCTATTATTGCGAGTTTGGTTGCTGCACAAATAGTACGTGAATCAGAGTGTAGTGGAAGACATGCTAACACCTCTCTATACAGTCCTTCCTACGCAAACTCAAATTCCAGTACTTGGAGCAGAAGGCAAAAGATAAATACATTAAAACGATTGTGAGCGACATCGATGACGCGCCTCTTGTCACTGCAGCAAGCAATGCAGAACTGAGACTTCGCAACGAGGGGAAGAAGGAAATTCTCAAAGCGGCCAAATCTCGGATAGCGGAGAAATATCAAGACATTCGAACTTTAGCACCTTTAGTTGAAGAGGGTTGGGCTTTAACCTGGCCTCACTGTCTATGCTGCTGACGTATTTGGTTATGTAGACTATCTTCAAACTAAGGCTCTCACAGAGGAAGCATCCAGCCTTTCCCAAAAGATTTTGGACGCCCGATTGGCTCTCACAAGATTGCGGCAAGCTCACCCACACCCACGCCTGACGATTGAATCTGCAAATGCCCAACTGGACTCACAAATAGCGGAGATGCAGGACCTTGACACGGAGCTCCAACAAGTAAATGAGAAAATTGCAGCAACCAAAGAGAATATAAAAACAGGTGCCAAGGAAGTGGAAAGGTTGCGGGTAGAAAAGGCCGAAGCAGAAAAAATTGCGAGCGCGTGTAAGGAGGAGGTGGAGGATGCTAGGATATTTGAACTCTACGACTGGTAAGAGTTCCCATAGAGAGGTCACTCCTGAGCTGTTACTGACGACGGTTACTCAGGTACACGGCTTCCCTGGCGTTGCATAAATCGTTATTGTCCTTGGAATCATCACATTCAGTGTCGGAAAATGAGCTCCGATTGACATACATGATTGGTCAGAACTCTCCATCGCCACGAGAGATATCTATTACCCTGCTCTTCCTTCCAAATACGAGGCAGCTTGTGGCCGCCCAAGTCCAGGGCGTGGAGATCGAGATAGGGGACGTTATAGACTCATATGTGCAATCAAACGATATCTCGGGGTTCTTGTGGGCCGTGCTTGCGAGGGCTCGGAAGGCGGTGTAATATTGATAGCCAAGCTATATGATATTGCTCGCTCTCCTGTCGCCCCCTTGGTCGCGGTGATGAGCCTGTATCACAATGATATGTATATTTACTATATATTGGTCGGATACCCTTAGGCTGTATCATGGTAATATCGTAGGTTATAGTCAACATTAATTGTCAGCTCGTGAGTTACTGTATTGAAAAGCAATCATTCGCGTGAGTCACGTGCAGGTCACGCCACCAGACGCGCTCAGGTTCGAAACTCCGCCCCCAGCTTTCCAACTATTTCCATCAGCGGAGGTCAGCCCCCATTCCAGTGGCAGCAAGATCTACCACACCTTTACCAGGGACCGCCAGGTTATCAGCAAACATTTGTATGTCTGCCTTACAGAGAATAAGGATTGCAGCCCGTCTGCGGCCCCGAATTGATGGCGAGGTCGAAGATACTTCCATTCAAGTCATCCATTCAGACCAAGCCGCATCCTGCATCAGCATCGCCAACCCAAGAGATCCTACACAAGTCTTCAAATTTCCGTGGGTGCACCTATGAAATAGTATCTGCGTGCTTTGCTTGACTTTCGGATAGTTTCTCGTCGTGCTATGACCAATCCTCCACACAGGAGGAAATATTCGATAGAGATGTGCAACCCTTGATCAATGTTGTTTACAGTGGCGTTGTATGTATCACCCGTCCGATTCAGGGGCCCCGAGGCCATACACTTACATAGGCACGTTTCAGACAGTTACGATCTTCGCGTATGGTGTAACGTCGTCTGGTAAAACACATACTATGCAGGGTAGCAAATCTCAGCCAGGTGTCATTCCACGAGTTGTCACAGTACGTATTTTCCCTCTTATTTCTGTCTCTTTGAGCCTGAATAATGTCCGGAAATCTACAGGCAATGTTTCAACAGAAATCATCTCTGCACAGGTCAAATGTTTCCCTGGCTGTGTCTTATATGGAAATATACAAGGACGAAGTTTATGACCTTTTAGTAAATAGGGAAACCGTGAGTCTGAAAGGAGCAGTCATCACATGCGTGGGATGCTCACCCAAAATCCCTGATGTGCAGGCTCCCAAGCTACCAGTACGAGAGAACGACGTGGGCCAAGTTTTCGTTGCCAACCTTACCTCAATTCCCATTAATTCAATAGAAGAATTTGACGCCATTTATTTGTAAGTGTCCGTCTTTTTGTGACTCCACGAGGGTTCTAGACCGCGGCCGTACAACTAGACAAGCCTCGAAACACCGTTCAGTAGGATCAACAAATTTGAATCATGCATCATCCCGGTCGCATGCCGTTTTAACAATTGAAGTGACCATGACAGATTCTTCGGAAGAGAAAAGTAATACCGATTTTTGTCGCTGACCCATACCTTAATACTCACCATTTCCCTATTAGCATTGACAGGAAAGATCAATCTAGTCGACTTAGCTGGTTCAGAAAATAACAAGCTGACTGGCAACGATCCCACACGCATGTCTGAATCTTCAGCAATCAACAAAAGCTTAAGTGTTTTGGGACAAGTGGTTCATGCCCTAAACCAAGGAGCTGTAAGTAATGTGGTAGACCATGAGAATTGTGTTGATACTCTTTGAGCGTAGTCTCGTATACCATATCGAAACTCTAAATTAACTCGAATACTTCAAGATGCGCTAGGTGGATCGTCCGTAGGATTACTCATATGCAATCTTGCTCCAGGCGTCAAATTCCGACAGGATACCCTTAATACTCTCAAGTAAGTTCCATAATGTATACATATCATTAGTAAATAACGCGTCCTCCTAAGCTTTGCAGTACGAACGAAGAATGTAGAAAATAGACCTGTCATCAACGAACGTAGTACGTAAATATTTCGCTCTCTTCTGCTTATGAGCTTCAACCTCTCCGCTCAGATAACAAGCCAAAACCAAAGCCACACTTTGCTGCCATTCAACCACCACCGCCCAAGCTTGCACCTGCCGTACTGCAACCGGTATCGACGGCCGGTTCTAGTAGTGGACCCTCCCGACAGTCTCTTGTTCCTGGTCCCAGGCAGAGTCTTGCGGGATTCTCCCGAGTGCCACGCGTCAGTGGCTTCGGGATTGGCCCTTCCACCTCTTTACCGACAAGATTGAGATCTTCCGGTGGCGTCGCCGCTGTGAAAGAAAAGGAACCCGGTGGGATGCAGCTGACAGATAAGGATATCGACGAAAGAGTGCGCACTGTGGTGTTATCTTACGTTGTTTGTATTGTATTGACTGACGGAACACGTGGCCTTGGACAGATAGCAAAAGCCGTTGAAATGGAAGTCGCGCGGCGGCTGGAAGAGCGGGAGAAGGAACGGGTCAAAGACGAAGAAGAACGGCGAGCAAAGGAGCAAGCTGCTGCAGAACAGGAAAAATCGGCATCTTTCGATCAAAGAGGGGATCAGAAGTTGCCTCCGGGTATCCTTACGCCTTTGCTGCGAAAGCATAGAGACCTTGATGACGAGCTCAAGACGCGCTTAGAAGAGCTTGAGGAGAAGTTGTATGTCACCTCTCTAACATGTAATTTGTCTGCTGAACCGAGATGCCCTTGCACAGTGAACGAGGTAATAAGGAGACCCAACTTGCCGATGTATTGTCTCCCCTGTCGAAAAAGAAGACAGGGCGAGCGTATGTGGCGCTGGCGCGCGCTCATTCCGAAAAGTAAGTACTTTCTCCTCGTTGCATGTAATATACTCATTGTAACACCACGAATCTGCAGAGGCGACCTGCAAGTAGCCTTGGAGCTTTATCGAAAAGCAGAATCATATGTCCCAGACAATATTAAACTGAAAGAGAGGTGGATACTTTTTATTGTTCAAGTCTTTTTGTGTAATATATCCCATGCCAAGCGATAATTCTGACTCTACGTTTTATTCGCCGTTGCGTGCGTAGAATCATCGAAATTGAATGGGCAGCCAAGAACAACAAGGAATTTGTGCCTTCACCGAAGAAGGTGAAGAAGGTTAAGACGAAAAAAAGAAAAGATGTTAAAGGCGTGGCCGACGGTCTCGGACATGCGCAGGGGGGACGGGAGTCGGATGTATTTGACAACGGGAAGGGGAAAAGAAAACAGGATGGCCCTAGTTTTGGAATAGAGGTGACGAATAGCCCGTTCAAGAAAATCAAGACAGAAGGTTGGGAGGACAGCATTGGTACGCCCCCGGGTCAATATCATAACATCAAAGCAGAGGGTAATGACGAACTTGAGTGGGCATCAGCGAGGAACAGCATCGATATGGAGGATGCAGCTTGATAATTACTGGTTACAGCGACCTTCTACGAGACCGTCTTGGCTTGTATTGATCTGTATTGGTTATGCATGTGTAATATGTTTTATCTGCTCGGTTATTCCTGACGTGGTACTCCTATCATCGGCTTTATTCTCAATATTATATTATCTGTCGTCACGGCGTTTCATCTTCCATTGCAGTTGGGGCCGTCGGGAGATATGGAGCATGCAGCACCTTACTTGTACGTACACCCCGTCGCTGAGTACTGAAGCCTGAGAACAGTCCTGGACTCCGCAGCAATTGAGGTCTCCAATGTTTTGTAAGCATAATTTCGTTTGCCTGAATTACTGGCTTATGTCTTTTTGGAATGTATAGTAACCATCAGAGTCCTGAAGTGAGATCTGCACTGATTCTGCAGCGCTGCAATATTTCATCACTGTCCTACTTCATCAGAGACTACAAATATTTCTGGTGAGTGTTTTAATATGTCAACTTTTTCTTTTTCCTATATTTTTTCTTCCATTTTCTACAGGTGGCCCTGAAGTCTCCTTACTTGTATAGGATGCCAAATGATGCTGAAGCAAAGAGTACTTCAGTTGAACCTTACCAGAAAAGGTTCAGAGCCATATGCATCGGGTCCACCGGGTTTATAATACCCAGCGACGTGTTGTCATTTCTGCAACAAAATCACAAACCCACGCGTATCTCCAAGATCTATAAAGATTAAGCTTTGCAGTCACGTTTGGTCTCGGCGGTGGTTCCAAAGAATGCTACCATTCAGGGTTTTCCCCATCCCCGTTTGCCGTCATGTATATGGCAAGACAAGCCCTGAGTTTCTTTGTTGACCTGGAGACTCTGCCACGCGACCATGAGATAACCTTTTGGCTGTTGCCCAGCAGGGACAATTTGGTTGCTCTCCTCCGAAGCTTTGCAAAAATCTCAGCCCCTTTCTTCATCATAGGCAGTTCGCTCAATCGATTCGTGGCTTATGTGTACAGGTCCTAAATGCTTAAAAGCTCGCACTTTTGGCCTTGAATCTCAGCAATCATGGCCTTCCGTCTTCCTACCCACTTAGAGTCTTTCATCCCACCACCATCCCAGCAGGTTCCTCAATCGAGGCCATGGCGGGGTACTTTCGTATTGAGCGGTGCCCATTTCTCCAACAGTTCTCCCAGTGAAGAGCTGTGCATCACGGCCGCAGAAACCGATGGCGACAAGTAAGTCTTCGTGCTTCATGCGCTTGGTTGCCCATTAAATGCTCTGCAGTCGTATGGATCTTGGCCTTCTCACCTTTACGTCCACTTGATGCACGACGCGATCGCACTCAAAGACGTTCAAGCTTGGGTCAAACATCGCGCCCCGCCGCTCTGTACTTTCATGCCTGATAGGCTTAGCGATGCCAACGGTAACGCCATCAACCAAGCGAATTTCCGCCAGCTTTCTCGCCTTTTGTACGAGAAACAGATGGTTCGTATTGATCTTGATGAAAGATGATGATCCATACTGATCTTCATACAAATAGGTGGCTATCGCACCTTGGCGCGTTCCGGAAAGGCTGCCTGGGGCGGGTATCATTATTTATCCCACTCAGACGTCGAGTGGCATGCTCGTCGGTGCCATATTCTTGACGGCTGGTTTTCCCGACTTTGTCGCTGCTGCGTTACAGCCACCAACCGGCAGTTCACGCCTTCTCTATGGTGCTACCGGCTCTCCTGAGTCGAGCCTCAGTTCCTCCAGCCGTCATCCTCAGTATCAAAGCTATCCTGCTCATTACGCGCAACCTCATACGACTCCATCTCCCTCTTCTGGAAATGAAGGAACCTCTGCGTACAATTCGGTGCATGGCAGTGGTCAAGGCCAGCGCTGACGTATACCTATTATTCCAAACATCTAGAATTCGCCATAGAGACTTTAACCGTTCGAGACTCGGTATTTTTTTCGCGATAATTTCTTGTATCCATTTAACGCAATCTTCTGTATCAACTGTTCAATTTCTGTAGAGATAACTTTCTTTTACAACGCTTTGTTCGTTTTCGAAGTTTTCATTTCCATATACTAACACAAAAAAAAAGAAGGAAAAAAGGAAGTCAACAAAAAAAGGTCCCCTTTATGTATCAGTTCAATAGTATAGTTTTGTATTTTTATCGGTATTTGATGTAGTGTGTAACTGATGGTTATCGTATGTGTCACTGTAGAGTTCCTGTGGACGGTAGGTGTCATGAAAACGCTTGATTTGTCATGGATGATAAATGATCCAAAGGCAAGCTCTCTCACTGAAGCTTCTTTGAGGGAAAATACGTAGTCCACTTACATTCTAGGCCACCCCATGCCTTGATTATCGCGATGACGTCCAGCACCACCCAGGTATGTAAATTCGCGAGTCCCAATTCGGTCTCGTAGCGCCATGGATCTTGTGAGTGTTCCATCGTATCCAGGCAGCATGAGTAGTAAAATGGGGGCACGACCAAGGTCGTTTCGACAGCATCTCATAATTTTGCACCACATCTTTGTGGGATCATTTGTTGGCTCGTCGAGAAAATGGACACGTGGAATAGTATTGGGTGATAGATTCAATCTACCATCGGCAGCGCTGAGCTACAGTGAAAACCAGCTGACCAACTCAATCTTGCCGAGAAGACCACGACCAGGATAGCCGACTTGGAAAGTTGTCGTCATTCTTAAAATGAACGGTTGACTTGGCCAAATTTAGACGTTTCTTTATTCACCTTCGCTTCCACTGGCTTGCCATGCGAGGTCAACAGGAAATTTCTCTTGCCCAGCTGATGACGGTCCCTTTAGCGTAATTGCGTGTGCTATCGCGGCCATTTCGGTGCTTGGAATGTCGTTGGGGGGTTGCAGGACAAAGTTCGGTCAAAGTCATTGAGCAGGGGTGCTTCTGTGACTTCGAGCCCTCGTGTACGAGGGGTTTTAGTGAACTTTTACAGAATCGGCTATCAAAATTCCTTCGTCTTGCGGTACCGCTCAAGTACTCGAGTTGCCCGAATTACTAAAATAAAGCAGATTTCTGTGAATGACCACCGTATAAGATCAGCGTATCACAGAAAGTGCATGGAGAAACATTAACACCAGATCGTATTCGCAGCCACCATAGAAACGACGGGTTTAGTCTCATCAAAGATGGTAAATCCCAGACATGTGAGAATAGGGGGACTCATTGCGTCAGGATAGTATTGAAGATGGTATTGAAACATGAAACATGTACGAACGACTTGCGGAAGACTAGCTCAATTTCCTCCCACTAGTAGAGAACCAACATGCATCCTGACGACTCGATTGGGGATTAGCTACCGGAATTTAGGAGTTAGCCTTCGTGCACCCACAGTCTACTCGTCTTGCGCAGTGAATAAGTGTCACAGTGTCCTGGCATAGGTTGTGAGTCTATAGTATCCTGTTTGGAACTCCCGATGAGGATGTCAAAAGACTATATGTGCGTGCTGGTATGGCTGCCTTGCGGGAATGCAGATCCACTCAGCTGGAATCGTGCGTCCGGACGCGCAGCACAACGCAGAAAATCATCAATTTACGAAAGCGAGACCTATGAAACGTGTAAAGCACAATATCCATCACGACAAGTTGATCCGAAGTTGATCAGAAATAAAGGAAAGTAAAGAAGACATCAAAGGGGACACACCTAAGAGCATCCAGTTCTTCCATTTCATCCATCTTCCACAACACTGTTTAAATTTTTTTTTGAAGGCTTTATTTCTTCCATAGAAAATAGGCTCCGTTGCTCGTCAGATATATCTACCAATAAATGTACTCCCCTTCAAGGATCTTGACACGGCAGGAATGATTTTTCGCAGGTGGGGCAAATGCAAATAACTAACTTATTTTTGGCCGTGCATTGTCAATAACAATACAAAGTACCCAAAGACACCACCGATATTTACCAAGGAACGACGTGCCATTGAAATAACCCAACTTAGAATCATAGAGTTAGGAGCTATAAGTGCGACTCACTTCCCAATACCTATGCTTTGATATACTCCATATCGCGGCGTGAATGTCACCAAAAAAAGGTAGCGGGGGGGTCACTGAAAAAGAAAACGCGGGAGATTATTTTATGCAGCGGTTGGTGCGGCAGTCGTTGTTCCTACGGCGTCGACTCATCAGGTAAATTTTGTGCGTGATCCTGGGATTCGAGTTAACTTTGAGTCTGTTATAAGATTACCATTCAGACTTACGTTTCGAATATGCACGATTGGGCCTTTATAATTAGAGTTATCCGTCGTAAATACGTACAACCCCGCACCATGATGACCTATCAGCATCACCGCAAGGTTTTGGAGTAGTGGATATTACCACCTGCTTTTAGGCCACTATTTACGAACGACCAAGAATTACTGGTGACGTTGATAGTCTTGCAGCTCGTATGGAATTTTCTTCAGTTCGAGCTTTGCTTCGGTGCCACTGACCGTGCATCTTGATTCTTATAATCAGTATCGGAGTTAGATAGGTGATTCACGTATCACTCACTACAAACGTTGAGATACTTTAAGTCGCTGTGTATTCCAGGAATACTTCAAGCAACTGCTGCAGTGTCAAAGTTCAAGTCAAGTGTAAATTTGCAGTCTCAGGCCTCAGGCAGACTCACAGTTGTCACCAAATGGGTGCCCGACGTCGCGGAGTTTCTCGTTTATACTATACCCGAGCTGACTGCACCGTTCAAACCTTCAAGGCTCCAGTTGAGCTCAGAATTTTCTATCGACCGCCCAAGACACAATCGAGAGCTACACATTAACAGCAGGTAACACCCCAGCTAGATATTCGGATTCGTGTATACATAGTTCTGGTATATATATTGGAAAGTGTAGCGTACTGTATGTAGTACAGATTACAGATGGGGAACAACGTTAACAGCTTGGAACGGAATTTTATCATTTCTCTGCCATAGCATCCAGGATGGTGGGATACATCGAGCACAGTACAATCAACGGTGAGGGTGTCAGCTCGAATCACTTGCACGACACTTGAGTCCTTCTCTATTTACAGTCCCCACTCCATCCTGCCCTTTTAAATATGGTTCTTCTTTCTTTCACCCATCCATACTGAATAGGTCGTCGTCATCACCTGTAACCACAGGTCCACTCAATGGGCTCAGAGGTCCCTGACCCTGCCAGTTACGGTTATTACCACGCGACATACCCAGAGGAGAACTCTTCGGCGGAGACTGTGGTAGGCCAGCAGTAGTAGACATTCCCTGAGTTGTCGTGCGGGACGCTGCAGCAGAATAGGACAATCTCGAAAACATGGTCTCCAGGCCATTGGCGGAAGTGGTCATGGGAGTGCCATTGTTCTGGCTCGTTGATAATTGCTCAGTAGAAACGCTGGTCCAATCTGGGTTGGTACCGGGAGAGTAGGCCGAGTTCTGACTTGAACCGAAAGCAGATGGCGACGCTATCATTGGTGGGGGTAAGGCATGTATCCTTGAGTATCCTGCAGCCAAGCCTTGGGGAAGACTTTGCCCTGGAGCGTGCGCTTGAAGTGCGCGAGTAGAAGGAGATATGGTGCTATGCCTCTCGTCGCCTTCTGCTCCAAAGACACCGCTACCACCGGGGATAGGACGGCCAGAAATTTGACGATGAAGCCCCAGAGGCGAAGAATAACTGTCAGACGTAAAATTGTCATATGGTGCGCGATTACCCAGGGAACCAACTTTTGACTGCTGAAAGGCTGCTCCTGCAGGGTTGCTGGATGTGAGATTGCTTGTGGAGGTGTTTTGAGGCGTCGCTACCCCAGAGTTGGGAGGATACAACGCGGGTCCACCCGTCCTGTTTCCCCCAGAGGTGGATCGTTGAGGACCCATTTTCGAGTTCAGGTAATGATGATGAAGACCTGGGAGGAACGCGGCAGAAGCATTGGAAGGTGATAGAAGGGAAGGTGACGGTGTGTCCTCAAAGCCGAAGGAACGGCCACCAAAACCAGAATTGGACTTGAAAGAATTGGGAGTACCACCTCCCAGTCCGCCACCTAAACCAACATTACCTAATCCTGCACCAGTATCTGGAGAACCCGGTAGACCGTTTTGATCTGCCCAGATTGATTTGATGTCTCCTAACAATGATGGGGCGGGAACGGAACGAGAATAGCGGTGATGCGGGCCTTCTGCTATGGAGCGAGGAGTGAGAGTAGCATTGTTCAAATTACCAGGATGAGCTGAGCCTGTGCGCGACATTCGTCGCGACCGTTCTTCCGGAGTGAGAAGATCAGTCAAAGAGCTGGGCAAAAACTCTTCCAGATCCTCATCTTCTGCCAGTATTTCCCGTTCCAATCCCCTAATTGCACCTATACCTTCACCACGATTCTTAACCTGCGAAGGCACGGGTCCCAGATCTGTTTTCCAAGTTCTAGTAGCACCAAGGGACGCAGCCAGACCCGAACGAGCCTTAAAGTCTAGCAACGACCCAGGTTCAAATACAGATTGTGAACCAGGAGCGGAAAAGGGAGAAGAAGAAATGGGAACAGCGGGGGAGGAGCCAGGGGAGTAACCATTGAGATGTATTGTCTGAGAGGACAGAGAGCGCGGAGGAGATCCGATAGGCCCAAAATCATGGGAGTGGGAAGATCGATGCGACAAACCAAGCCGTTGAGGGGCACTGGGAGTACTGACAGGAAGAGCCAGGGCCGGAGCTTTGGATGGATCTCCACTTTTCTCATCGCCTGACTGGGCGTCTGGTTGCGCAGGGCCTTCGGGCGAGGTATTTGACGTAGACATTTTTCTCTGAGCAGGGGCAGAAGGGAGCTTGTTGCTTTCATCAGGCAAGCCAAACGAAGCAAAATCTGTATCTTTGAGAGGCGGTGCAGGAGCCGAAGGTGACATGGTAGCCTTGAGCATGGACATAGGAGGACGAGCTGAGTTTGGTAACATTCTGGTAGGTGCAGTGGATCCAGAAAGCAGCGTATTCCGGGCCGGGTTGTTTGAGGTGGGGGCAGCAGCACTTAATCCAGAGTGACCATGACCATCCCTTTTCCCGCCTTTGCCCGCCTTACCACCTTCTCTGCTTTGATTGTTGCCTCCTGAATTTCCACCGTTAGCGGCTAGCTGTGCAGATTTCTTATTTTTCCTATCCATAGCCATGCTCTGTCCGGGAAGGATATGGGCGAGAGCACACTTGTGACCAAACTTGCAGTTTCCCTTTACGAACCAAGCGCAGACATCTTTATGTTGTCCGGGTTCTTGAGAGGTATGCGAAAATGGACAGGATGCACCTGCAGTGCAGGATCCCACCTTGAAAAATTTGCAGGGAACATGTGATAGGTCCTTGGCTAGACGACGAGAGTTTATACGAGATTGGCTTTCGGCAAAGCAAGACTTACATTTTGACGAAGACTTTGGACCCTTTGATTTTTCACGCTCTAGCTCGCCATCGGCGTCCCTGTCCACGACATCCTGAAAATTTTCGGAGTCGGGCTTGTCAGTGGAAGTCATTTGTTATATCGATAAATAGGTGAAAAAGCGAGGAAATGATATGGGACGAAAAGAGAAGCGGTGTTGAATGAGACCTAGAAAAAGACGGTGAGGAATATAAGCAAAAGAAAGGGCTGAAGCTATGGCAGCTAACCTCAGAGGCCCTTTTCGAGGAAGCTATCGAGGAGCAGGACCGCAAACGAGGCGGGGCTGGCAGAGCACGATTGGTAATTATGTAACACGGGTTATCAGAGAAACGGAAATAAATAAATAAATAAAGTCACTGCCTTTCTCTTATTGTTCCCAAATGCTCCTGCGTTCCCTAATCTCTTGAGTCTCATCTTGCACATTCCCTACACGTTCCCGATACAAGCCCTGCACCGCTGACATCCCTAATTATCCACTTACGCGAAAATGGGGACTCTGGATCATCGTCTGGAGAACTTTGTCGTTGGCACGGTCTATCAGGTGCTCGATGTAATCGGAGAGGGCGCCTACGGCATTGTTTGGTATGTTATCTTATATGTCACCTTCTAATATCACATCTCTGACTTATCACAGTTCTGCAATCCATATACCCACCCAGCGCAAGGTCGCGATCAAACGTATCACCCCCTTTGACCACTCTATGTTTTGTCTTCGCACCCTGCGAGAAATAAAGCTTCTGCGCCACTTCCGCCACGAAAACATTATATCCATCCTCGATATCCTCTGTCCTCCAAGCTATGACGATTTCAGGGAGGTTTATCTGGTGCAGGAACTCATGGAAACAGACCTACATCGTGTCATCCGAACACAGCAGCTCAGTGATGATCACTGCCAATACTTTATTTATCAGGTATGTCAGATGTCTGCCAAGTTATCGATGCTTCCAGCAATGCACCGCCCGGTCTTGCCACTCGTCCATGCAGCTCTTTGTACTAACCGAGTATGGTGCAGACCCTACGCGCTTTGAAAGCGTTGCATTCCGCGGATGTTCTCCACCGTGATCTTAAACCTTCTAATCTTCTGGTAAACGCTAATTGCGATCTTAAAGTTCGTGTTAATTGTGCTTCTGGTGGCGTTGGTAATCTTGGAGCTTCGCACTGATACTCCACTGTAGGTATGCGATTTTGGACTTGCACGTTCTGCAAGACCACCTCCCAATGTTGCCAACGACAGCAGCACTTTCATGACCGAATATGTCGCAACCAGGTACTTTCCTTTTACTCCCCTTTACCGTCCAATCCGTAGAAATGTTACTAAGAAACATATTCGCTTCATATTCCTACTATTTTGTATCTCCTGCGGACCTTGCGTCAAGGTGGTACCGCGCTCCTGAAGTCATGCTAACATTCAAAGAATACACGCGTGCGATCGACATGTGGAGTGTTGGTTGTGTCTTAGCTGAAATGCTGAGCGGGAAACCTTTGTTCCCAGGCAGGGATTGTACGATTTTCATCTTGCTATTGCACACTTTACATCTTACTCAACTTGCCTCGCCCGTGTCCGCGACTGTTCAGGTATTGTGCTCCTTTTGATCCTTCCGCACAACTGTTCTCACAATGATAGACGACCACTGAAATTCTGCGTCCTTGACAGATCATGACCAGTTGTCGATAATACTGGATGTTCTCGGTACACCATCCATCGACGACTTCTATGCCATAACATCACAGCGCTCAAGGGATTACATACGCGCATTACCGTTTAGAAAAAGGAGGTCATTCACGCAGCTATTTCCTGGCGCAAATCCTCTTGTACGTTCGAGTTTTTTCACATCATCCCACCCCCTTTTTTCCATGATGTATTTGGCTTGCTGAATCCATCCAATATGCTAGGCCGTCGACTTTTTGGAAAAATGCTTAACCTTTAGTCCGATACGGCGGATTGACGTCACTGAAGCGCTGCGACATCCATATTTAGAGGTGAGCAAAAAACTTCGTCTTATTGGCAAGGCGTGTTGTCATTGACCGAGCGTTTTTCCACATTGCCATTGTAATCATCTTTACCGTCTCGTATCGGATCAATCTGCATAGCCGTATCACGATCCTGAGGATGAACCTACTGCCAATCCCATAGATCCTTCCTTCTTCGACTTTGACAACGGGGATCCGGTAGACAAGGAAGATTTGAAAAGTACGTGGTTTTTATATACCTCGAATATCTTGCTTGTATGGTGCTGAACAAGTCGTGGATTAGGGCTTATCTATGCTGAAGTTATCGCTGCTTCCCCTCAAGCGGCCTCTCTTTCTGTGTCCGAAATATAATGATAGGTCTTGATTGTGTGATTGATATCTATTTGGTTGGCGTTCAAGACGCGTAGTTTTTCTTAGCTGTGGTTAATTCATGATAGGAATTTACTTGTCATGGTGAAATTTTGGAAAAAAGTCAAATGTAAAGAGTGAGTAGCTTTTCTCGGATCGTGGTATGTGTGGCGGGGGGCTCATTGCGTCACAGATACTGTTTAATGATTGATTCTAGCAAGACCAAGCTTGTCCTTGTTGATTTATTTCCTCCAATTTATTGTGCAAGATGTATCAGATGAGAACGCTTGGGTGATGACTAGTGACGAACTTCAAAGCAAATTCAAAGATGTTAGGTCGTTTGGAAGGTCGCTTGAAACAGCAGTGGTTCCACTCCCAATTCGTACCGTTAATCGGTGATGGTTGTGATGAAAACACCCAACACTTCCTCCGGGATAGCTTGGACCTCGGCAGCGCCGTGGATAATGTATAAATATTGCTCTCATCATCCATTAACTAATTTATGTTGTTACTTTCTTTCGATAATAATACACTAGTATACGACTTCATTAACACCAAAAACCTGACTGTCTTTACATCATGTCCTCCGGCGAAGTCGAACGTTAGCATTGGTGGGAACCAGTGTGAGGCCAGGTGTCCAATTCAGCATTGCTTCTCTTTGCTCCTCGAACGGTTTATGCATCAAATTCTCTGGTATGAGCACTTCATATCGATGAACGAGGCTAGCAAGAATGCAAATGCTTTCTGTGAGCGCGAATCTTTGGCCAATGCAAGAGCGAGGGCCACCCGAGAATGCTAAGACTATGTATGGTATTGATCAGTTGCTGAGAAATGCGGGGACAAGTGGGGAAAGAAGTGCATACATGCATCCCGTGGCCAGCGATACGTATCCGAGTCAATGAATCGCGCAGGCTTAAAATCCTCGACATCGTCACCCCAATATAATGCTATAATGATGGTAAATAAGGCTGTCGTAGTCGGGATTGTACAGGTGCTCACGATTCATATGTAAGGCCCATATATCAATGACCACAATACTACCGGCTGGTACGGCAACTGAAAAAGACTCGCCAGGAGTGACAGAACCTTTCGCTCCCGCATTCAAACGTTGTGCAGGAAGCATAACATCAGTATGTACATCTCTCGGTAATCGTATTACCGGGGGGAAAAGGCGAAGCGTTTCACGGAAGAATGCCAAAGTGTATGGCTGAGAGAAGAAAGATCTGAGTATGCAAAGTTTGCGCCACAGAAGAAGTGACTGACCAGCTGGGGGAAATCCTTGTAGGACTGTGATGGAGGTTAGCCAAGAAACACTCATATATCATACTAGTATAAGCTTACAGAAGTAGAACCACCTATAGTATCTCCTTCTGGCCAAATCTTGCGCACTTCTTCATATATCTTGCCTTGTGCTTCTGGATACAACGCCAGAAGACTGATGGCAAACGACAAAGTATGAGCGGATGTTTCTAATATGAAACGTAAGCTCGGACTATCCCTTGCCAGCGAGAAGAAAAAATTACCATGTCCAGCTAGGAGAAACACCTAAAGATGAGCTCCAGAATTAAAAAGCATGAACTTATAGAGAAGTTTAGTACGCCTACAAATGTATTCGAAAGAACTTCGCTGTCAGACAAGCATTTGCTGTCACCCTCCGGAGACATGTTTGCTTCAACGAGATTATGCAGCAGAGCAGCGCGTGAAGCCGACGACCTCCCCTCCGTGACAGATGCACGAGCCGAAGACACGAGTTCCAACATATAACTTCCCAGTTCATCGAAGGCCTGCCGAGCTTGTAGAATACGTGCGGAAAGATAAGGCACTTTCACAACAGACGAAAACGAAGTAAACCAGTCTGGAGGAAGCATTCTGAACATCACGTTTTCCACAGCAGCTATCATGGCAGAACGAAAAGTGAGAGCATAACCGGGAGCGGGCACATCAGAGGAGTCATCATCCCAAGAAACCTGCCTCCCAAAACCAGCAACAGAAGTAATGAGGAGGGTAATCTAGAATGTGAAATTGAGGATCAGGCGAGTTAACCAATCGAATGAGTGTACCTGTGTCATGGGTGCTACCATCTCGACAGTGAGGTCTGAAGACAGGCTATTAGAAGCAGACTTCTCCGCACGTTGGGCAGTGTCGAGTTGATTGAACCAGTCGCTCATTATTCTAATGGTTTCTGCCCAGACCAAAGCATTGTTGGCCTGGTAGAAATAGATGAGTTACGGCAAAAAAGTGGACATCCTTGTCGCACCTCACTAAATGCAGGAGCAGCAACAGTACGATGTCGTTTCCATTCGCCCTGATCCGTACCGACAATGTTCTTGCCATAAATATTGAGAGGCTCATACTGTAGTCAGATAAGCCCCCAAAATTCAGGATGTTACGCCAAAAATAAATTACCGTGACAGCATCCTTGCGGAATACGATGCGATCGGAGGTTACTGCTTTGATTGCTTCCATGTCTGCGAGCCAGAAATATGGCTGGGAATTGGATATTTTCACGCAAGCAAATACAGTACTGCCAAACTTCCTGTATACTTTCAAATAAATTTATAAGACAGTAATACGCTGGTTTATCGTAAAGGACTGACTAGATAATTTGCCTGCATAATGTCCTACGCTGCCCGGGCCGGGGAATACAGCTGCGAGAACGAGAGCCAATGGATAGAGTGGGTCAAAACAAAGGAACTGACCCCCCGGGTATCCGCTGCGACAGAATTGTTGATATTAGTAGCTCTAAATCAAAGCGGCTGTAGATTCTTATGTCTCGGTTCCCCAGAATCATGAAGTCATACAACTTTGGATTCAAATATACAGAAAACGAGCTGAAGACTTACGATATTACACTGAAAGCCCTCTGAAGAGACACATATTTGTTGACCGCGATTTTGAGGACCACGGACGCCAACAGTGTTCCAGAGAGTATCCAGGCTGTGTTGGAGCTGTAGCTGACACTAGAAGGATCCATCGCGTTGTGCACTAGTATACCACGTCCTATCGTCGTATCACGGTCGTCCCCACATCACTAGCATGAGTCGCCTAGCTTTATACTGCACCTGTGGGCGCCTGTGGAGGCTAAGAGTCTGACAGGGCGTGACTGGTACCCTGCGCATCTTGGTTGACGGCCGCTGTGAAGTGAGCAAAGACAAATACTTGCGAGACCCAGGAATGAATTAGATTCCCTGAATGACCTAACTCAATATTACTCAATCATGATGATACAGGGATCAGATCGCTCTACCGGAATATCCCGAATAGATAACGCATTCTAATTCGTTAATAGTGTGTGCGCCCATTTACCTATGCTATCACGCATTTCAAACAAGCACAAGCCAATTGCAAAGAACACAGGATTCTATAGTAAGCGACAGCAAGTAAAAGGATTGTGTATGCAGAGAAAGACGTGAAACCCAATAATTCCGATAATTTTTTTTTTCAGCACTGAAAGTCCCAACGAGCCATATATCCTGGGTATGACAATATACACTCTACCACGAGTCTCGTGCGTGTGTAGATAGATGTCTAGATCTATTATCTACGTCCTATCTATGCAACGTGAAGCAAGGCCATAAGCATCCGATAAGTCCTCGGAAGACGACCTTGCATGTTGCGAACGTACAAGGCAGAAATCGACATTCAACCTTTTCGTGGTTGGTCGAGCTCAATCTGCAACATAGAACAACCAGTCTATAGAACGTCCGGTCGTTTGATGTCGTCCTCTTGGGAACTACAATCCCAGTTTTTCTCTTTGAAATCTTCATCATCAAGCTCAACACGAGGCGTAGTGTTGTTAGCGTCGAAGAGTGTCGTTTGTCGTTTTGGTCTGACGTAAGCGGCTTCTATCTCTTCTGTGCGGGTGAACGTTTCCATCTGCAAGAAATAGCGACGTCAAAATCTGTAACTTGATTACTATGGGAGGGCTCACAGGAAAGCTCACCTCGACATGCACAGCACCTTGAACTTTAGTTGCAGATCCGACAGTCCCTATGGGACGTCCTCCATTCATTGATCGGAAAGCGATACCAGAATTTTGCCCGGATGATGCACTACGAAACATATCAGCTAAATGAATAAACCGGTAAACATACGAGATAACATACAAGACTTCTGCACCCGTTATTTTGAAGTTCGTTAACCGCCGGACGACACGAGAGGCTACAATCTAAAAGACAATCCCAATAAACATAAGGTTAAGGCTATGAAAGGCTTTCAACTCACAGTTGAAGCAACAGCAGCTGGTACGTTGAAAATGACACTCATGATTGCGTTCAAGTTCAAAATCATGAAAACTGTGGCAATGAGATTCGCAACGAAACTGCACAATAATATATCAACTCCAGATGACACCCATGAGGATTGGAAATACTCACGCGATGAAGAAGTAGATCAAACCATCAGAAAAGATCATTCTGATGAGCTTGCTCCTCGCTCCTGAGCCAGACTTCATAGGTGTCCATGCAAGCTTATACGTGGACAAGCAGAGAACAACGAGATCAAAGCACATGGAATATATAAATGTAGCAGCAAGGACCGTGTTGTTACTCTTGACTATCGCACAACCTGAGCCAGGAATCCACGCGGCGGTAAGAAGCACGCCTACAAGAATATTAGCCCCTGTCTATAGGTATTGCTGTAGCGACTCTACCTTGCAGAATCAATGACCAGTGACCGAGCATGATGAGCACCAGTATAGAAACAATATAGCGATTCTGTGACCAAACCGCTATCCTATTAATAATAGGGAATTCAATCTGTCGTCGCATGACGTTACTAAATTAAGCCTTACGTGCGTAGTGATAAGTTGATGCTTGCAATACCTACAGCACCATCCCCGGCAAGCTGAAAATACATATGTCAGACATGAACGCATGTTATGGGAATAATCAGTGGACTAACTTGAATGAAAGTATACAGTGCTTGACAGTTGATTTCTCTGTAACGAAGTTGTCAGTACAAATACCATAAGCTATGAAGGAATTTACTTTGGCGTGTCTAGCGCGATTGCACTTTGAGACAATGAGTTACAAATACCGGAAATAATATTCCATTAAAGCTTACATTCCAATTAGTGCAAAAAGTAGAAGATATCGACCGGCAAAATAGAATATCTTCGATCCGGTCAATGGTTGATACAACCAATGAGATGTAAATCCTCACCAATGGCCAACGGAATTGTTTTTTACCGGAAAGGACAGCCCAATCGAAGTCTAGAGATGTTGCCCATTCCCAACTAATTAAAATGTTTCATGAGGAAGAACATCCAGTACGTCGAAATGGACTTACGCGTAAAGACCAAGCAAGGCGTGCATAAACTTGATGAAAGCCGCTATAGTGCACAGTTGGTGTCAGATACAATGTTTTCAAATTTATATACACATACCAGAGTCTGCCACTAGCTCCGCCGAAGATTGCCAGTCCACCATGATGCACGGATCAACAAATGTAAAGTTACAGCGATCTGAACTGCACGGCAACTAAGCACGAAACGAATGGTCGAGGGAGCGAGAGATAAAAAAGGACTCAGACACGATGAATCCTCGAGCATGTCGCCTTTTATTTCTAGTTGCGGCTGCTCGGACCACGACGGCCACGGTACGGTGCCAAAAGAAGCATGTATTACAGAAGCGGATATGCGAGCGTCTCAACGGCATTTTGCAACCTCATATGACAATTGTTGCTGTTGTGCAACTTGAAAGTCAAGCTGTATAAGCGTCCGGATACCAAGCGGATGCTATTTGCTAAATTTCCATGGCCAGATCCCAGGAACACGAGCCGGCGGATGTATTATTTTTCGAGTCGTGGAAAATAGCGGAAGCTGAATATATACTAGCAAATTCAAAAATTTAGTCGGTCCCTGGTAAGTTTTCAGTAAATATGCCAGCGGTATTGCGAATTTCAAAGTAACCTCCTCTTCATGGCTTGTTACGATGGTCGTATTCGCTATATTATCAACATAACAAGATTAGAACGAGCGAACAGGTATGTTTCAGATGGGCCGGGAACAGTTTCAGACCGTTTTTTGCTACTAGAAATATTTTACCTTTCCCAGCGCTTCTGCAAGTTGGATCTACTTGAGGCCGTTTTCTACGGCAACTTTGAAACATATATAGAAGCCTATCTAGGACCCTTTCCTGACCCTTCGCTTGTTGAACCATATATTGGGCTGCTCATCTCCGTCTGGAATATCTCGTATAATATCTCGTATTGGTATTAGCCGTCTGGATCGCTTCACCCGGAACCCCCGGCCGTTCAATCTTCGAGGTCCTGACAATCCTTTTGTCCTCCGGTAAAAACTTGAAGCTTGCAGATTGGTGATTAGCGTACTATAAAAGTGAGTCCTCAAGAACAAAAGGTCAAATATTCTGCTTATCACTGCTTCTTACACTGTTTTCTTGTACAACTCCTGAGTACCGAGTCGCTAATGGCTTCCTTCGTTTATCTTCTAGTCTCCCTTGCAATTGCTCAATACACTCGTTATCGTTTCTTTCGGGTCCGTCAAGACGTACATGCACTTTCAGGTCCTGTAAGTCCCGCACAGCTTTTAGGATTCGTGAACTCTAACTTACTATTTGACAGTCTTCATCTATCGCAAGTTGGCTCTGGGGACATGAACTCCTCGTCTTCCAACACGAATCCACTCAACTATACTCAATATGGGCACACACCTTTGGGTCGGTTTTCAGAATCAAAGCTGCGCTATTTCATGAGGATATTGTCAGTGCTATATCGAACCTCAACGGTGATGCCACTTATAGACTTACCTTCTAGATTGTTGCTGCAGATCATGCTGCAGTTCAGCATATCTTCGCTGATACAGACAATTACGGTAATTACAATTCTACTTGTGCTTCGCCTTCGGAAGTTCATTGCGTATATTTGCATCAGTGAAATCTCCAGCTTTTCGTCCTCCAGTCGCAAACGTCATCGGAAAAGGTCTTGTATGGGCTGAAGGCGATGACCACAAGACTCAACGTCGAATTCTGAATCCCGCGTTCTCGTGAGTATTGTTACAGCATTTATCACGCTGTCAATAACACGACTATTTGGTAGACTCGAAAGTATCAAGGGAATGACAACTGATATCGTAGAATGTTGCGAAAAAATAGAAAGCAGTCTGGTTAACCGCCTTCTAGCTCACACAGGAGGTGTCACCGTCAATATCGTCGAATATATGTCATCTTGCACGTATGCATATCTTTCGCTGCTTTCTTGCACCAGACCTGATCCTCTCTCGTCTAGACTCAACATCATAGGACGTGTCGCATTCGGACACGATTTCAAATCTACCGTACTCGAGACATCATCATCTGAGCCTCCTACTGATGCACAAGCCATCCGCGACTCTTGGAACGATCACGTCAACACTGGTCTCACACCATCTGCATTCCTCGCACCTCTCGTCGTTCGCGCCATTCCTGCGATCACCAAAGCTCCCCTACCACTCATGCAGACGCAGGGCGCCATCAAGATGATTGTGCGAAGATTAGCTGGGCGTTTGATGCAGAATGGTCACGGTCTCGCGGGAGGGCAGAGTAAGGACATTTTCAGCATCTTACTGAATTCACGCAAGGGTAAGGAGCAGGGCGAACGTGGTCTAACAGATGAGCAAATATTGGACAACGTGAGTTTATATCATACTTCACCAGCTGAATTCCCCCTTATTAACTATAAAAATGCAGGTCAGCACTTTCATGTATGTGGATGGGAATGACCAGAGTTCAAATATACTGATATAACAACTATTAGGATGGTTGGCCACGAGACTACGGCAGGTTCGGCCAATTTCACTCTTCTCGAACTTGCAAGAAGGCCAGATATCCAGCAAAAGCTACGTCAGGAAGTGATCGAATGCGGGCATGAACTAAGCTACGACCATGTTCAAAAATTGCCATACCTAGATGCCATCGTCAAAGAGGGGTTGGTGTCTAACTTATTGTTTCGCGTTTGATTAGAAATATCTAACTTATCTTTTTGACAGTTTGCGACTGTACCCTGCTTCACCGCAAACAGAACGAGTCGCCCTAAAAGACGATGTCATCCCACTCAGCAAGCCGATCCGTACATCAACTGGTCGAACCATGAACCAGATCAAAATCCGCAAAGGCCAGGTACGTCTACCCCATGTTGGAATGGCGGCGTCTCATTAAATGCGCTCTTTACAGGTTATTCATATCCCTTTCACTACGATGCAAACCAACCCAGCTGTCTGGGGACCTGATGCCGCGTCTTTCAAACCCGAGCGGTGGCTGATACCGGGTGGTGTCCCTCCACCAAGCGAGCTTCCCCATGGGTGGAGTGGACTTGTCACGTTCTGTGATGGACCTAGGATGTGTATAGGCTACCGGTTAGGTATGTCTCACTTGCATGCTGCCTCCTCCAGGTTTATGTGCCGAGAGCTACGTGAAACCGTGCTGAATTGATTTTCTTACTTCTTTTTTTTTGGACAGCTATACTGGAATTCAAAATAATCCTAGCAACGCTTGTTCGCTCCCTACAGTTCCACGACACAGAAGCTGTCGTCCTTCAAAAAATATCACCAACGCTGCAGGCGGTGACAGATGGCCGGGGCGGTTTACTGCCACTGCATATCACGCTGGCGTAGGTTGCGTAATATCGTCATAGCAGCTATAGATTTGCGCAAGTCCTCTCTCCCTTCACTCGATTGGAAGGTTTTTTCTCTTCACATACTTATTCAATGCATGGACTTCGATTCCGAATACAACTGGCAGTGCCATTATCAGTATATACCCTTCTTGTGCCTGCCTTCTTCCTTCTTCTGTCATTCACTGGCCGTCTTTCTATTGGAGTCTTATCCAGGTACGAGGTTTTGGAAATGTCTCAGATTGCGAGGAGCCGAGGAGGGCCACTTCTTTGTTCAACAATCGTCAGCCATAGCTGATAGAATCGCGACCAGGGTAGTCTGCAGCACTGAATAACACAGTTATCTTGACGGACCCGGACGTGTAGCGAAACCAGTGCATCCGATTAGTCAAGTCAATTCCTCGATAAGCTAGTAAGCGTTGAACAAGTCGGTTCAACCATGTGTACAAATCTGCATCGAGATGAGTGACGACTTTTATCTCCTGGAATCTCGAATTTTTCGAAGCTTGGCCGCCGCAATGCATGAGAGCAATTTGAACTCGCATGGTCATCGTTTACCACATAGCTATGTATACATGCTGCGCTTCATGGCGGCGTTGTCAATTCATGAAATGCACCTCGTTACTACTGTAAATTGCTACTGTATCACGAGGCTTTACACATATGATAGCTGTAGCGCACATGTACGCCATTGCAATTGGCCACGGAGAACGATAAACCCTCGTATCACGGCAAGCATAAGCTCCTCAGCTGAACCCACCGCAGACTGGTTTCTCTTTATTTTAGGTTATGACCAGACAAAAAACTTATAGATCAAACACAAAAAAAGCACCAAGTGGAGATTGGTGGAAACCTGTGGAAGCACCTTGTGACCTACTAATGATCACATTTGTCCGAATGAATAGCAGGTTTACAGCAACATCTAGGCACGACGCTGAGGTTTCATTTGTAAAAAATAGCATATAACGAATATGTGAGCGAAAGAAGATCAGGCAGAGATTTTTTTTACTATATGAAGCTCTGAGCCAGAATAGAAAGAACTTCGAATTCTGATGCTGGCAGACGGGGTTCCGGAGCACTTACAAGAAGGCCATTATGAAGGGAAGTACAGTTTTGAAGGTTTTGAGTAGCGCTGTGAAGATTCGAGTTTAAATGGACGCCCTGCTAATTGTTTTGAACCCCAGTACTTCGAAACTTTCTGTCAAGATCTCCCGATATTGACGCACTGGATAATTGAGGAATGGGCGATATGTCTTTGATTCGTGTCTCTTATCACTGAGACTCTCATCCTCGAGGCAGAGACGTCAAAGAAATTTTAGTTGCACTCGGGCTGTCAGTAACTGCGAAGTTGGTGCACAAAATACCCGATGCCATTCATGTTCCCCGATCAAAGAGTAAAATTCTGTGAGACTCGGAGAAGGTTAAGCGTTGAAATTGTGATGCGACTCTCTTTGCGCGGTGCCTTTGGGAAGTTTTCAACGGGCCAACAAAGGAAACCAGCGAGACCGGGAGGATAGAAGTATTACAGAACGAGCGAGCTGCTCACCAAGAGAGGACCTTCGTGATCTGGCTAAAATTTTTGAAAGAAGGTTGATGGCTCAGACAGCGCTGCGGAAAATATCTGCAGGGACACCATCTGCTACCTGCTGTTCTTCGTGAACCAATTGCAAGGAGAGACCCCAGAAATGGCGATGCAGCCTTGATTTGGACATCTTTATCGAGGTTACATGTGCCGGGAATGTCCCTGTTGATGGCTGTCGAAATGTCAAAGGCTGTATATGTTCAGTTGGTTCCGCCAGTCCTTGCCAAGATAGTGCAGGATAGCCTTTAGTGGTAAGGTTAAGAAGAAATGGAATAAGACAGGCCCCAGAGTTGAGTTTGGGTCGAAAAGTGGGCTTGTACCGGTTTTCGCTAGAACGATACCCGGGAGAAACCGAGAGTCACGTAAGGCGTGGAGAAGCAAGTCGACAGCTTATGGAAGAAGCGAAGGTTTATCTATCTCTTTGGAATTCTGGTCCCGTCGTTTAATATAAAGACCATGACCGTCCATCCACGTTTTGCCCATTCTCGTCTGCCTCCCTCCAGCTTGCGTGAATCTTCCATTCCTCATTCTCCTTCCTTTCACTTCCCATCATGGTCGATTGGCAGTCTCCAGCAGAAGTCGCAAAAGACGGCGGTATGTCTATCTTTGATTTCTCTGCACCGCCGTCCTAAACTCGGCTCTTGCGTATAGCCGCCTTCAGCAAATTCATGCATACTTTGCTGGGGCTTTACATGCAAGTGCTATATCCGACATTTGGCACGCATATATTGACTGTATATGACATACTTCAGTTGGGAGTTTGTCACGTCCTTGGACTTTGACTGGCAATTCATATCGGGGAAAAAGCGCTTTCGTTGGCCATTGGTAGGATTTCTCTTCCTAGGCAATCTCGCTTCAGGACTTGAATAACGTGACAGATCTTCTACTTTGCCGGTCGCTACTGTCTGTTCTTTGCCCTGATAGGAATGTATGCGCTCGAATCTAGTATTTTGCCATTGGCCACTTGTTCAACGTTTTATACAGTGCCATCGCCTTGAACGTGACAACGCCAGTCAATTGCCAAAGCTTGTATACCTTTAATCAAGTCCTTGGTAATGCTGCCATTGGCCTAGCAAGTATCAACCTGTCACTGAGGACGTGAGTACAATCGTAAACGGACGCATATAGGAGCGCTTAGATGTTCTCATCCATTTTTAGGATTGCTGTGTGGTCTCAGAACAGGTACATCGTCGTACCCCTCATTGTGATCATCTTAGGACACTGGTCTTTCCTTCTCCACGGTAAGTCTTGGAGGACCTGATTTAATAATAGCTCTGACATGAGTGTTTTTCCAGGGATACTGCTCAAGGCAGAATGGGTCCCTGGCACTGGATGCGTAATCACAAGCACTAGTAACCGTATCCTTGCGATCAGTTTCATTTACTCAATGACATTCGACTTCACTGTTCTTTGCCTTACCGGGTGGAAACTTGCGTTTCCTTCGAATGGTCGCTCAAAACTTATCACCCTTATCTTCGGTGATGGTCTGATTTATTTCATCATTGCGTAAGGGTGCATATATGCGGTCAGCAATACCCAGTATTGACTATCTCATTTAGATTTTTGGCCAATTTACTTGCTACAGTAACTCTTTTTAATATGCAAATGGCACAACGGAGCTGACCGCCAAATTAGATTTTCATGCTCCTGAACCTCAACGCAGTCATGTCCATCATTGCTAATGTTCCCGCAGCCATCGCATCAACTGTAAGTGGAAAGGTTTTCTCACCAATTCAAGGCCTTCACGAAACTGGTAAATGAATATATTTTAGATTGTAGCATGCCGAGCAGTTCGCAGGTTGACAAACTACACTGCTCAAGGTCCAGAGGTCTTTGCGTGAGTCCCTTTTTCGTTACCATGCTCGGCGTACTTTACCCCGCATTCTTTGCTATCTTAGCACCACTACGCAAGGCTCGACACTTGCTTTCCGCAGTAACCTTACACACACCTCTCGTCGTATTTCCATGAAGAAAGGTGATCACGTGCACGTTCAGGTGGGTGCAACCTTTTCTTTTCCAGTGTTAGTGAAGTTGTGCTGAATGGTGGCCTTGCGGTGAATTTTTGGGTAGATGGACACATTCACCGACCAAGGTGATAAGCCCTTGGGGGAATACGACGCCACCGGCAAGATCATCAAAGGGGATGAATTCGACCCAGAGGCACAGATCATCAGTGACGAGTTCAAGCGCCCTCCTTACTAGACACCGTCTCCAACGTTCATGTATACCATCAAAATCAACAAGATATTTTCCTTGCACCAGTATCAAAATGCATTCTCCGCGCTATCGCCCGTATTTTCGTCCTACGATTTCCGTCTTCCCCTCATTTTTCCCCAGATAGTTTGTCTTCGGCGGCACAACTGACCCTTGGGTTTGCATAAATATCCATACCCCCCACTATCTTTGCCAACACACATTCGTTCTCGATATACACTCATTTTGCTTCTCGTAGCATCCTCCTCATTCGTTTTCGCACTCTCGTTTATATGGTCTGGACATTGTTCCTTCTGGGTTATGCATCGCTTTCGGACTCGCTATCTTCATCTTATACTTTCTTGGTACTCCAATCATATTGCACTTTGAACAGGATGTTCTTGACCCTGTCCCTGGTCTCCCTCCGCTTCTGCTTCCGTCTGGTCGATCTCGGGTAGATTTCATTTCGACTGCACTGTTCATCCCAGTCTATCTGATAGTGTTGTCCAAGGATGACACGATTGCCGTTGGAGACCTGTTGAGACTGAATATACAAATAAAAGTAAAAGACACTTCCCAACATGTATATTAACTACCAATTACGCTGTACAACATCAAGAAAATAAATAAAAACACGTTCTAACAATTTTACTTGCGAATTAGATTTTTCCAACAAGTTTCTGCGATTGAGTCGATAAAACTATTGTTAGTCTTCGATCAATGAAAATAAATCTTAACATAGCTTATTAGACGCTTGATGACGACTTGTGGGATTTGGGTTCTCCCAACAGGGTACTGGTGGCCCAAGCAAATGGACTGTAGTGGATGTATAAATGCCACAAGTCCGCGTTTAGCTGGGCGACCAATACGATATCATCGGATGGAAGTTGCACTTTGATCCTTTGGTTCCTGTTAGAAAGCATGATTATTCAGCTGACGGTGATAACTAGTTTCCGCGATGCTTCTGTTCATACTTGAGCATAGGTAGATTTCCACTCTGGACTCTCAGGCGCCATGTAGCATCCTATATATACAGCTGCAGTAGTCGCAATAATAGAAACCTATTATATGGATCGTCAGTAGTACGAAGGTAGAAGAGTATGGCACTGATACTTCCTGCCATGCCAGCGATTCAAGACTCAAGTCACAACTAACTGTAGGTATTATTGGTAGTCTATTCTCACTGCTCGATGTGTAGTGAACCTGAGGCGTTGAAATAATTACCCGGACCTGGAGAGTAGTGTCTGGTGATGATGATCACCGTGACTGACCAGGTCCCGGGAGCTTGATGGCCATTAACAAGGGGAACAGTGATTGATACCAACAAGTCTGAGAATCTCGGAATTCAGAGCGCTGAGAACTGATGGCCATGGTGTTCGTAGTTGGGGAAATGAACCTGTGTAGCAGACAGGCGGGTCAGGACCTTAATCCAAGCGACGTTATCATAATCGATGAAGGACGCCTTCAGGCAAGTATATGTGCCGCTTGCGGTCTCTCATTTCGATTCTTCATAGACCGCGTCAAGAGATATCACTCAGTGCCGTGGGTATGGTAGACTCACGAGTCAAGAGACTAGATAATGCAGGCAGACATTGGAGAAAATATTGCTTTGCATAGGTCAACACCTGTGATATGGGGTTTTCAGAAGATAAATAAAGACCACCAAAGTTGAATAAATCACAAAAATCACAAAACCGTAGTAACCTGTAAGATGATCATTATGTGTCGAAGAAGTCTTCATCCAATGCCCAACCACCGATCAAATAGCAACATAGGCAGGGACAACAGTAAAAAAGACCAGCAATGGCAGCAACCAACTTGAGCGTCGAGCGAGTCTTCACAGAGGAAGCTACAAGTGCTAGATCTTCATCATGATTCGCCACATTATCCATGCTCATAATAAGATCGTTTGATTTCAGTATCTCTCCTATACAAACAATGAGGACATGATTCGCCATGACTGGGTTGAGTACAGACCTCGCGAGAGCTGTGGGTGCTTCAATACTACACCATCATTCTTTCTTGCGTATTGTTCTGCGATGTATGAAAAAGCGACAGATTCAGTGACTGTATTTCGAATATTTTCTACAGGTCAATTGGCAAAGTGTTTCTCATCATTATAGACCATGAGAACTCACCATACTGTGACAGTGCCCGGAATGCTGCAGCTGCACCTAGCACTTGAATATCCCCAAGTATGCCACGCAGCATGGTAAACAAATTGGCGCCGTGGTCGCGTATGAGTGTTTGGCGAATGTCATCTTCACAAGAAAGCTTTCCATCAGACACCCACAATCATATCAAGAAGCTAGCCTTACCGTACATTCCTAACATCCCAAGAACCCTCGCAGAAGATAACTGTACAGTTCGGTCCGTCTTTCCAAGGGCTTGTACAAGTAAGGATAAGATACCTTGATCGATCATTTTCTCGGCGCTATCGTCTACATCACCAATCATGACTTTCAGAATGCTTCGGAGGATAAGATGATACCGACAATGTTTAGCAAATACGAAGAGATAATCAGCACCAGCAGTGACTGTCTTGGTTTTGGCAGTCTTCAACATTTCAATTAATTTTTCTATAGCCTTCGCCTCAAACAAAGCATGTCTGAGATCATCTTATCAAATGTCAGTCCTACCATGAGCGAAGATAAATAATATTGAACATACCGTGCTCAATGAGTGACTCCAGGGTGCTGATGCCACGCATTCCCTGGGTAGAATTGTGAAAATAACGGCGGGTCATCATCTCGACCAGCGCGGATGGTGCCTTGCATTGTATCATGTTGTCCCGAAAAGCCTCTGGAACAGCTTCAGGACCCTGAAATCCAAACAAAAAAGGTACCGTAGAAACTGACCATGTACGGCAAACAAAGATAGAGAGTGTGCTATAAAAGGAGAGTCATCCTTGCTCTGAAGCTTCTTTACCATAAAACAAATTGCACCAGATTGTATGATTTGGTCGTGGAGAGCATCTTCAATTTATGGTAAGCAACGACGACGAGCCCACGTTGAATTGACCTACTATGTTGAACGAGAGAGCATATGCCTGATGCCCCAGCTCAAAGTAATCGAGAGTTTTGACTTTCCAGCAGGTGGGCAAGCCGATTGAGAGTGTTGTCGGATGCGAACACCTTTCTCACGTCCTCTGGATGGTGTTTAGCAGGTGGATGTGTCCGTTCAACATGGCGTACAGACAGGGCCCGCACACTCAAGGTCTCCATCTGTGCTGAGCCATGGCAGAGCGCATCCACAAGCGTCGGAATAACGCGTGAGCTTTTCGGGGTTCCACGTAGGTCATCTATAATGAAGAGCGTGAGTATATATCCACTGCGTCAAGTAACTGCATTCTCTGCATACCATGCTCGGACAGAGTGCACAGTGTTTCTACGCTGGCTGGTGTGACATATCGATCTCAAAGAGATCTAATATAAACCAAATGCTCAGACTTCGTGGGCGAAGCTCTGAGAATGTATTCGCGTACCTAATATAAACCAAATGCTAGGTACAGAGTAAGTATATCACATAAAATAAGGAAGGTATAAGATCCTCACCTCAGACTTCGTGGGCGAAGCTCTGAGGTGGGGCAATCGTTGCTACGAAGGTTTTTAAACTCGAACGGAAGTATAACTAAGGGGGTAAATTGCCCCATCAAAACGCACGGGCCATCCTACCACTACACTTTCCTAGTATGGTGTCCTGCGCCATACTTTCCCTTCGTACGACGCTTGTCTTTGTCGACTCGCGTTTTCTAACACTCCCCCTCAAGCGGTACGTAGGCCTAACGCAGCCGCAAAATGTTTCACCTTTGCAGAGGGCAAGGACTTGGTGAGCACGTCGGCTGTCATCTCTTCAGTTGGGCAATAAGTAATCTCGATCTTCCCTTCTTCAATGGCGTGCCGAATGAAATGGTACCGAACATCGATATGTTTGGTTCGCGCGTGGTATTGACTGTCCTTCGAAAGTGCTATGGCTGATTGGTTATCACACAGGAGGATGGTTGGTGGTAAGTCTTGATTGAAGAGTTCGCTGATGAACATCCTCGCCCACAGTAGTTCCTTAGTGGCATGTGTCGCAGCCACATACTCGGCCTCTGTCGTTGATAACGCGACAATTTCTTGTTGCTTCGAGTACCACGAGACGGCGCCACCATCAAGCATCATGGCATAGCCTGATATGGCTCGCCTGGTCTCGTTCATACTCCCATCTGCATCGGTGTATCCGGTAAGTGGCTGTTCTTCCGGACCGTATGCTAACCATAGCTCTCTGCTCCCTTTTAGGTACCGGATCACCCTTTTTGCTGCCTCCCAATGGGCCGGACCTGGGTTCTCGACAAAACGAGAAAGAATTGCAACAACATGCGCGATATCGGGGCGTGTGCCAATCGCCGCATACATCAGTGATCCCACGGCCTCTCGATATGGGATGTTTCGCATTTCTGCGTAGTCTTCAGGCGTCTTGGGGCTCTGGTCTTTACTCAGGTAGGTGCTAGCAACCATTGGGATCGCTAACGTTTTTGCATCTTCTAGGTTGAAGCGTTTGACAATAGTGTCGAGGTAGCTGCATTGTGACATGTATAAGGTGCGTGTGCTTCTGTCTCTTTTCACTTCTATTCCTAACATCCAATGTAGCTCCCCCAGGTCACTAACTTCGAAGAGTTTTCCTAGGTCAAATTTCAAACGGTTCATCTCAGTCATTGATGGTGTGACGAGAGTCATGTCGTCTACATGAACTGCAATAATGGTGAGCTCTCCTTCATTGCGCCTATGGAAAACTGCATGGTCTGTTTCACAGCGAATTAAACCAATTTTCTGGAGTCCGTCGCATAGAGTCTGATACCACCTGCGGCCGGCCTGCTTCAGGCCATAGAGTGTCTTGTTTAGGCGCAGGACTTGGGTCTCTTTTCCAGGTGCGTTGTAACCAGGCGGTTGTCGCATGTAGATGACCTCGTTTTCTTCTAGTTCGCCGTTTAGGTATGCACTTTTTACATCCATCTGGTGAGTTTCCCAATCATTTCGAGCAGCCATCGCTAAGATGATTCGTAGCGATGCCATCTTTGCAACGGGGGCAAATGTGTCGAAATAGTCTATTCCTTCCACTTGGCTGTAGCCTTGTACTTATCGATGGATCCTGACGCTGTTTTCTTTAGCTTGAACACCCATTTACTCCCTACGATGTTCGCATCTTTGGGTTTCTCAATGTAAGTCCATGTTCTTGCTACTCGAAGCCTGTTCAATTCCTCATTGATCGCTTCTTCCCATTTTGGCCAGTCTGGGCGCTTTCGGGCTTCTTCAATAGTTCTGGGTTCAACGCCTTCGAGATCTGCCATGCGTGCCACCATGGCTACATTTTGGGCGAGATCCCTTAGTGCTTCATTATCTCTCTCCTCCTCATCTCTCCCATCCGGATCGTCGACGTTCAGTTGGATGCCTTTGGGTAAGGTGGGTCCATTATTTCCAGATACTGATCCTTTTCCTTGTAGGAGGTCGCGAACATATTGGGTTGGCTGGCGAATGCGGGTACTTCGACGCGGAGCAACTATAGGTGGAGGTGGAAGAACCGGAGCTGGTAGGATGGGATCAGGATCAGCTTGATCTTGATCCTGAGGGTATAGTGGGTCAGGGATTGCTTGGGGATTGGGTGAATCGGGATGAGGTATGTGATCACTAAGTTCTACAATGTCACTCTCCTTTGGCGCTTGGTCCAGGACATCATGCTCCCCCTCAAGCCCAAAGGGAGGTTCGTTGTCAGCATCTACAGGTACATTCGCGACGTCAAAATGCACTGAGCGCTCAACAGTGACTGAATGATTCTCTGGCCAATAGATGCGGTGTCCGAGACTTTCGGTATCAAAACCGACCCAGTGACCCCTCCTAGCTCGGCTCTCAAGCTTTGAGCCAGTTGCGTCGTGCACGAGTACATTGCAGCCCCATTCGTGTAGGCCAGCAAGATCCGGCTTGACACCATGTGCCGCTTCAAACGGCGTCATGTTGTCTAGTGCCTTGGTGGAGGTGCGGTTCTTCAACCAACATGCATGTTTGATGGCTTCCCCCCACAGGAATTTCGGCAGGCCACTGCTAAGTAAGAGGGCGCGTACTTTTTCGAGTAGGGTACGGTTCACGCGCTCTGCAACACCGTTCTGTTCGGGGGTGTCATGCACTGTGAGTTTCCTCATAATTCCTCTATCTTTCAGATAGTCACTAAACGCATTGCTCATATATTCGCCACCCCTGTCGCTATGTAAGACTTTGATTGCTGCATTCATGTGGTTGCGGACCCAGGCCTCATACATTTGGAATTGACGGAAAGTGTCGGATTTATCGCGCAGTAGATAAACATGTGTTTCGCGTGTCTTATCATCCGTAAAGGCAACATAGTACCGTTTTCCACCCAGCGTTTCGACTGGTGCAGGTCCCCATAGGTCGGTGTGGATCTCCTGGCCATATTCCTGTGCACGCTCACCCAGTTTCACTTTAGGGATTGCCTCGCGCTTGCCCTTGGCGCGGACACAAGTTTCACAGAAAGTGTCTGTTTCCCTATCCTCCAGGAGTTCTACCCCATGGATCAAGCCCTTCGACACCATGCGCTTTGCTGCATCAATGGCTATATGGCCAAGGCGCTTGTGGAGTTCAGTGGCAGATATGCGCTCGACAGCTGCATTGGCGCTTTCGTGGCGAAGATTTGTGCCTCGCGACTGGTACACACCACCTACTTTAGGTATGCGTCCTCTTATTTTTCCTCTCGGGTCATAGATAACGCATTCGCTTTTCGCAAAGACGGCCTTGTAGCCTGCCTTATCCATACAGCCTATGGAAACTAGGGTATAGGCCAAATTTGGTGCGTATAACACGTCTCTCAGGCGCACTTGCGTGTCTTTATGGGCGCCGTTGGGGACACTAATCATCATATCCCCTGTTCCTACAGCAGAGAAGGAGTCTTGGTTTGCCACGCTTATAGGGTAAGGTGCAATCGTGCGGTAATTGAGTAGGAGGTGTTGATGGGGGGTGAAGTGGCTCGTAGCGCCGGAGTCATAGATTTCAATGGGACTCTTTGGCTTCGCGTTCATGGCGAGTTGGTGAGTGAGGGCGCTCCACGCGCCTTCTTCTTCAAAATCTGATAGGCTCGCGCTGTCGCATTGGACGTGGACAGCAAGGTTTGCCTTTTCAGGCTTCTTTCCCTTTGCATCGCCCGTTTGCCCCTCTTCTTTCTTGTCTCCTGGTGAGTCCCCTTTTGACTCATTCTTTGTGGAGCGCTCACGCTTCTCACTGGGACACTGGTGTGACCTGTGTCCCTTTCCACCGCAGTTCCAGCATTCAAGCTCGCTGGTATCCTTGTCGTCTCTGCCGCCAGATGATTTTCCTTTCTTGTAGCGACCTCTTCCGCCTCGACTTCCACGTTTGGACGATCCTTGTCCTCCGGTGGCTGACATAGCGATGTCCTCTGATTTCGCTGTCGGGCGTTTTCTGAATATGGTCTGTCGGTCGTATTCTTGGAGAAGGTACGAGATCAGTGTCTCTGGGTCCAAGGTCTGCTTTGACATATGGGCAGACGCTGACAGGTGCGACACGTAGGTGGCGTATGAGTGCGGCAAAGACATGATGATGCTGGAGGTGAGTTCTTTGTCTGCTAGTTGGACTCCTGCTGCGCTGAGCTGTTCCCATAGCGCGCGAATCTTGTCCAAATGTGCGCGCAAGTCTCCTTTCTCGGTGCAGCGTAGGTTCGACAACCTTTCTCTTAGCTCGGACTGAACTAGCTCCGTTTTGTTCTCGTTTTCTTGGCAGATCATGACCCACATGTCGGCGACGGTGGGTTTGTTTAGGATCCTTCGCAGCGTCGAATCAGGTATGGTGCGACCTAATATATTTCGCGCGCGGTACTCCTTTTTTAGCCAGGCATCAAGTGCTTCTTGATCAGCCTTGCTGACTGTTGCAGGAGGAGATGTCGTCGCTGTGGCCTGGCCAGCAGTCTGGCTAGTGGTCTGGGATAGTGGTATCGGCCTTTTTGCTGTGCCATGGAGGTGCTCGACGCAGTCTCGGTCAGCAAGGGCCCATTCGAGGCGAGTTTTGTACATCGACCAGTTCGAGCCATCCGGCTCGAGCTTTGGCACCCCAAGGGTGTCTTTTTCAAGGTGCGTTGTCTCACTCTCAGGGCTCATAACCTCAAAGAGATCTAATATAAACCAAATGCTCAGACTTCGTGGGCGAAGCTCTGAGAATGTATTCGCGTACCTAATATAAACCAAATGCTAGGTACAGAGTAAGTATATCACATAAAATAAGGAAGGTATAAGATCCTCACCTCAGACTTCGTGGGCGAAGCTCTGAGGTGGGGCAATCGTTGCTACGAAGGTTTTTAAACTCGAACGGAAGTATAACTAAGGGGGTAAATTGCCCCATCAAAACGCACGGGCCATCCTACCACTACACTTTCCTAGTATGGTGTCCTGCGCCATACTTTCCCTTCGTACGACGCTTGTCTTTGTCGACTCGCGTTTTCTAACACGATCATCCCGCTTCATTAGCTTCAGCAGCTCTCGCCATACACCCAGCCTTTGCATTGTCTGTTGGGCTTTCACTTGTACAGTACAAGGTTAGTCATTTAAAGGGTAGTGAAGAAGAACACAAACCATTAAGCGCTAAAGCAACTAATATTCCTAAACCTGCCACTACTACGGGATCATCTAATGTCGCGAAGACATGTGAAAATGGTGGATACTTTAAACAACAAAGATAAAACCCACGACGACTCGCCAGCAGGTCAAATAGACCTTCTACGGCTCCGAGCTTAAACAGCGCAGAAACAATGGCATCTAGTTGTAAGTGCTCAGAGACAACGCAACTTGGCGTACATTGGCTTGAATCCTACCATATTTGATAATAACAGATAAGGCTTGTGTGCCTGGTACTTGAGTATCTGGTTTTTCATTCTTGCAAAGTTCTACAATCTTTTTGAGCATCTCCTCACTCAAGACTTCTTCCCTTAGAGATTCTGCGCTTGCAATCAGGTACCACTTAGATAACTACTTAGCGGGAAAACTCACCATGTTTGTAAAGAGGAGGAAGAGATACAACGACACGACAGCGTGTGCGCATATCTTCGTTTGCAATCATATCTGGAAGATAATCGAATTTACCTCTTAGATACGTTGGAGCTTCATCGTCTAAGGGGAAGAGTGTGCCGGTTAGAGATAGCCTTCTGAGTTTGTCCTTGCAAAACTAACCAATTTCACAAAGGATAACAGAGGCACTAAGGTGCATCCTTTTATCTTTCTGTTCAAGCAGCGCCTTTAAGCGATTTTTCCCTCGTCTAAAAACATGATCAGATAGTCCCTTTTTTACAGGGAATCGCAGGACATACCAAAACATGAAAGAAGTGCTAAGCGATCCATAGAGTCTAAACAATCTCCAAAGCTGGATTCTTTCGAATCGGTATAGCGACCGAGAGCGTCCAAGTGTGTGGCAATAGCTTTATATTCAAAAAGATCTTTCTCCCAAACTTTGCCTAATTCTGCCAGCCGGCGATGACTAAGAGGGTCGTTCCAGTACAACGTCGAAGGCCACTCTTGTTGTTGTTTGAAAAACTTAGCTCGAGGTTGATAGTTGCTTTTAAACAGGACTGATGCATGCACCTTCTGCCCTGGAACAATATTTCGACCCCGTCCAAGATGGGGCCTGGAACAACGTGAAAACGATTCATATAAATCACTGGACACGATGATTGTACGACTTTACCTGATGGTAGACTGGTCGCCATCCCAATATAGTAGACGCTGCATTGGAAGAACCTCCAATGGCCACCAACCCCAGGTGAGCGATTCAATTGTCTGTTTCTGCAGATCTTCTAGTTTCCATGTAATGTCAGTAGAGTGTAGGTGAAGACCAGCCACAATGGCCTCGTTTCTCATCCATAGCAGGGGGATATCTCCGGACTGTAGGTCTTTGTTTACTCTATTTCCACCGCCACTATACAGGTGCAGTTAAATATGCGATGAGAAAGGCAGAGGTGACATCACTCACACATCCGAGTGAGTTCCCGCGAACCAGACCTATTTGATGTGGGGCGGTATACTTGTATCGTCAGATTCATCTGCTTTCCCACCATAGACATATTCGGGAAGGAACTTGACGCGACGTTCATCCAATGCTAGTGCTTGTCGAAAATAGCAGATATGGTCGCAAGACCGCGTAGTAAATGGTAGCGTCTTGCCTCTAAAAAACCCAACGGATGAAACGGTATCCCTATGTAATCATGTTGATCAATTGGACACTTATTTTTTCCATTCTTGTTGTCGTTAACGCACCATACTCCTACAAAATTCACACCTACATTCTCTCTTGAAAAAGTGTTTTTGAACGTTTTCGATAGTTCCATGCTTTCTTCATCTTTGTAGTCTGAGTATAACTCATATGCGCTTCGGGCCATCAAGCTCTACTAGTGATTCGGGATATGAAGAGCGACTTACAAAGGGATCTGTTCGTTATTCCCTGGTAGAATGAGTCCCACCTTGCGTCCAACGAAACAATATAAGAGATGAAGCTAACTGAACTACAGAACAAAAGAGACGCACTTGATGAATCATCCCAGCGATAGCTCGAACTTGATATGCACCCCGCGAAAAACCTGTAAAACGAATTAGGGGTGCGTAATAAGGTAATGGACGTGACAACAAGTACCAATGAGATAGATTTTGTCTCCGTGCCTATATTCTTCAGAAAGCCAACGATATGCTGCCATTATGACCTTGTCCAAGTTCCTGCAAGTGAGAGATTAGGCAACAGAAGCAATGAGAACAAAACAAGGATAATATCCTACCAAGCAATAGCCAAATCAACGGTATTGACAACACATTGTTTGAGATACTTGAAAGAGCGCCAGGAGGGCTTAGCATAAGTACCTATGCCACTGTTATAATAAGTCAGCTGGTCTTCAGATTTTACTATATGACTGTAAAATTCAATGATGTTTGTGTTCTAACAGAATGTATGGTAAACCACGAATCATTGATGTGTAGGTAACTCATACCATCTTCCTAAATTTATTTGACGTGCCGTCAATGCAGACAACAACATTCCTTAGTTTACGTCCCTCAGGAGAACGACACCGACATCGGGTTTCTGACGCTGTGGCGGATGGTGGGCTGTAGTTGCTCTCAACCAAGTCTGAATTCATTGTAGAACTGATGAGTCGTTCTGCAAGAGAGAATGGCTCTTTTATGTATAAACGAGGCTGAACAAATGGCGACTCGGAGCGACAATGGCTTTTCGACACTAAATTGGCACCGAGAGGTACGTTAAGTCTACACGCCTAAGTCGCATTCCATGCCGCGCATATACCTAGTGTACGACAGGATAAGCGCCTGACAAAATGTAGGAAAATCCATGCACTGAGCTGACCTTGAAACGATGACTTTCTTGATGCCGTTTTGACTATCAGAATTCAAGGATAGTTTCAGTAGCATGTGAGAGGCCATTTGCGACACATCGATTGAAATGCGCCAAAAGATGATTATTTGATTACGCTCCTTGGGCAGGAACATACCAAAACAAGCTATGACATATTGACAAGGTCCGGCATAACACCCAATCGAGCGTTCTTTGATATTCGCGACGGCCCAGAGCGATCCATTACAATTGCACGTTAATATTTTCATGGGAAAAGCATCGATGTATTGGGATATTCAATAACGTCAACAGGGTCGATTCAGAGTCTGGCAGATTTTTGTCGTGAGCCTTGCGATTCCAAAAAGACAGCCAGGTTTCGAAGTGCAAAATGTAACATGCTTCTGCGTTCTTCCAGTATGCTTTCACCGTGTGTATGCATGCGTATAAGCATGCATGGTGGTGGTTTGGAGTGAACTTGGTTCCAGCGTGTGTGACATCTATACAGGAACATATTTATATGGACAGTCACGCGACAAACACTATGACGCGTCGAGGACATTGGCCGAGTTCCCGGCTCTGTGTCATCCGAGTCTCAGAGTCGTGGGTTTGTCGAGCGTAGAATGAAATCCGAGTCTATATCTTGAGGCTTTTGAGAATCGAAAGACACAATTCTTAGACCTTGCCTTCCCCGTCTTCATCTTTCCATATCATTGTTTTATCCATTCACTCTTGTCGCATTCGAGCCGGTTATATCTCAGCCGGTTATAACTTGAACGAATCCACTGCAACGACGATGTCTCCGAAAATTAGATCATCATCTGCTTTTAATATCTCTAGGCGGTCTACAAGTAGTACGGGGACCCTAATCCCTCCGTCATTGGTGCAATCGCGCCACCTTCCGTCGGAGCAGTTTCTCAAGAAATCCGTGGTTATTACTAGCACTCCATCCAGAGAAGACGATGAATGGCTCAGGGATGCTATACCACTCATATGGGATTCAGCACAAATAAAAGCTGTCTGAGAATGATATGATGCTGATTGTGCTGGATTTCGCAGTGAATGAATGGCAGGAGATGCCAGTGAGGTCGCTGCCACCCAAGTTCTTGAACGGTGGTCTGCAATGTCGTACTCGTACGTGCACTCATGTCTCATTCTATATTATCATACCTCATCTAGCACTGTCTTCTCCCGTTTAGATATGATACCGCTTACCGTCTATTCATGGTATGCCTGTCATTCGCGGAGCATTTCTTCTTGACTCCCAAATAGGTCAGAGCGCACTCGTATAAAGTCGGCGGGCTGGTAAATGCACCTTTATTTTGAGTCTGTCGTTAATTGTATTATGAGTCTTTGTTTCATCTTGGTGGTATACTATGATTATGCATGTATATTAAAATATTGAAGGACATTCGCTTGTAGATGGTCGGAAAAATCCATCTTAGCATATGTCATAGGCCTATATCTTGGAGTTCTTGGAGTGGGCGCAAGGTGTGGTGCTAGTCCTGAATTGAATGAGGTCAGCAGCTGGAGACCAAGGTACAGTCACATGACGAACCGAGGACGTTGGCCGAGCTCCCGGTTCTGCGTCAATTGGTCCCATTGGGTTCGATCGGAGCGCAGACTGAATCCTAGTCCTATATCTTGGAGTGAACTTGTACTTATGGATCCCTATCCTTGCTGTCACTGTTGTCGTCCTTCCATATTCTCGTGGTTTTATCTATCCAGTCTTCAGAGACTCGTGGCATCCAAGCTGGCTATATGTCAGCTTGTGGTAACTTGAATAAACCCACTGCAACGACGAGGTCGCCGAAAATTAGATCATCATCTGCTTTTCATATCTCTAGACGACATACAAGTACGGACACGCCTATCCCTCCGTCGTTGGTGCATTCACACCACCTTTCATCGGAACAGAGCATCTTTCAGCAGAAATCCGTGGTCAGGTCTCCATCTAGAGAAGAGGAAGAATGGCTCAGGGACACTATACCGCTCACATGGGATTCAGCACAAACAAAGGGTGTCCAACGCTGATATGATGCTGATTGTGCTGGATTTCGCAGTGAATGAGTGGCGGGAGATGAGGTCACTGCCACATCTCAAAAAGCCTGAATCAGATTTCAGCCACCCACTGACAAGCTTTTCGTGTAATCTGGACACTACATTGACATACCCGTACGTGCACTTGGATCTCATTCGATATTATCATACCTCATTTAATACTGCGTCTATTTTCGTTTAGACATAGACATCGCCTCATGGTATATCTGTCTTTTGCGGAACATTTCTCTCTCGACTCTGAACCAGGTCGGCTCACTCGAGTTCACTCGTATAGCCATAGTTGGTACATTATGCATATTTGTTTCATGTTAGTGAATATTATACGCGTAGATTCACAACCGCTTACTAGCTATGTATACAGTACAGCGAAAAGAAATAGCGGTCGTCGTCACCTCGGGAATCATTGTTACAGTATTACAGTGAACCCGACCTACTCAGTGGATGCTACATGGCCAGCGAATGACTTGGTAATGAAAGAAATACATATGTGGTCCATGTTCGCATGGACGTCAACGTGTTTAGAGTTTATGAAAGAACTTGCAATTTTCCGAACCTAAGCCTGACCAGTAGTCGACAAGCGACGTGCTGCTGAGATTATCGCAAATCACGGATGGACGCAGATCGAGGGATAATATGCGACATGCCCAGATTAGGCTGGCGTATTGTGACAGAATGACCTCGAGGACGAAGCCGTTGAGCAGTCTCATTCGCGGTGGTTTGAGTCGGCATGGATTCTGCCTTAAGAATAGAGAGGGCGGATTTAACGCGATGTAGACGAGGGATAGTAGTTGATGCACTTTGAAAGGTGCGAGATGTGCTACCTACAACCCCAGCATTCGACGAGAAATCAGATATAGGACTACCGGATTCCGACCGCAGCGCCGAGGTCAAATTTCCGCTGCTTAGCCCCCAGCTCGGATATTCTTCTTCACCAGAGTTTCCGACTTCTTCGCTTTGTTCATCTTCCTTCATCTTCTCGTTCACTCCTTGTTTTCCAGATGCGGTTTCAACGCCATCGCCACGTACCATGATGATGTTCTCGTTGGTGATTTCATCCTCCAGATGTGATTCAGCAGCATTGTCGAGGATGCGTGGGTCGCTCTGTTGGAGATGAGGAAGGTGGTGCAGAACAAACTGACGACATGACTGGAAAGCCTTGGTGGTTGCATCAAGGAAAGGAAAGGATTGAAACACATGAACCTAGTGGCGCAAGAAAGGTAAACACCAATGTTTCAAACGCAACGAATAGTCACTGACAGCGTCCTCATACAGTTCATGTCGAACTTCTACACCAGCCCTAGATGCTTTCTGTGCAAGCAAAATATGCTCGTCCATGAGAACTTCTGCATCTCCCGATTGTATAAGCATCGGGGGCAAGCCATTATAGTCGCCGAAGAGGGGACTGGCGTAGGGATGCGCAACATATTCTCTCAGATTATTCCCCAAATACATCACAACAGGATGAAGGTGTGCACCGGGTCCGGGAGTAGGAACAACATCGAAGGCGCGATTGCTATCCCAGGACTCGCAGCTCAATGTGAGGTCTATGTTTCATACCAATTCATGAAAACTGACATAGCACATAAAATAACGCTTGCACTCACCCACCCAGGGAGAAAATAAGATAGAACCTCCAGGCAATGGATATCCATTATCACGTAGATACAGCACAAGTGCCAGACACAAACCGCCACCCGCACTGTCACCTGCTACGATGACACTTTCTGGAGGTACATGAAGGTCATCAATCAGCCTGAAATATGCAATGACGACATCATGCAGCGGACCAGGGAAACAAGTTTCAGGTGCGAGACGATAATCAATGGCTGCACACATTTTAGTAAAGCTACGGATGGATCAGTGCTAGTCAAGGGCATACCAAAGACGCGGGAGTTGGTGTACTTTGATAAAGGTATCGTAATCAGTCTCTGAGCAGAAGCACTGGAAGAATAATATGCTCCTGTGAAAATAGTCGAGTGATCGAATTTCGTAGCAAACAAGTAAACTACATTACTGACCTCCATGAACATATAAGATGACGCGTGCCTTGCGTTTAGGGCGAGAGTCATCAGGATCTGAACTTCCTTCTCTTGGCCTGCGAGCTGTCTCATACTCTGCTTGCAAGGATTGCCAAAGTTTCTTTCCGACTACCCATTCACCAGAAAGCTTCCTATCACCGGTTTCCTTTGAATCGAGCTCGAGAAGAAGGCCTCGTAAATTTCGTCGTCGCACGCAGAATGTGACTGGCGTAACTAGGGCGTCGGATGGAAGAGGAACGAGCCCGGTGAGGCCTAAGAATATGCGCACTGTAGCCTGTATAAAAATGATTGTAAATAAATCTGGTAGCTGTAATTAACAGAGGCTCACGATATCAGCTAGAGCAGCATGCTGTGCAACATCGCGCATGACGCTACTGATGATAGTCATCTCTATCCCCCACGACTTTCTTCGTGGGCCCCACAAATGATGTGAGAGGATGTCACGAGCGATAGTCGTTGCTGTAGTGCGTTAGCTGTTAGTGATCTGTAAGTAGAAACAAGTGATACCCCCGCTTACCTTTGTAGACCACAAACGCAGGGTATTTCCACGCATCCCAAACCCTCATAGCAGGATTATCTAGTATTTTCAATGTGGTATCGATTCGAGCAGAGGCAGGTAATACTCCAGGAGTGTCATAGTCACGAAGTACTACGGTGTTTGGGGATCTGCTCTGAGCGACGATAGGCGGGCTTGGGTCGACTGTAAGACCACGCTGGAAGGGCCACAAAGGTCCCCAGAACATGACTTGGTTCACGATTTTGTTGATTGATGATACGCTACGAGCTCGCGAAATTTGGCAGGTAAAGTCGTCGCGATCGAGAACATAGAGTCGGAGAAGGTTAGGGGGCAGACCCCTGATTTATATCTTGGACATAACCACTTATGACGTCAGTGAAGACGTGTCCCTTCGGAATCTGGCGGATTTTGTTACAAGCCTAGCTATAGAGCTACGGAGAAGATGCAATAATTACAGAAACAAGGTAAGTTCAATGTCATCCGTTGCCATGTATACATAGAAGCCTGGTATCAAGAAGCATTGATTAATAAGTTATTGGCTTTGAAGGAACCTTACCTGTGACAGTCACGCTATAAATGTCACGAGCTGATATCCCGTCAAACATGAAAACATGAATCGAGCATCGAAATGGATCATGATGTATAGCAGCCCGAATAGTTCCACCTCCTTTTTGCTAGGAATCGTGTGCAACCAGGACTTGTGTGGTGTAGAACACTTTGATCTGGTTCAATGTCAGCTCGGTGGCAAGCATGCCATATGTTACTTCACCTAGTTGACATCGATCTACGTGCCCGTCTCGATGCCAACTCTTCAGAGTCGAAGTTCTGCAAAGCACCGTAAGTCAATATACATATATGCACCTCGTACATGGTAATCAACATACATTTTCTGATCAGCACTACGTCAGGGGTTCCACCTTCCACCTTCTAAACAGAGGTCTCCAATCTCAGGCCACTCTGTGGTATTTGCGGTGCTCATTCCGTTGTGGTAATACGATTTGTCCTTTGGACGGCATGATTTCCACCCTATCCAAAGGAGTCGAAGGATATTAATTCATAGGGTTGGAAAGAGTTCTCTACCTGCGTTCATTGTTGGAGGGACGTTGGGGTCAATATTGAGCATGCACTCGACACGCGACTAAACAAGGTGCAGGAATAGGCAGGGATGAAATATCCCCGCTACTTGTGCATGTGGAATGAACTCGACCTGGTGCCATTTTAGGTGTTGACATCTTGATAGTGGATTCGGGTGTGTCTCGTTGATTTTAAAATTGTCCATGACCTAGCCATATAATGTCTTTCTTTTCTGAATCTGCAAATCTCATGTCTGTTGTACAGACCTCATAAACCTCAGTATGGGAAGCAAAATCCAGTTTTTATGTTTACATCCCAAAACGTCTGGATCAAGTCCAATCTAGGTGCTGTCCTTCTATAGTGTCTCGATATCTGACCCGGGCACTCGAACGCGACTCTAGTTGATATTGTATCATGGTACTTCTTCGCTCGAATTCTCTTATAAAAAGTAATAAGTCTTCGTGTTGATCCATAGCACGTCGACATCCATACCACCAACTGTTATACGAGAAATACAAAAATGTCAAATATCCGCCAGCTAGTCCTTGTGATGCAAAGGGGGGGGGGGGAAAGGGTCTTGGTTTTGCGTCCAAAAACATACAAGGTGTGTGGCACAAGGAGTTTTGAATGCAACATTTATGCAATATATACTTTTGGTTTGAATAGGATGCAGTAGAAGTTTCTCGAAGGCACTTCCCAACATCCCAAGTTCTCTGGTTGTGTTTCAAACCAAGGATTTGAATGTATGCGGTGGCTTGCTCGCAGATCTAGATCCACAGTTGTGGTCTTTGGTCACGGCTTTGATATCGGTGGTGTTCGTCAGACGTGCTGGTGTGATCCGTGCTAATACCCCCTCTACATATTTTACCAATGCTCCAGCCTATGATGAGACATGCATGGGTATGTGATGTTGAGATGTCCTTGCTTTCTAAGTTGCTCCACCTTCTCATCTAATTTTCATGCCAGGCGACATGTCGAGGGGCTTGAAGGATTTGCGCGTCGGCAAGCCAGTGATCTATTTGAATTCCCCTACCAATATTGATATATTGGTGGCGATGTCGCTCGTCCCCGAATGGCAATTTTCTGCAATATATCCTGTCATTCCTATCAAGAACTCTTCTCTTGGAGAACACATTGAATGGAATGTCCGCACCCACAGCCACGATGGGACTCTGACAGACAAATACGGGATTGAACGTGGCTTATTTATTCTGGGAGGCACAGTAAGTCGATGTGTTTCAAGGTACATCTTGTAAATGGCCTTAACGCTTCTTGTCCTTCAATCAGCACAGATTCAAACCTCCCATCATCTCCACCCAGGTCTCCAATCCTGGGAGAGCTGGCACCTGAACACTTCAACCCGGGTTCACCTGATCTTTGTGACAGTAATTCCGTCGTCCTTGCTGTCAAGGATATAACTCTTTATCTGGACAAAACTAAGACTTGGGGCCCTTGGGTTACACACTGAAGCAAGGACTTCGTTCATCACATAGGTCTCACCTCACCCTCTATCAAAATAGCTCTAATCCAAAAACGTTATCGGATAGTTATTGGCTTCCTGATTTCTTGAAGCACAATCATGTGGCCTTGAGGTTTGTCCCTCAAGCAGCGTATGAGAACGCCGCACCGCTTGTGATTAAGCCTGAGCCTGACATCGTGACACGGATTTTTATGTTATTCAAAGGCGTAATGCAAGAGAGTCTTGGAGACTGGCGTCAAGCGACAATCAAGGCACTAGAAGACGTGAGCCACTGGAGGGACGTTGTTGGGGTTGACCTTGACCTTGCGCTTGATACTGTAACAACTGTTCAGGGTGCTGGAATGGGGAGGGATGGAAGTGCTGGAACAATGATCACGAGTGTTATCTTGATGCTACTTCAGGTGGTAATGGTGGATTTGACCACGTTTTATTGATTGCAAACGCTGTGAAATAGCTTTGTAATACCCTGTTGTGAATGCTGTATTTTCAAGACCTGTAGACGCATGCGCGATTCAAATGACGGTTGCAAAACCTTTCAGTGAAATCTGATCTTTGCAAGATATATAACATTGAATAGAAGGTGACTGAGACTAATAAATCAGATGTCAATCGAGGCAGACATGATCACGATGTTGATTACTCCTAGACCTGCTCAATGTATCATGCGACACATGCCTGCCCTATTGAGGCCCGTCGTGTCACCCGACTGTACTTGCAATGCAGCACAACAACAGGGCATGTGAAATACACTGTCACCATGGGACCAGCTACTATTCCAGTCGGGGTCACCTAGTACCCTGGTCCCAGTTACAATTTCAATTTCGGCGGTGTGCAAGGTAACAATGCCGCGGCGCAAGGGGAAAAACCTGGATATCGATACGTAGTGTCCAGCGATTACACTGTCCGCGCGGGTTTTCTCTGATCTCACCCGTCGTATTTTTTCCATCGGTATCCCTGATGGCCTTGAAGAATCCTTCTTGACGATTGGTATGTTCTCTGGTGAAAGTATTTACTATAACCTTTTCCGAACACGCTGTAAGGCGATAGCGTTAGACTATAGAACCCAAGCATATGCCAAGTACTGGATGTGTCAATGTTAGTCTCAATACGACAAATACGTGCTACAGTTGATTTAAGATTACATACCTGCCAGTGGGTGGTTGTTGCCAAAGCGAGATCCGTCTACAAACAGACCATGAATCCCAGTCTTCGTCATCGATAGTACACTGAAAAGACTGATCTACGATACATGTCTGCAATGTATTCTGATGACTAACGTTGCAATAAAACATGAAAATGGTCGCATGAATGATTGACGCTGAGCGCTGAGGCCGGAGCACGATAAAGCGAATAGAGGGCACGTGGGAAAAAGAGGCTGAGGTTCGGTTTTGGTTCTGTTGCGCGTTTCTTCAAAGCACGAGCCTTTTGCAACGTCCACCCACCACGATCCCGCTCCTTCCTTTGGTTTGTCTCCGCAGGCATGGCCACCTCTTCGGATGGCCTGTCAATGCCTAGCATGCCTGATTTCTCTGCACACACCTTTTCTTCTGCTGCTGAAATGAAGTTCCATCTACAGTCTCTCCTTGACAGCAAGGAAAAACAGATCCAACAAATAGGAATCCTCGGTCAGCGTCTTTTGACCCAGCAAGCCGAACTCGACGAGCGTGTAAGGCAGCTGCAGGAGATAGAGGGCGATAAAAGCGAAGATGAAGACATGGACACAGAAGCACGAGAACGATATCGCGACCTTGCCGAGGTTATCAGCACATGGGACACAGAGAATGCTCAGCTTTCAAGTACTCTGGGATCAAAGGTAAGCTCTATTTCTCTCTCATCTAGTCGCGTCTCGCTGGCGTTGCCCTTTGTTGCACGAGCAACCAAGGTTCAGACCAGGGCGATACAGGGAAAATGAGTCTATAGACAGTTTTAGCTTGCTGCTTTTTCGCGGGTTCGATTGCCAAGACGTGACAGAACGTCGCATAACTCAGATCCTCCGAGCCCTTGCTCCTCTACTCGATGCTGACGTTTTCCCTTTAAGCGCCCGAACGGCAAACAAGCATCCCCATCTATGCCACTTCAAGATCTTCAACGTGAAGAACCTGAACGTTCGAAGGTTTCAGCATCATCCGCCGCTCAATCCAGGCGCGCAAAGAACGCTGCTCATAGAGCTGATGATGTCGGTAAGTGCGGAGTCGCTTTTCGGCTTTTTGCAGGTGCTTATATGCGCTGTAGAATTTGCGTTTGAGATTGGAAGTGGCCTACTTACCGAGGTCAGGCGTTTGCAAAGTCTCCTTGGGGAGCGCGACAAGGCTATTCAAGATATGAAAGAAGAAAAAGATGATTTTGAAAAGACAGTCGAGAGTCTCCGAACTGCCCTGAGGTCCCAGGAACAGAGTTCAGGTCAGACAAAGAAGCCATTTTTGTTATTGTAATAGTTTTCTGACTTTTATCTCCAGATAAATATAAGGAGGAGAATTGGAATTTGGAGGTGACACTTCAGGAGCTCCGTACCCAACTTTCAGAATCGCAATCCACAACAATACGTCTCGAGGGCGAACATAAGCGCCTTACTAAACTACTCAACGGGGCTCGGGAGACAACCGACCAGCACAAGAATGAGACCGAGCGCTTGAAGAACGTGTATGACGATCTGAAAGCGAAACACGAAACAGATATTGCACAGGCTCGTAAACATGCCGCAGGTCTGCAGCGTGACAAGTCGGATCTGCAGTCCACGCTTGATTCCATGAAAGCTGAAGTCGCAAAAGCCAATAGACGGCTGCCGCGATTCGGTTCTCCACTCACACCCAATGGCCAAGATGCCAAAGATTTCTTGACACCAGCAGACCAATATGATGACGACGTCTTTACGACCGGTGGCGCATCCACAAACAATCGCAGGAAGCTAGATTCCTCTGCCGTTTTCCCCGTCGGTGAATTTGGTGAATTTGGCGAGTTGTCACCAGACCCATCGCCGTCAAGAACATTTCTGGTGTCCAACCATCCGAGTAACGAAATCGAGGCTCTTCAACAACGCCTTGCACACGCACAAAGACAGATCAATACACTGAAAGGGACCCTCAATAGAGAAAAAGAGCTTCGAATAGAGTACAAGCGCAAATTGGACTCGTCACCTGGCAGTACACCGTACGAAGAAGACCCACCTGAAGACGATTGGGCAGAAGAGGATGGTGATGCCGACGCCGAGGGAGAAAACAAGACTGGTCGTCGCCTCACTCCGTTCCGTTCCCGTGGTGGCAGGACTAGAGGTGGAAGGGGCAGAGGACGAGGTGGACTTACTCTCGCTCAAAGATTGGGAATGGCTGCCAGTAGCCCGTCTTCAGAGTACAACTTCGACGAGTTCAACGATAATACAGCCTCACCACCACCACCTGTTCCTGCTATTCCCGATAAATTCCATGATGCAGGAGATGTTGATTCAGACGATGATGTTATCGAGGAAGAAGAAGAGCCTGAGCCCGAGCCTCGCTCACCATCTCCTGTGGGCCCATCGTCCAATCGTACCAGCATAGATGGTATGGATCCTATGTTTGCCAACGTGCTTCGCCGATCGGCATCCTTCAATTCCATACCCAACAACTCAAGTCCCCTCCGCCAGTCAGTCGTCGCAAGACCTGCCCGTGGTGGTGCATCCCTGCGTCGTTCTCGGGGAGGTGCTGCATATCAGGAGGTGCGCCCACCGTCTTTGGTTGGCCAACCTGAAGCTTTGGCGGCCGAACTTGGGCTGGGAGGATTTGAAACTTCCATTGCAGAAGATGACCTACACATGGAGATCGCTAGGGAGACTGCCGAGTTTTCGTGTCAGACTGACTTTGAGGATGTGGAGTTGGTCGTGCCTACCATCTATGCGCCTGTTGAGCCTACTACGGTACTTCCACCGACTCTCGTTACATGTGAGGTGGCAGTGCAGGTTGAGCCTGAGCCTGAGCCTGCACCAGTTATTGCTGCTGAACAGGTCCCAGCCCCAGAGCCTCAGTCTACTCCAAGTATCACTACTGTCGAAATATCCTGCCAGACAGACGAGCAGCCTGTTATTGCACATTCAGAGATTGCGGTTCAATATGACTATTACGAGCCGTCTCCCGTCCTCGTGTCGACGAGCATGAACACGGAGCCCGAGGAAATACCCATTGCCCCACTCGTCCCAGTGATGGCCCAGGCTGAGGTCCAGACGGTTTCAGTATCTACCGCCAATATTGATGTCCAGACTTCACCCGCTCCTGTTATACTGCCGGTAGAGAGAGTGCACATGAATACCCAGACGCCGTTGGCGAAGACGGTGGAGATCGAGACGCAAACGCCTACCCCTAGTTCTGTCCATCAAGAGGTGCAAGCCCAAGGAACGCGAGTATTTGCGGGGCCTACCGAGAGGGATACCTCAAGACGGACGACAATTACGCAGTACGATTATTCTCGCACATCACTGGGCAATACAAGTGGCGATTCGACGCTGAGAAACGTTCCTGCTCGATTGTTCTTGGCTGAGCGGGATGAGGATGAAGACGATGTGGACGATGGGGCTACGGAGACTGGTATGGAGACCGAGACAGATACTGACGATTACGAAGATGCACGTCAGAGCATTGGAATGACAACGCCCTCCGAATCACGAGAGGATTTCCATTCGGTGCTGACCATGACCGACAATGACTTTTCAGAAAGTGACGATGATGATGACGAGAGCATCAAGGCTTCGAGGATGCCTAGTCGAGCGGGCATGTCGTCGACGGATTCGCTTAACGAGGAGGAGGAGGAGACGCAGTATCGTATTCCCTCGGTAACATATGAGTCGAAGGGGGTGTCGGCAGAACTTATCGAGGTACCTGAGCCTATAAAGGACGTTGAACCGGTGGAAATCAAACCAGCCGAGGTAGAAGTCGTCAAACCAGAACTCAGGGAAATTTCAGTTCAGACAGATGAATGGGCTCCCCCTCCTGTTGTGCCAGTGCAGGTTGTCGTGCCTGTTCCCCCAGTGTCAGTGGCCTCAATTCCACCACCACCACCTGTGGCACCGACTCCTGTGGTACCTGCACCAGCTACGACGACCGCACCATCATCTGCAGCTGTCCCTACAGCCTTTGGCTTATATCGAGTTGGATCGACAGGCCAGCAGTTCCAATTCGTTACACCTCCATCGCCCAAACCATCGGCTGTCTCTAGCGCAATTCCTGCTGTCGTTCCAGCCCCCACCGGCTCTATCAGGGATTCTGGTGCCACATTTGGCATTGTTCGTCCCCGTACATCGCAGTCTGATAGACGTCAGTCCATCGAATCTGCCATTACTTCTGCCGTAGACGATGGGGTCCGCTCTCGGGTGCCCTCATCGGTCCCTTCTATAGTGGACAAGTCCAGACCTCCTATGATGGTTCTACCACCACCTCCACGACAGCCCCCACCAAACAGTATGCCACCGCCCGCATTTATACCAGAGAGGAGGGTTCCCACTTCGTCGTCGGCTTCGCATGACGTTCCACCTCCCCGTCCTTCTTCCCCTCCGCCCGCAGAGCTCATTCAACGTGCTACTACTCCTACATTTGGTTCTATGCTGTCGGTTCATGCAAGAGGATCTTACGGCCCTCGACAGCATGGCTCGAGTATGCCACCTTCGCAGTCAAGTCTTCGCCAGCCGCCTTCGACAAGAAGTTTCAGGTCAGCTGCGAATGCAGCTGCCTACGCGACTCAGGCTGTGGTACCATCTAATCTGACCTCGTGGAGTGTTAGGGAGAAGGAACGGAGGGAGTTGTCGAGCACTTCACTCACCTCGGATCGCAGTGCACTATCCCCTAGGTCCTCCATGTCGTCTGATCACAATGTGTTCGTGAACCACTCTCATCAACATCCCAGTGCTCCTGCTACTCCTGAAAAGAGTGCTGATCAGACCATGCGGGCTGGTGACGGTGGATCCACCGACCCTACCGTTATACACGCCATCACTCAGACTATGATTGGAGAATTTTTGTACAAGTATACCCGACGCGCCCTTGGTAAAGGTTATGGGGAAAGACGCCACAAGCGATTCTTCTGGGTCCATCCATATACGAAGACACTTTACTGGAGCTCATTGGATCCTGGGTCATCCAATGTTTCTGAATCCAGCGCCAAGAGTGGTAAGTCTGCTGCAGCATTATCATTTTCAAAAGAATCGTTGAATTTTGTTTGTAGCATATATCGAAGGAGTCCGTTCGGTGCTTGACCCTAACCCCATGCCCCCTGGCTTATACCAGTACAGTGTAGTTGTCTCTACACCGCAGCGAGAGATGAAGATTACCGCCCCGACCAAAGAGAGGCATGATATATGGCTTAATGTCCGCTGCGTTTTTGACAGTTGCTGACAATCATTTTACTAATTGGTCCTTTTTTCTTTTGTTAGGCTTTGAAATACCTCCTAGCCCGACCTAATTCAGCTTTAGTTGGTACCCCTGCTAACGACTTAAATCCGGCTCCCTCTATGAGTCCAATGTCTCAGAGTGCAGAGCTCACGGACGATGATCACCGACAGCTTGTTGATTCCAGCCCGCAAAGTCAAAGGAGCGGCCGAACTGGACGGAATGGAGGTGCATTCAGTACTACGCCTCGTGGCCAAAGAAGTCGGTCTCAATTGTCAGTTGGAGGTTCCGTCGGTAAGCGTTCTGGTACTCCGGCAGCTGAATATCTACGATGGGCTGGACCCGAAAGCCCTTACAGTCCTACAAAATCGTTTGAACAAATTATGGGTCAGGGTCACGACGAAGAAGATCTAGACTTCGAGCTGCATGGTGAATCGATGGATGACGACGGATTCGAGGGCCTGGAGAATGTACGAGCTTGTTGCGATGGACGTCATACTGTCGGACGTTCTGGAAAACATCATCACCACCACCATCATGTACACAACGGAGAGCATCATCTTGATGTTCATCCCGCTGAAACCGCGCGACCTGCTTCTCCAGCTTGGTCTTTCCGTTCTCGCACCGGCAGTGCACACTCTCATGAAGGAGGTACAGGTGGAGGGTTATTCTCCTGGGGACGTGCAGATGGGAAGCTCCGGTTTGGTTCTCGTAGATCTAATAAAACAGTGTCCAGTACAGTTACTGGAGCACATGATCCATAGTCTGATTCAGATGTATTACATTTTTTTCTATCTTTCTCGCTTGCTATTCTATCGCTACTCTTGGTACATCGTCTCTCCACAGACTACGCTCCTTTTTTCTAATTATCGTCGTTTCATGAAAGTACTTTCCTTTATTTTGTCTCGTTCTGTGTAACCATATTTTCTATGAGCGCAGTATATGAATATCATCATTCCTTTTCTTACTCGAGTAAACGATCCACTCCCTACGAACTTAGTAAAAATAGAATTCGATTTCCATTGGGCAAACATGATCATGATGTGCAAGTTCGAGTTCCACATGGACTACATAGGCCCGTGGATCTTCGCGAAGCCAAGGGACGTACATTCAAGTTTTAAATATGCGGTCCACAAGCCCAAATTAACACTTGACATTGAACGAAGGACATATACATTCACCCTGAGAGGCGTAGCCCAAGACACTAAAAGAGATTATCTGATCCCAGATATCGGCTCTCCCTTCCCTCGTTTCTGTTTGGGTACCGGAATCCTATTCATAGCCTGTGGTAGCGGGTTTCAAGAACTTGGAGCATGTTCATGTTCATTCCCCCTTCGAAGCCGAACAACACCTGAGAACCAAAGACGCCATAATTTTAAAAATAAAAAACATACTTGATTTATCTTTATCGCCAAGCCGGACCACCATTTCTTCCTAATAGTTCTGTCTCTCCGGTTACTGCTTTTTTTGCCCTCATGACAATGACGCTCCCGGACCGGGGCTGAACGGGTTGAGTATGATCGACAGGATCTTGGTGCGGGCATGTTGTGGAGAGGAGTTTCGATAGAAGGAGCACTTTGATGCATCCATATGCCCATATGAATTGAATCGGACATGCGGACAGCCAGCCTGAGGTTCAGGTTCTTGCATTACAACTTCACAGCCCCTTGTCTGTCGTCGTCTATCTCGCTCAATCGGCCAATAAATCCATGGAGACCCTTGGCATACGGATAATACTGTACTGCCTTTTTCATAATTGAAACTGCACAGTTCTGGGAAAATAGGACGCGACATCGACGGAAGGTGTGTACAGGAAGTTGCCGAAAACTGACGGTGACGGGTGTGGTTATCCCGGAGCTAGTGCTACCTACTGCCTTGAGGTGTCGACGAGCTGGAGCACCAGACCCACGTAGGAGCGGTTTTCATCTTTCGGTTGATGCGAGGAGAATACGAGACAATGCCCTGGGTACACAGGAAAGAAGTGACCCAGTACAGTATCGCCTTTCTGCTTCTCTTGCCTGTTCGAGGGGGGGAAAAGAAGACAAGGGGGGGAGGGGGTCTCGATGAAATGGAAGGGCTGTTCGGGTGTAGATCCTTACCATGACGGTCATATCAATGAATATCGGCACTCCGAAGCAGCCTCGAGTTGATGGTGAGCTGGATTCCTGGGGCCTCGTGGGGGGACCTGGAAGAAATGCGAGGTAAGTTTTCTAAAAGCATGAAGACCAGAAGCGCACTCCCATCATGATTATCAAGTTGATTCAAAAATTGCAAGTTTGTAACGGCGAAACTCACCGGTCAATAAAAATAAAAAATAAAAAATCTGTTATGGTCCCCTGATGCCATTGCCATCCCCTAAACTGCGATAGCTATTTGAGACTTTATGGTTTCTTTCTTTTCTTTTCTTTTTTTGCAAGGCTTGTTGATTTGAATTGCTATGATTCGGAGTCCCGCCGGTAGTATATCGGGAAAGATAGTGATAGCTGATAGCTTTTTTGTGCCAGGGGGTGTTTTGCACTCACCAACTGGTCATGATTGCCATCAGGGGTGGTAACCGCTGACTGCACCCCGGCATATAGGCGTATCTTGCAAGATAGCGAGTTGTGCTTGAATTGCTCCCATTGATAGGAGGATAGGAGGAACGAATGGCTCCCCCATATGCCCTGCAACATCTGAGCGCCGTACCTCTTTGCAGCGAGTTATTAAAACACATGGGTGAGTATGTTCCTAGCTAAGGTTATAAGGTCAGTATCTAGGGTACGCGACCCGATGCCCGGTACTCATTAGATCATAGATCTTAGTTTCGGCGGGGTAAAATTTTCTTTAGATATAGGCACTCACGGTTTCTCTAAAACAAATATACTCACTATTCGTCAATGAATGTCCTATTCCAGCCTATTCCACACAAAATAAAATGGTTTCATCCCAGTTCAAGGGTCAAGATAACCAAGCGAATCGATTATTTTAATCTGATCATCCAATCTACAATCAGAGATTAATCGTACACGACCAAGTCTTCCGTTTCTTTCTATCTTTGAATAATAATAAAAAAACCCCTTCGACTTCGGGCCTCGAGGTCTGAAGGAGTGCCATGCGTCCGAGAAGTGTCATATGCCTGCACATTATAGTTACGAATAGGAGATCAATAAACCCATCGTGCCACTGTCAGATTGCTTGAGTCCATTAGATGAGATTAGGAGAGGGAAATTGCATGAAAAACGGGCCCAAGATGGAATGAGGGATAATATAACGCGGTTAATAAAATTAAAAGGAAAAAGTCCCTCCAAAAAAAGTCCAAAATATCCAAGAAGTTCATGATCGCTCGGTTTCCTCCTTTGCGGCCAACCGTCGTCTTCGCCATAACGGTACAAAATCCACATTGCGAAGAAAAAGTACCGCAATGGCATAAATGACGCCAAAAGCAACCGCCGGGGCTGTGCCAACATGATAACCCTTCACAAGCGCATTGAGAATCTGATCACTATACTGAGGATACTGAGCATGATTATCGGCAAGTCCTAGGCCCTGGTTGACGAGCGAATCGGGGAGCTTTCCGCGCAACTGGTTCGTGAAGCTCGTCTCAAATATAGCGGTGAGGAGAGCGGTGGCGAACGTGCCTCCGAGGGTGCGGAGGAAGGAGAGGAAGCCGCTTATGCCCGCTACCTGATTGGGTTTGACTGACATGGGTCCCACTACGAGGGAGGGCTGGTAGAGTATACCAGATCCGAACCCTGTGATGACGGAAAATCCGATAACTGTTGCGGCTGGAGTAGAGCGGCCGACCAGAAACATCAGACCACTTCCAAGAGCGTAAAGAGCACCACCAACGACTCCCACGAGCCGAACCTGTCCAGTCTGAGAAAGAATGTTGGCGCCTACGACCGATGCAAAACCAAGGGATAGGATAAGTCCAAACATTTGGAGACCAGACAGAACCAGGCCGGAGTCTTTAATATCTATAAAGTAGCGAGGGAGAAAGAAGACGGAGCCGAAGTAACCTGCTCCAGTGAGAAAGTTGATGAGACAGGTGATGGGAATGTTGGGGATGCTGAATAGGCGGATGTCAACGACGGGTTGCTCTGCCACTCGTAGCTCATAATAGACAAAGACGGGAATGAGGAGTCCCCCGACGACGAACAATGTGATAATGGGCGCGGACTGGCGGGGGAAGATTTGTGTCAATGAATTATGCCGACGATCAATACGGATCACGGACCTTCCAGGGAAACATCTTGTTTCCCATCTCTATAGCAATGCATATCATGCTCGAGATCGCAACAGAGAGGACACAGCCTATATAATCGACCTCTTTGAGCTGCGCGAGGAGACCTATGCTCTGCTTACGATGGGGAACAGGATAACGAAGGCTCGCTGTCCCGATAGCCAACGTAAGGCCTATGAGCATGAGAGTGATCCAGAAAATCCATCTCCAGTCAGCGTCAACAGAGAGTACGGCACCGAGCACGGGGCCAATAGCCAAACCAATGGCTGAAGCAAGATTGAAAAAACCGAGCCAGAGACCGCGTGTGTCCGGTGTAGTGAGGTCCAATATGACAATAACGCCGACGGACTGCCTACCAGCAGCACCGATTCCTTGTAGAAGCCGTGCCCCGATTAGGGAGTTCATGGACTGTTTGATAATGGTCACGTGGGTCAGAACCCGTCTCACGCGTTTCGAGCTCTGAAGAGAAGCAATTCACGTACATTGGCGAGTCCACACCAGAGCGTCCCTGCCCCAAATATAAACATCGTGGCGTTAAATACTTTTGCACGGCCGAAAATATCACTGAATTTGCCGAGCAATGTCTGTGTGACGGTGAAGCCGAGGAGGTAGGAGGTGGCAATCCAGTTCTGGTTTGCGAGGTCATTGAAGTCTGCGCCAATGATGTGCATGGCGGTCGTTGCGGTCGTTTCGTTGAAGTAGGCGGTGAAGTTGCCTATCCAGAGACTGAGCATGATGAGGTAGAAGTGGGGGCGCGTGACATGGACTGCAGGCTGTTGAGGGAGCGAGGAAGGCAGGGCGGGCTCAGGGGGGGACGAAGGGAAGGGAGAGTTTGGGGGTGATATGATTGGCATCTTGTCGTTCTCCTCAGCATAAGCATCTCTATTGTAAAAGCCGGACGCGCACTGTGATAGCGTCTGGGCAGGAGATGAACTCATGAGGGACGAGAGCGGGGAGGCATGTGTGAAAATGAAGAGTATTAGTAGGGGGAGGAAGGATCAGGATTTGTTTCCCGCGAAAGCATGCGAGAAAGCAGGGTTGCTGAGTCGAGCTGAAAGTGATTTTGGAAGCGGAGGAGACGGTGGAACATCGGCAGAGAGCGAGGGATGAGATAGAAAGAACGCGATCAGGATTATCACATCGAACAGACATAAACGGATCCGCGGAGGAGCGAGAGATGGAAACATGACATTTATCAAGAATCACGAATAACAAAGCGGGCACGACAAAGGATCTGTTCAGTTCTTGTTCTCGAAGCAAGCAACCGATTAGCCTCCTCAGTTAACGTTCGCCAGTCCGCGGATATCACACCTCCTGTCCTTGCTGTGGGTGGTGACAAGACGGGCTCCTTTCGGAGATACTTTCCTGTCTCGCTGCACTCCAGCCTCACGACACTCACATAAACGGCCAAATATCCCCCAGATCGCATCCTCGATGCCCACCATGGTGCGCAGATGTGCCATTGCAAGCAAGTCCAGAGCCAAATGAGAGACTGTCTGCAAAACTCACACCGGTCTCTTACGGTCACAGTGTTCCCACGCCGAGATGCCGGCCGCGGCAGGGCAGAGTGCGCCTCATCTCCTCGCGATCGTGTTCGCTATCTGCGATCTGTCCTCCAAAATGCTATATGCCGGTCATTACGTCAACAGCATGTCTCAGCTGTCACTGGCTCCACTCGCAACTCCATCAGATAATTCTTTCTCTTTTCTGCTTTTTGTCATCTTTATCCTTGCAAGATGTGCAAGGACAACGCATGTCCCCTTCCCATATCCATCCCACTCGTGGCCGCCGCGCCTCACACCCTGATCCAATCCTGTCCATGTTACCCCCTCTATGAATGTGCACCTAGACTCTTCTCGTAAAAGGCACATATTCTCACCTGTCTTCCATTTCAAGACCCTCTCTTACATCTTGTATCACCGCCAGCACAACTCTTTGACTTCGATTGTACTCATTTTCATTATAACCGTTACTACAACTCCCTTGGCTCTCACCATAAAGCTCTTGCATGCTCTTCATTCGCCATATATCCATACCAATATCCCGTTGCCTCAATCATCTTACACGCTTCTCTGGTTGGCCCCATAAACTCTACCCCCGTGGCCATATCCATTTATTTTTATTATCGTCCTTTCTCAGCAACACAGGTGTGCGTGCAGCACATCATATTAATAGGCTTGCCCGTTTGCCGATCTCTGACAGCTTCTTCCCGCGGACGTCCAACCTGCGCCTCAGTCTATCGCTGATCACTTTCTCAAATCTAGATGCGACTCTCCCCGAGAAACACATAGACGTCCTTGACGACACCACTCCCCGTCATCTCCCACCTTAAAGCTTGTTCCATGCACTCTTCATCCGCAGTGGCGCACTCCCATGCCACTACCCGACTGGTAGGGCCCTGAATTGACATGGCAAAGCCTCGTACTTTTAACGTGTTTGGGAACTAAGCTTAGTCCTTATTACACCACGTCCTGTCATTTCGCTCTAAATCGTGATTCTCCCCGGTTGCCTTGTCATCACTGTCGCAATTAGATTATGATACAGTTCCCGCTATGCCACTGTGTAGGTATGTGTGCCAGTGGGACGCACTTGGCGTCATCTTACCTTTTCCCATGTTTCAGCCCCGCGCCCTGACAAAGTGCGAGCGAGCGTCAGAGTCCCGATGAACCAATGAGCGGCAAAGTATTGCTCCCCGTTGTATTGCATTGGCATTGCCAACCATCATCATCAACGCATCACCCCGTCCCCATTTCCGCGAAGATGGCGTGGGTTTGTCTGGGGGAGCACTGCACGGTATATGTATTATAACCTGCACTGGTATTTTTACATGTTTTCCGCGGTCCAACATGTGCCGTCTCTTTTTTTATCGACCAAGCTATGATACCTTGACCTCGGGGGGAGGCACTGCCACTGGCTCATTGTGTGATGCGGTACTTTTTGAATGGGGATCACTCTGAGATAACGTACGGGATCTACTGATTGCCGCGCACGTTGTCCTTTTCGATGTTCACGACTGAACAGGCGGCGGCAACGTTAAAGGAAGTACAGCACGAGAGGCATGCTGGCCCTCTCAACCACGCTTGATGTCTGTGCATAATATATTTCCATCAAGTTTCTCGAAAGCCGACTTCTTTTCCTCGTCAGGGACCAGGCGCTTTGGCGAGTTTGCCTGCGGGCTGGGACATCCCGGTAAACATATCCAATGGTCTTGTCGTGCTTAGACCATCTCGAACGTTCTTGCTCGTTCACTTCTCACGGAACCAGCACGTGGCTCTGAATGGACAAATTTCAAACCCCGCGAATCCTGACACGGTTCGGTACCATCTGTGGACTTTTGTGTCGTTCTTCATTGATGTCCATCGGTGGTGATCCGCTTCGAAATTTGGTACTCCTAAGAGGTGACTCTCATATAATCTAGTCAACCCACCCTAGGATCTCTTGCGATCTCGAAGCAAGGGATTTTTTCCCCAATGAGGCATGGCTGTTATCGATGGACGAAACGATGTTCTTATACCCGTTTGTTTGATAAGCCATGGAGGCAGAACAAACGTATGCGTACAGTGGTGGCCAAGATTCCGCCAGGACAGACGGACCAGACTCCTAAGAGACCGATCTCGTGCGGGCGCCGTCCTCCATCCATATCCTGTCCCATCAAAGCAGTCCCACAGGGGCCAACTTTTCCCAATGATCATGCCCGCTACGCCATCACATTTATCGAACATGTCAAAGGAAAACCATGTCGATGTGCAGTGCTTGGGGGCGCATACCGGTCTATCTGCGCCTTTTGTCATGATATCTTCTCTTCTGCGCGACACATCGAATGGAACTGTTCCATCTGGGCCTTGCCTGGTTATGGTACACGGGTACGGTCACAAGGTGGATTTTGGTTTGTCATCGCCTGTTGGTGCGCTTCTCTGGTGACTTTTTAATAGATGGCTGCGCTGTCGCGTGCGCATATACACGGATTTGAAGATCTCGAGACGTTTGTTCTAGTACGACTGACTAACTACGACTTGAGGTGTATATGAATCTCACTCATCAGTCACGTGAAATTGACCCTCTACCGAACACACAACCAAGGTGCGTTCATTCGCGCACATAACGCGGTTTCTTCTTTACGTGCCGTTGTCCCCTTTTTCCTCTCAACAGTACATGAGGCAGTGGTATTAGCGGAAAACACGAATGATGAACACGATGAACGGACTGGCATGGCAGACATAAGAATAGAGGCGCTAATGTGTATTCTGGAACTCTCCTCCAAGGGCGCCCCGTGGCTTCCTCGCTCGGCCGTGCTCATGGCCAGCGGTTATGCATCACTAAGCTCATATCAGCGTTAACGCCATCTCGGGGCGTAAGATCAAAAAGTCCTTTATTAAATTTCTAGAAGCCATTTCGGATTTGGCCGAGTGTCAGATGAAAGAAGAAGAAAAAAGGCGGGCTTCGAGAATATATGCGATCTTTAAGATTGGGAAACCATGGAATTTATTCACCTTTGCAGTTGTCGGCGGCGAGGTGATATACTGGATGACGAGAGTGATGGGAAGTGGACGAGAGTGGCTACTTATTCTCATGGATATAGGTCAGTCATATTTCACTTTGTGTGGTTTGGATGTTAATTGCATATTACCTCTCGGCTCCTCGACGCGATCGAACTATATTTTAATGGGACTGCTACGACAAAAGTCTGTGAGAGTCTCTTAGCTACCACGGAGCACCACGAAGACTTGGCCCTCCAGATATTGATCCACCACTCGTGAGCTACAGGACGGCCTTAGCGAATTCAATATCTTGGCGAGTCAAAAAAGGGGAACTTACAGCAACGTTGATTTGTTTGTGCACCAGGCACAAATCTTCAGGAACAATTTAGCTTCGATCTAAAGTCCATTAAAGAGAAGAGCACAAAGGCCACTTACAATCGAGGTAGGACATAGCGGCATTGTTCTGGTCTTCAATGAGCATATCACTAAATTCGATCTCCATACCGTCCATGTTTTGACGTGTGATCAGCATCTTCGGGACACGGCCGCGCTGTACATAGCGATGAGCCAAAATGTTGCGCACTTGGGCTGATAGACGCGTCTGTAGGGGTGGCAGCTGAACCTAAAACAAGAAAAGCGAATTGAGCATGTCACGTCCACTCTTTCCAAAGCTCGCTTGCTCGGGATAAACGAGTACTACTGACGGCAGAGGGGCTCAAATTTACGATGTCATCGACACCGAATAGGTCACTCAGGAGTTGTGGTGAGACACTTGATCCAATCCAAAAGATCGTGCATTCTTCGTTATCTGATTGACATAAAGTTGTGAGAAATCCTGAGCCTGGGCGCCGAATGATGAGTAACACACCGATCAGATATATGCCATGAGCTTCCATATACATATGACTGGTCCGCATCAGCGACGGTAATGATATGTCGCCTGCAGGATTTGGTAGGGCGATGGTTTCGTCAAGGTCATGCAGAGCGAGAAGTCGGGGATAAAGATGTTGCAGTGTGCTACGAACACCCATCGAAAGAAGCTTCTGAGCGTAATAATTGCGTACATCCGCGGACACGTTACGGCCTGGATCAAGAAGTACGAGAATTTGGAAAATGAAATGATACAGCAGGCAAAGAAGGAACGGACCTTTCAGAGGTTTAGTTTTCGATATGGCCAAGGCATATACCGGTAGTGCTCTGAACGCCTCAGGAATAATTAACTGCAGTGTAATACGTCTTTTCTAGCGATGGACATACTCGAATAGGAAAATCTGACCTGTGAAGGTGCCGTCGAAGCCGCACAGTTCCGTCGGTATCCAAGAAGAAGTGAAGAGCACTTTTCAGTCAACTCCTCTCTGATATGCGACATTCTACGGAAGCTCAGGTTGTATATGGCTATTGTAAAGCGTGATTCATCATCAACAGGTCAGCCTAGAGTGCCTGGGGGCAAGACTCACAGTCTCTTGCGAGATGACATACAACCGTATCCATATCTGCGTATCGAAATACCGTACCGGCCAATGACGCAACTTGAAGTGCTATGTTACACGTGCGAACGCGACGCTGTCCTGAAGTAGTCGTATATAAGACGGCACTCTGAAGGAAAGCATATTGTCGCTCGTCGAGAGTCCCAGAATGTTCTAAAGAGACCGAGATGGCTTTGTCGGAATCCATGATGCCCAATTCCAGATCAGTCACAGAACGTTCATGAAAGTTACCGTAATGCCTCGAGACGCGAAGTCCTGAAAATGCTTGAGACCTAGGAACTGCGTACAGCGCGGCGATGGGGAACGCACCATTGGAACAACGTATACGAATCAAACAATCGTACACTGTGGTCCTTGAAAACAGACGACGCAATTGGGAATCGAGGACAATGCCGTCACGAGAAGGATCAAACCGAGGATAAAAGAAAAGTTCGCCTCCCGTCGTCGAAGTCAAGATGCCTGTCACTTGCTCAACTTAACGTTATCGCCGACAACAGACCACGTACCAATTGAACCGACATCTATCGCTTTATTCATGCCCAGGAACATGCTAATGCCGATGCCATCCTCCGTGCACTCTTCTGCAACCTGTCTCCAGAATTGATTACGAGGCAAGAATAGTGTCTTTTCTTTGTCTGTTCCATATACGTCTGATTCACCTCCGAGTGGTTCCAGAGCACCGGGTCCTACAGTAGGCATCGTGCTCAGAAATAACACAATCTGCCCACCAGAATCTGCCTACATATCAACTCCATTAAGTAATCTATTGATACCGAAGGAGTAACGTTACCAGGGCCGCCAAACCACTTAGGATGGTAGAACCAAGAGCGACTTCCCGAATCAACGTATCCTCGTGACGGAGGGGCAAAGCTTCTAACAAATCTTCAATTAGACCCCTGAAAAGAAAAGAAAAATTACGCAACCTGATGAGCTAATAATACAACTTACCGTGATTCCATCGGATTTACGAAAAGTCCTTCTTTCAATGGTACAAAGATTTCTTCCAGATCAGACAGAATTATCATACTTGCTTGTCTTAGATTTGACTGATATAAAGAGTACCTCGAACACCGTTAGCATAGAGGCACGAAACTCGTGCAAGTGACTCACTGAGAGGTTATAGAAATGTAGGGTCGTGTCAAACGATAAGATAGCAATTTGACTACCCTGAGGAAAACAAGGTTCGAATGCGAGACCGTCCTCTGTGGTGCCTCCGAATAGCATGTCCCGAAGGGAAGCGCAACAAGAGCTTAAGAATCCAGAATGCATAGCCTCAGAAGAAACATCGAAAGCGAAGACGTAATTCATAGCCTGAGGTTCCCGTGGGGTACTCCGTGGAGGCTCTAGGGAAAAATAGGATGGTGCGAGTTTCGGTGGAGGAGGTGGTGCCCAGTACTCTTTGGGTACAGCGAAATCAACCGTTCCCTTGTTGAGTTCTGGACGCTGATAGTGGTCCAACCGCATCAGATTTGCATCCAGATTTGAGAAATAATCTTGGGAAACTGAACACGGCCCTCTGATTGTTAGGCTGATACAGTAAGCGTGAAAGATTGTGTACCTTCTGTCTCACAACCACATAAATTACATTTCCACTTGTTTCCGCCGGCTACCCATGTGCACCAAGGATTTATGTACCCTCTGCACTCCGCACAACGAGCTGGGCCTGTTTCACCACACTCGACCAGGGGAATTGCTTCTTCGCGAGAATCTTGATCTGCAAATGGCTGGAAAACGGCTGATAGGGGGATTTCGCATTCCCTAGCAAGATGAGAGGAGTTGGGGATGTTCCACGTAGACACGCGAACGAACTTTGGTGTTGAATTGCCTAGAACATAAATTTGATCTCGCTTGCTAGTACAGAGAGCTCATAGACAGACCTTGATCAATGGCAACAAAGTCTGTAGTTGAAAGGGGAGGATTGTTTCCAGGCATTGTCAAGTATGTTTTCCCTTCCCATTGCTCTCTGTCGGCTTCGATCGCATCTAACGGTGAAGGAATCTGACTGGGGTCTATGCGAGCGCGTAAACCTGGCAAATGGTGTCATTAGATATGGCACATTGACAGGAAGTGCAACATGCCCTTGTATGGTTCACCAGCGCTGTGCGGTGGTTGCGGAATGTGTCGTGGTTGGGCATACATAGAAATGACCGCTGCTTTGATGGTACAGCGCCGCTGTGGTGAGCGTTTATTCCAAACGTGTCGGCGCTGTATCCTGCCGAGCGTTATTTGCCAAAAGCTTCTGATCCAAACAACCACTGATCTGAACTGCCTTCAGCGTCTATTATCAACCTCTAAAATATGCATCTTTGATTTGCCCAGCTACTTTCTTCCAAGACGCTGTAGCGTTGCGTGGAGGTTTCTGTCGCGATGCATCTCACTTTTTCTTCTTCTGGTGAGTCATAACCGCGTGTCAAGGTGTCTTCGAGTCCAAAGAGACGCATAGTCATGTCGCATAAGCCCCGATTTAATACAGAAGGCAACCAATTAATACAAAGTGCTCTACATTATGCATACTTCGATATGTCATTCAGACCATCAAGACATTGCAAGAAACACCACGGTATGTGACTATCCTGCATAAACACAACAACTTCTGACATCTTTGAAAACCAAGCAGTCCTAAATAGACCACGACACGACTAATTTCAGAGAAAACGAAAGCTCCAGTTCTGCTCAACGACTTGCAGGATGTGAAAAGTCATCATTACCAGACTTTTCACCAAATGTAGACCCACTTGAACCATCAACAATAGGCAGCTCTACCGTTTCCGGACTCGAGTATGGTGCATTCAAAAACGATGCCTGCGCGAATTGCATAACCGACACCGCATCCATAGACCCAGACGGGTCGAAAGACGAATGTTCATCAATGGTTTCGTGATGATTCCAATTCCGTCTACTCGTCCACATTGTTGCAAAGACAACCCCCAAAATGGCCACGTAGTCATTGACAAGGAAGATGTAAGACGCAGTCGTATACGATGACCCCCATGCAAACAGGCTTATTGCGACCAAGTTTGCTATAACACTGTCCAATGATATCAGTTACAGTGCCAACATTTTCTCAAACGTTCACACTGACGGGAAAACAAAATTCTCTACAGCGATCAAAAGAGCAGCTCGAATACGTTGCAGAATACGGCCTGTGGATTTGGTAAGTCAGACGAGCCAATTTTTTACGCCCTCTTACTTACTATTTGGTGAAGTACGAGTTATAGTCATATCACGTTGGCACTTGCGTAGATTATACAGGAAGAGTGATGAAGCGTATCTACAGGGTTATGTTAGTATCCAAGTCTATCTGTGATCTAAACATGCTTACAGGCTGTCAAGTGTCTGCAAACAAAATTCGGTCAATGGGTAGCGTCTCTCACGACTCCAGGCGAATCCTGCAGCTAATAGGACGTTTGGACCATTGCCACTGGCGCTGGTGAATGAATGCAAGAACATCACCAGGGCAATGAATCGACCACATTTAATCAAAACCGGCAAAGCCAAGATCTTGACCAATTTTGTTGTTGGAGTGGTGCGCACTGGATAAAATGCAAGGAGCCGGAAGACTAGGATAGAGTCAATGAAAAGGGGAGGAACCACGGAAAATGCAACAGCAGCAGTTAAAAGGCTTTTCGACGTTTGTTCGAGTGGGTATAAGATTTGTTTCGTTCCAAGAGTGGCGTTGATACTGGCTTCACAGATACCACAGCAGCAGGCTAAGATATTAAGAATGAACACGGGGTGTCGTCTTATTTGGGGAGTGGAGAAGAAGAAGAGTGTGAGAATGAGTGGGACTAATGCTGCCCCCAAAGGAACGAGTACCAGAATGTAGGTCAGGGATGGCTGGATAATTGCAATGTAATTGAGACCAGGCGGAGGACTTGGGAGTACATCACTCATGTCCCTCAATACGATCCTGATGGTGTCGCTTGAGCTGAAGTCCCATTCATGATGGTTTTCTTGAATTGCACTGCACTGGGCGTCAAAGATGATGTGGCTATTGATCATCAGTGCCTCGACAACAAGATCAAAATCAATCACCCCTCCCCCTTTTACCCACGATGTCACAAATGATTAGTGAGTGCCTGTTATAATATTTCATTGTGCGGTCCACTCATCTCGTATATCTACACTTCTCTTCAGGGCTTTTCTCAACAAGACCACATCTCAAGCGATGTTTATAAGCCATCAATAAGTACAGAAAAAGACAAATCAGTATACGATACTATAACTAAGATATGCCATCAGACCCTAAATACATCGTGCGGGAGACATACGGTAAGTGCCAGTGATTTTCCTACGGACACGCGAGTCAGTGTTCGAAAAACAGTTATGTATAGACGATAATCAAGCACAAGTCAGAGGCAATTGCAAAGTACATCCATCCTCAATGAATTGCAGATATTGAAAAGTCGTTGTCATCCGAATTTTCACTAGTGAGGTCCGTTATTTTCTCCTCTTGCACCTCAAGTGTACACTGACCATCCGACACAGGTTGCTCTACCGTTCCCCCATTCGAGTGCGGTGCATCCAAAAATGGTGCATGCGCGAATCGCATTGCAGATATTGCAGCATTAGATCCAGACGGATCGAAAGATGAATGTCCATCAGTGCTCCCATGACGATTCCAATTCCGTCTACTCGCCCATACCGTCGCAAAGACGACTCCCAAAATGGACGTGTAGTCATCGACAAGGGTGAAGTAAGACGCAGTTGTAAAGGAGGATCCCGACGCAAACAAGCCTATCGCAATCAAGTTTGTAATAACACTGCAAAAGTATTAGTTGGACAACAAGCCTTTCTTAAAGATGGTACTCACGGAAAAATGAAATTTTCCACAGCAATCAAAAAAATATCCCGGATACGTCGTACAATATGGCCTATGAACCTGGTAAGCAAGATTTACCAACAATTTGCCCTTTTACTTACTATCTTTGGAAGTGCGAGTTATAGCCACATCACGTTGATACTGGTACAAATTGTAGAGGAAGATTGATGAGGAGTACCTGTGTGATTATATCAGTACAGCTATGATAATCATGAACTAGCCGCGCTCACAGGCTATCAAGTGTCTGCAAAGCAAATTCGGTCAACAGATAGGGTCTTTCATTGCCCCATGCTAACTCCGCGGCTAATTGGACTTTTGGAGCATGTCCGCTGGTAACGGTGAATGAATGCAAGAACAACACGACCATGCTGAACCGGCCACATTTAAACAAAGCCGGCAAAGCAAAAATTCTGATCAATTTTTCCGTAGGGGTAGTGTGTACTGGGTAAAATGCAAGGAGCCGGAACACTAGAATGGAGTCGATAAAAAGGGGTGGGACCAGTGCAAGTGCAAGGGCAGCAGTTAGAAGATTTTTCGGAGTGGGATCAAGTGGATATAGGATTAGTCTTGTTTCCAACACTCCATTGAGTGCCGCTTCGAATATTCCAAAACAGCAGGCCAATATATTCAGAATAAATACTGGGTGGCGTCGTGTTTGAGGGGAGGAGAAGACAAAGAGTGTGAGGATGAGGGGAACCATAGTTGCTCCTAAGGGCGTGAGTATGAGGATGAAATTGAGGGATGGCTCGATGGCGGCGATATAATTAAGGCCAGGAGGAGGGCTTGGAGGCAAGTCGCTCATATTGTTCAGCAATGTAACGTTAATCGTGGTGTTCAGACGACAAGCTCGAGCAGTTTATATAGCCTTGTCGCGAAATATTCTTTGAATGAAATATAGATGCTGTTGCAACTCATCAGCTTCAAATAGTAATATCGTCCCAGAATCTGCATCCCGTGTTGGGGAAATAGCTAGTGGATCAGCCGCAACAGTCATGCCCATGATTATGCATAGCAGAACATAGGGATGACACTAGATAGGGGAAGTAGTGAATATGTATTCCAATTCCTGTCTTGTATTTTCGCTTGAATCATCATAAACGCGGTGCACTGATTTTTTTTGTGAAGTTTTCTTGATAGGAGCATAGGTATATATACCACTTTTGATGAGATCTGCTTAGAACACAATAAATATGAACAGCTTGCACTGGCGCTAGGCACGCTCGAGGACTGCGAGTTGACAGTTGATCTGGCCAATCCGTCATTGTGTGAGTAACCTGTCATGGGGCGAGCGTTTTATACGCAGCGTCACTAAGTCACGGTTCTGTCGGGTTGCGATACGTTTTATACCCGTGCAGATGAAAGATCCTGGCCCAGGTATCCCAGTTTGGATCCGCGCGAATATGGTGCATCACGTGAGAGGCGTTGTTTGCCAGAAGCCTCTGATCCAAACAACGACCCATCTATAGTCCCTTTCAGGTCGTACGTAACAAAGGACAAGGCTCGTAGAATGCATTCGGTGACCCTTGCAACTTTTTAATATGTCTCTTTCAGGATATGCGTAAGAGTGACACAAATGTCTCAATCACAACCACGACCTGAGTCACGTCCTCAACTTTCTTCGACTCACAATGCTGGCCCACCATCAAACGCGATCCACAAAGGAGCTGACCTCATTGTTGCTCTGATTCAGGACGAAAGACAGCGCATCTCGGAGGACTCTCGCAGAGCCTATGCAGAACTTGAACGGAGACACATCGAGCTTCGGAACCAATCCAACTATACTTTTGAGCAGTCTGGTCGCCGAAAAGCAGAATTGGAGGCTGAGGTCCAACGTCTGAACGGTGATGCCGTCAATGCTGCTCAGACTGCTCGCCAAGCATTATCGGAAAGAGGAGAAGCTCTTCGGATTTCTACGCAGGCAAAGAATGATCTTGTGCAGCTAGCACAAGTCTTAGATCAATTTGGGATAATTGCTCGCAGCGGAGCACATGATTCCTTCGATGTTACTTTGGACGACAGGTGGAGTAGTCTACTTCGAGAAGGGAGAAAACAGGACGAAATCGGAGAGTCCAAAGGAGTAGAGTCCAGCACAGATGGGAAACTCGGGATAGTCAAAGAAGAAGATTTTGGTCCGCCGCCCAGTTCGCAAACAGCGCCCCTTGGATTTTTGCAGGAGCTGAAAAGAAATATCGAACGTGATCAAAAGACGATCGGAGCCTTGAGAGAAGAAATATCTTTACTGCAAGAGGAGAAAGGGACGATAAAGATTGTCACAGACAGGGCTATAGAAGAAGCCAATGCTGTCGTACAACTGCGAGATACAGAGGTGAAAGAATTACAGGCTCAGTTGACAGCTTCACGAGAAGAGATCGAGCGGCTGAAATCAATGCCTCCGCCCAAACCTACTACAACTCAACGAGGTGATTGCATATCTTTTCTTGATTAATCACTATCTTGAATTCGTTGATTCTAGAAGTGCAAACCATGAGCACGCCTACGACACAAAAGCCCCAGCTTTCTATGACTTCTTTATCGGCTATGTCCATTTCTCGCGCCGAGAAACATAAAGAAGCTGATATACAAGGTGTAACTCCAACGACTCACCTTAACAAAGAACTCGCCCCGCCCACTTTGAAGATTGGCAAAAAACTTGGTTTGTGCCTGCAGGTTTATCTTAACATTACGCTCAAAAGTTTTGTATCAAACAGCTGTAAAAACCAGTTCTCTCAAACGACCCAACAAGGATGCAGACGATATTAAAGCATCGAAGAAAGCCAGGACATCTCTAGATTCAAAATCCACTCCATCTTCGCTTAGTATTTCAAGCAAAGCTGACGATGACAGTCGTCCCAAGGGAAATAACCAGACTAACATCAGCCTTAGCAGAAGAGGGGGCAAAGGGACGTATCAGATATTCACTCCTCAAACCTCGCCTTCACCGGAACCACAGCCACAACCTGGGTCTGGAGTGAATTATGATGGTGACTCTCAGACAACTGAAACTTCTGGAAATCAGACTAAACCTGGTTCATCCTCTACTACTTCCCCTGAAGATGCGCTTGTAGTTTTTCCTTTCAGGAAACACCTGCGCGAATCAGATTTCGTCAAGCCCAGGCTTATATCCAATCCGCAGTCCATCTCTGAGCGGAGTGGTAAGTCATAAAGAGTATATTTATAAGGTACCACTACTGATTGCCACAGATAAAAAAGCAGAATCTTCATCGAGCAAAAGCCAGGCAGGGGCCGATTCTGGAAAAGTTTCGAATTCACCGTCGGTAAAGTCTACAGGAACCTCCAGTGACAAACTCCAAGCTTCATCGAAATCTGTTAATAAAACGCCTACCTCACTACCCAATGGTATGTTTCATGCCCTCAAACTCATTCTCATGAAGCTCACACACACTGGCAGGAGCCCCTACCTCCTTGTTGTCTAAAATAAAATTTACGAAATCAAATATGGGAAAGGGCTAGGGTGCTATGTCGATAAAGGTATCAAATACCAATGCTACCGCACCATCGTCCGTTGAGAAGTCACCGCGAAATCCTAACCCCCCCGCGCCCAACCCTTGACGAGAAGACTCCTAGCGATGCCATGTTAGTCACCAGACATTGCCCATTAGCATGAAGAAAACTAGTATCGCCAGCATTGACACCAAGGCGACGTGATACAGGCGAGTGGGTGAAAGACTTCAATCGAAGGGGTTTACAGCCATCAAATGGTACTTTATTGGAGCATCGACGAGAGATATCAACGACACATGATATCTTTCGTCTCATTTACTTATACAGACTCACAGTCGGGGCTCTCCGGGAGGGTCCTATTTTGGTGTTCTGGGAGACGTCCATTGGGAAGGACATCAGTTTCAAGTTGGTTGAAGCGCTTAAACGAGACTGAAAAGGTTTATGCACAGCCACACATTTACTACAGTTGCTACTTGACCATCATTTCCATGATTCTTGACCGGCTCACAAGGCTCTTCGTAGCCCGGCGCTAGAGTATATAACTTATGTATACCTGTCTATCTAAAAGTCTCTGCTGAAACATTGTCTTGTCTATTGGCGATTACTTGAAAACAACGAAATGACCTCCACAGACGATAATCTTACGCTTTGCCATCCTCGACCGTCGTCTGGTCAGAACCCCAACCAAGCTATTGTGGTGGTCTCCCCGACGCCCAGTAAACTACCACCCAACCATGTATTGATCAAGGTCGACCGCTTTGGTTTTTCTGCGAACAATGTCACCTACCAGGCATTGGGCGAGGCGCCGCATTTTCGGTATGTGGAATATGATTTAACGGTCAACGCCATCCTTTGATTTGTCTATCAAGATACTTTGACTTCCATCCTACGCCTGAGATAGAGGGTGTTTCTCCTAAAACACACGGGATTACACCTGTGTGGGGCTTTGGCACAGTGGTCAAATCTTCGCACCCAAAGATTCACATTGGGGAGCGAGTGTATGGATACCTTTCCCCGTCGCGATATCTTTTACTGCCAGTCTCTCCTTCCGACGTGAATAAATACGCATTTTCAGTGCCTAGACCACATCTCCCTGCTGGTAAATTTTTTCTTTCTCATTTTATCTACTAGATGCTTATTTGCTCTACGACATTAGATCGACGGCCGTACAACCAGATCACCCGGTGCTCATCAGACCCACTGTATAACTCTTCACCTGCGGTAGAAGATCTCACCATGCTGTACCGTCCACTCTTTTGGACGTCATTCTGGTGCGAAGATTGGCTATTCAGGTCAGGCTATGGTGGAGGAGCAACCCGGATCTTGATATCATCTGCGTCTTCCAAGACTGCATTTTGCCTTGCGTATCTCATTCGAAAGCGTATAAAGAGCGCGGTGCTGCCAGGCACGAGAATTGTTGGACTCACGTCACGGAAGAATGTCGATTTTACTAGGCGCCTATCACTTTATGACGACGTTCTGGACTATGATTCGTTTATTTCCTCATCTGTAATGCGTCTTGGAGGTGACAAGTGGGTGTACGCCGACGTCGCGGGGAATGATTCGCTGAACAGTAACGTCTTCTCTCATTTTGGCGACGGCGGACATCTGGTGAAGAGCGTCGCCCTGGGCTTGACGAATTTGTCGCCTTCCTCTCCTGGAGCATCTTCTACAAAATGGTCAAAGAATGAGTTCCAAAAAGATACCAAGCCCCACAGGCCAAGCGACTTGGAGCAGTTTTTCATGCCGGAATGGCTTGCTGTGCGCAGGAACGAGCTTTCTGTTGCTGAGATAACGGGCATGCAGAAGATTGCTTGGAATGATTTGATGAGGGACTGTGTCAACTGGGTGACATTGTGCCGCGTTTGCGGGCGTGAAGATGTCAAAAGGGCGTATGATGACGTTGTCAAGCGGGGTCTTGGCCCTGAGGAGGGTCTCATTTGGAGTTTATGGGAGGGACAGAATGCGAAAGATGAGTCTTCACCCTCACCAAAGCTTTAAATGATTGTGGATAGGCGTCCAATGGCAGAATTATTGCGTTGTCGTCTTCAATGCCTAGTTTCTGACTTGATTTATTTCTTGCGCTGGCTATGATATCAGAGTAGTACCACTGGTATCGCCCTGCTATCTGTAACATATTTACTCCAAGCCCCTTTACTCCACTATGCAATTGTCAACGATCGGTATACACATGTATGATCCGGTATTGGACCAGCGGTGCCGAGACATGTCAACGCTCGGGGCCAAAGAAATGGGTCATCTTTTTTTTTGAGATGAGGCTGCCCCGAGCTCTTTCTACGTTTTTCTTTGCTCTTCACCACAACGTTCCAGAAAGTTGCAGCTTCAAGCTGATAAGAACACTGGGCTCAAGCTCTAGCGGAATATCTCATACCCCGGGGCCATTCAAGTTAACCTTTCCAAGTGCGCTTTCCCCATAGCTTGAACTATTACCACCAACATGGACCAAGTCATCCCTGGGCTTTGGATTGGTGGTCTCGCAAATGCACTTGACGTGGAAGGGCTAAAGGCGAGGAATATACATAGTATTGTGACAGCTATGCGGGGAAAAATCACCATACACGCCGTATGTCCCATATGTCTCTCATCCCCGATTACTAACTGAGATGGACTGGATGAGTTAGACGTTCACTACTCACCAAATCAACATCGACGATAGCGCAGAGGAGGATGTATTGGTACATTTCTTGCCCTCGATTTCATTTATACAACAAGAGTTAGATAAGGGATGGGGTGTTTTAGTACATTGTCAGGCTGGGATCAGTGCGTTTATTCATGTTCCTGATACCAATGTTCTGGATTCATCTCTCCTTGTTTATTCATAATTGACTTAGGTCGCAGTGCAACAATCGTAGCAGCCTATCTGATGCACTCCCTCAAAATAGATCCAACCGGTGCATTGGATATGATCAGGCAAGTGCGGCCGCATGTCGAGTAAGTGCTCTCGAGAATACCACAGTTTAATATCTCGAAACGGACTTTGCACGTACTATCAGACCAAACGAGGGGTTTGTGGAACAATTAGATGTGTTTCACAAGGCCTCTTATCAATTTACCCGTCGGGATAAGGCTATCAGGATGTTCTATATGGAGAGGACAGTTGGAGAGATTATGAGTAAGTACCCCAGATCAGGATGATCGTGTCATCTTCCCCGCAGTCTAATATCTAATCTAATCGATTCGATTGTGACTTTTACGTATTTGCATCCCTTTGGCTAACTATGTTATGTCCCTTTTCTAGATGGCAGTGGTTCACTACCAGAAATTGACATGTTCGCAGACCATCCACACACGCCTTCCGAGTCAGTGCCGGCGACACCTGTCCGGCCCAGTCGTCGTATACGATGTAAGATGTGCAGGTACGCCCTTCGAAATCAGTGACTTAAATCTATGATCTCAATATAATCCACTTGCAGACGAGAACTGGCCACTCGGGAGCACATGCTCGATCATGGGCAGTTGGGTCCTTCTACACCAGCCGTACCTTCACTCACTCCTGCTGGCTCACGACGACCGTCCATGAATGATTATCTGCAGCAGCCCGGCGCTGGCTCCCGACGTTCATCGGCGAGTCTGAATGTTTCAATCTCGCGGCGCCCATCAACGGGCCAGCCGCGCTCGGGAATTGGCTCTGGGTCGAATGGGGCTGTTGAAGGACGGCCAGCGGGGCTGCTAGCACCTGGAGATCGTGGGATACTGGAGTCGCTGTCGATGTCTGCGTTGGAGACTGAGGATGAGCCGGATATGGACGATACTCAGGAAGGTGGTATACCTAATGGGAACGGGCATGGAAACGGTAGTATGTCGAGACGATCTTCAGGAGCTGATACAAGGCCTTTCAAACCCTCACCGCTCTCCATGGAAGGTATCGGCCGAGATCTATCAGACGCACTCGATGCCCTCACTTCTCCAAACCAAGAAGAGGAAGCAGAGAAGGATTCAAACCCTCTTGGTCCACCACAAAACTTGGAGATCGCCTCTCGAGCTTCTTTCTCCCAAGATCAGCCTTCGGTGGCTGCTCCTCCACCTTCAGCGGCGATGAGCCAGTTTACAAGCCCTACGGATCTCGCCGCGCAATTATTCGCTAATCCGAAACTGGCGGGTCTTCGTTCACCAGGAGGTACAGGCCCGCCTACTATGTCTAATGGGAGTGCAGGAGGAGTTGGGAGAGTGGCGGTGAGCCCGCCTATACTTGTGAACCCAAAATGTTCGGGATACTTCGTAGAACCTGTAAGTCCCCTCCCTTTCTGTTTCAAAATGATCCTTATACCAATCACGCTGATTCCTTCCTATGAATGGCTTGTAGATGAAATGGATGGAGCCATTCCTCGAGTCTGGTGCCTTGGGTGGCAAAATCATATGTCCAAACAAGAAATGTGGTGCAAAATTAGGAAACTACGATTGGGCGGGCGTGTGTTGTAGTTGTAAAGAATGGGTGACCCCCGTGAGCTCACGCTTTACTTTCACTCTGTTTCTTTGGGATGCTGACTTGGTGATTAGGGTTTTTGCATACATCGATCCAAGGTGGATGAAATAGCATAAGGAATATCTATTTTATCAGTATATGGTACTGTCTCGATTTCCCTGTGATTCCCCAAGAGGAGTATTTGTTGGATGGAAGGAACGAAAAGCTAGCTATCGCTGTTGATTTCTTGGTTGGTTGTTGATTACACTTTTGCAATGCGTTTTGCCACGAGTCCACCATAACTTGTTCAATGGTGCCGTTTCGGATACGACGTTCTTTATTCAAGTTGCCACTGTTCGCCGAGTTCATTGTCTGCATTGTATGCCAGCGAGATTGGGGAGCGCAATCATGTAACTTGGGTTTGCCTCTAGATGGGCAGTGATCTGGCCACCTGCAATCGAGTCACTGTCCCACAAGTATGCTCTTGAGCCACATGATGGATATTGAGAGGCAAGCGCAAGCGGGGGAATAGTATCTAAGTAGAAGCGGGCGTGCTGTTTCATGATCATTGTTCTAACTAATCATAGATGTGGTCGACTCTTTCGAATGCTACTGTGCAGCCCAATGAGCCCATTGCCCTTGAAAACTCCCGGCTTGCAGTATGGTCTCTTCGTTTGAGTGTGAGTTTATGCATCTACAAAAGTTCCTTCCTTCACATTTCATTAGCGTAGTAATAAAATATAATAAAACCAGTAAGCCAATGAAACTTTCTATCTCTCCATGAAATATGATGCTAATACAAACAACAGTAACAATACACTAAAAAGCTAGCAATACATACTCTTTCTTTTCGTCATAACAATTGTATAAAGTCCAATCCAGTGCAGGTGATTATACTTCCATAGCAGATGGATGGGATGACGGTCTCCGCGAGCTTGGGCCCTTGACGATACGATATGGGTGGATGCGCGAGCCGCGGGCGAGCGGGCGCTGGGGATGGCGAAGTTCCTGTAGGGCGGGGCCGACGAGGAGAAGTGCCGTCTGACCAGAGGCGGTTGCGCCATCTGAAGACGTTTTTGAGACAGGGGACACGACGACAACGGCATCGGCTGAGTCAAGATCTGTGGGGACAAGCCGGAGTTTCGTGGTGGGGTGTTGAGATTTCGGAGAAGGGGAAGGGGAGGTGCATGCGGTAGAAGAGGAGAAAGTGGAGAAGTTGGAAGATGTGGATGGTGCGGGGGAGGGTGTGCGAGAGGATGAGGAAGATGAGGTGGACACCTGACGTGTGGGGCGTTGTCTGTGGTGTGTGGGTGTGCGCAGACGTGAAAATGTCTGTTTCAAGCACGATGAGACGCAATAGAACGAAGGCGAAGGCGAAACAAACAAACCTGACGATTGAATTCATAAGAGTCATATAATTCGTGAATACGTGGTAATTGTGTTTTTCCGATGGGAAGATCAAGTGTGTGCAACGGGGGGAGGGTGGGACGAGAAGAGCTAGAAGGAGCATTGCAGTAAGCGATCATTGTGAATGGTATCGGTGGTATCGGTTGGAGGTAAGTGCGAGAGTATATTTGAGAGAAAGTGATAACAAATGATCTTCAGCTAGCTGAAAGACGATATTCCACCGGGATGTTGATTTCAAGGATGCCTGCCTTGAGTAGAGTGAATATATGTGAAATGTGAAACAGAAGCTTGCTGGGTATAAGAGATGAAGTGGATGAAACAGAGGAAACGGAATGAGAGAACCGGGGAAAGGCGAGACATGCTTTATATTAGCACAGAGCAAGGAAAGAATCACTTACGCGTATCATGAATTCGAGACAGTGGGACATTGTGGAATGCTTTGGCGAGAAATGAGCGAAATGCTATAGTCTAACGAGAACGGATTCGAATTGCATTGTGCAAAACAAAAGAATCAATGTGGCGCATGTCTGTTTGCCTGCGTTTGGCTCCCATTCGGAGTGTCAACTTTTCATACATTGTTGTGGTTTATCGCACTGGCTTCTTTCATAAGCGACTCATACGTACAACGTAAAGCAAATATTCGCAGTGTATGCGAGTCACTGTCTTTTTTGTCGAACTTTTGAGTGGGAAGAAAGTGGTATTCTATACATTGCTGACAGTTTGCCACAGTTTATCTATTTCCTTTTCCGGTAAGCAGGATTGACGGAACAAAGAAAATTTGTGGGTGAATGGTAGTGTAGCGTTCAGTGTACAGTACCACCATGGCAGAACCAACGCCCAAGCTCAGAATAGTGAGAACATACATTGTTTCATTACTATGATGGCCCCTCTAATCTTACAACATGATGCAGATGAAAGGCGCAGATCAAGATCTGTCCGCCGCCACCTACCAAATATTCGACGAGTCGCACACGATGGGCAACGCTCTGCGATGGATGCTCATGAAGAAGTGAGTTCTTTGCTTGCTGTTTTAGGCACTCAAAGGCGCGGAAGCTGATGGTAGTATCAATCGTAGCCCAAAAGTGGAGTTTTGCGGGTATAGGTACGTCTTTTTTGTTGCCGGTTTTCCTTTGTTCTCTTCAATCTCAATGTATCCCTGGCCTCGTGCCCACGTCTTTACATGTGGTCTTGCTGTGTGTTACCTTTGGCTTGTCAATCGCCCTTTCATCTTGACCTACCCTTTTGTTTGTGATATCTCGATGATTAATGTCCATCTTTGATACAGCGTGCCGCATCCCTCGGAAAATCTCATCCAACTGCGGATACAGATGTACGGTATGTAGTCCTTCCCTTTCTACCCTCTCTCGTTCGTGGAGACTCGAAGGAGTTGAACCGACATATGACCAGATAAACTCTCATCCCTCACCGCACTCCTCGAGGCACTCGACAACCTGGATGGCCTATGTGTTGCCATCCACGACAAATACGGCGAAAGCCTCGCTTCAGGGGACTATGAGCGTTGGGAAGAGAGAAGCTAGCTTTGTATGCTCTGTTCACATATCTTCCTCTTATTTTTTTTTTGCCAAATGGTTTGATTTACGATGCCGTATGTTGTATTGTTTTACTCGCACTGAGGTTGGCTCAACGTTGATTTCCTGACCAAAATTTTCATTGTCATGCGGCTTTCCCAAAAGCCAGTCTTTCGTGCAGCTTCCCACAGTAGCCCGTCTCCATAACTATCCGACGCTGGGACAGGGCCATTATTACGCCAATAATTCAGGTGTCTTTAGAGAACGATACTATTCGTTGTGGTTTCGGTGGCTTCACAGTCGTAAAAAGTGCTTCATCTGACTATTTACGCACTTGTGTTTGGACCGGGGCAATAGTACTGTAGCAGTGCAAAGCCAGCGCAAGGGAATATAAGAATTGTCTATGAGCCTGCGGCACTAGTGCAACTGTGGCTGAGGTGATCTCAACGACGACATGTTCGTTTATGACGTCGTCTAGCCCCTATTGCAGTCGTCTTATACCGCCACACTAAGTTACCTCCCAGTCTATATATTCCTTCTCATTATCCTCAATTCAAACACTCGTTACCTTTCTGCCACAACGACCATGAACAAGAACGCGCAACCTCCCCCAGTCCCAAGAGGTCGTCCAGCGGTGAGCATACTTGTCACTGATACTACGATGTCTACCACTCTAAGTACTGTACTGATTTCATACCAGACGATGGTCGGCGGCGTTGCTGTCGTTGCTGCAGGTATATTCGCATGGTGGTCAGGTATCCAAAGACACCAGGCAAAAAAAGAGAAAGTCGACGAACACAATCCTGGGACACTCCCAACTTGTAAGTCTGGTTTGGAAACTCAGTTTTATCATTTCATCGATGATTGACACGCATACAACCACTCATATGACAGGGGAACATCGCATGTATCAAAACCGAAACCCGGTCGACAACAGTGACAAGCCCTCTACTCTCCGCACAGGCAGCGCGGAGGGTTCATCACCTCCTCCACCACCCAATTCTTCTGAAGGTACATCTGCGCAGGAAAGGAAACAGAACAAGGCAGAACGCGCGGATCGTGCCGTTCCATCTGCCCCACAATCGAAATCAGGCGGATCACCCGATCCTAACGTGAGCCCTGCACCAACTGGGGAACCAACCCCACAACGCACGAGAAAGGATGATGGGAGGGTGTACACGAAGGCCGCGAAGTATGTAGACAATTACGATTCGCATAAGCCGAAGAATCCGGAGGATAAGAAGTAACGCGTATAAGTGTTTTTACATTTGAACGCATCGTTTTGGGGGACCATTCTCGTTCTTATACGAACATTGGCTGCACACTTGGGTAGATGGGGAAGTAGATCAGTGATCAGTAAAAACTTTACAACAACATAGTCCAAATTTGGCTGGAAGCAAAAACTCCTGCAACCCTACGTAAGAATGAAACAGCGTGCATCCTCCTCCCAAGTTGGGGAGACGTGCCTGTAAACAACATCCTCCGTTAGCATTTGCCTCTCTTGCAGCCTCGATGCCTGGTCGTATGGCACCACATGGTGTCTGAATACGACTGGACATCTGGTGACGGCCATGCCTGCTTTTGCTTCCGCCAGGAGGGGCATAACCCTGGGGTACGACCCTGTCAGTTTAAGCGTCACTGATTTCAAATCAAGCCATATAGGCTGAGCAGTGGGGCTGCTAAGGCGAGACGAGGACGGCATCCTCCCTAGAGCACGGAGGAGCACGGCAAAATGATATTCATGCGCATACCGATCTAGGTAAGCCACCTCGAGTTGATGGACAATGGGCATCGCCTTGTGAAGCGAAATATAGGTCGATTCGTGAAAAAGCACGTTGTGGAGTGTGAGAGACGTTAGCGAAGGTAAAGGGAGGGGCTGTGTCATGTGGTTGAAGAGCAGTGCGAGACTGTCATCTGTGCTGTTAACAAGCGCAACAGACTGCAGCACGGGCGCGTCGAGGGCGAGGAGGATGTACGAGGTGTTTTCCCAGGTTTGTTCCCCGCGGACGTCGTGGATCCGTACGCGACGAAGAACGGGTAGATGTATAGTGTTCGGCAAATTGACCTGCTGGTCGCGGGCGGGACTGAAGTTGGTGTGCACGCAGAGATTAACGAGAGAGTGGGCAACGTTGCGGAGGAGTTCGAAGAACCTGATGGATGTCAGGGTCCTATCGTACTGTTTACGGGTCTGTGTATCTGCGCCATGGAGATGGAGGGTGGTTATGTTAGTGAAGGGCCAGTGGTACCATGCACCGGCACCATCAAGGGACATGCAAGAGATCAAAGGAGCACCACCGGCGAAAAGCTGGCGGTGACCGACATACCGGTCCCAAGAATGACCGTAGGGGCTGACGTCGACGTACTCGAGAATGGGAAAAGCCAAGGCCGACAAATTCGCGAGCAGACTGTCGGTCACGCCACTCCGTTCAGACTTGACGTAGAATGCACGCCACCGCTTGGAGTGAAGCATGAGAAGGCCCATAACAGCGCCGAGTGCGCGATGATCGAGGTCGTATATTCCTATGCCTAGAGAGTGCGACTTTGAACGGGTAAGATAGATGTTGAGAGAGTCGAGGGTGTAGAAAGGCGGGATGCGGATCGCAGACCAGATGCGAGGGGTGGAGAGGGAAACATCACGCCAGTGAGAACAGACTTGCTGTGCGATAAGTTCGAATCGAGATGCGGCTGGTGTGAAGGGCGATGATAACCAGCAGAACTCAAATATGACGCTGAGGATTTCGATGGGGAGCGAGGAGATGCCTGTGGGGGGCGCTTCTCCTTGTATAATGGCGGGTATGGATTCGGGTACGGGATGTACTGTGTCGTCTTCTGGGGCGATGTCTAGGCTGATTTCTTGTAAGGTTGGCTCCTCTGGCTGGATACTCTGAACATAATGGTTCGTGTCCTGCTTGGGGAATCCGGGATGCATTCACAAGTGAATCACAACATAAAAAGATCTGGAACTGACCACAATCATAGAATTAACTAGCAATGTTTCTCTTGAAAGCGATAACAGAGGCGAGCGCTCGAGCGTAGTTTAACTAGTTATACCTTTTAGTAATTCCTATGCCAGTGTACTGTTGCAGTAGCAATAATCAAACAATGAATCGTTTTACATATAGATTAGACGCTCGCATGCCAGTGGGAAAGCTTTCTGCAGCCAATCGCGTGCCGCGAGATGGTCTTTTGAGTTCTTGTACAAGGACATAGTTCGAGGATTAAAGCAGGAGCTAACGTTGGCATATAATATTGTGCGGTATTAACAGCCATGGTAGCATATTCTGCTTTGTTGATGATATCGATCAACCTGCATACTCATGTTTTCACTTCCCCAGAAACGATATCATCGTTGATACGATACGTACGATACGTTCGAGTTTGCAGTGGCTACATCTAGCACTCAGCTATACATGTCCTTAACTAACATTTAACTATCCATCAAAACCATGAAGAAGCTGAGTATATTCTTTCACCATCTTTAGTGGACTGTCATGGAAGTCTCCAGAGGACTGGAGCATAAATTCTGGTGAGTTGACAGATCTGGAAAGTCCCACTGCGTGTTATCCGGAGGACAGCAAGTTACTGGGCATGTACATGTGAGACTCGTGTATATGTGATAATGCTTAGTTCTGAGTTACGAGATTATCAGGTGCGGAAAATACTCACATGAGAGGCGACGGTACCGCTTGTGAATGCGATCTGTACCATGGGCTCTGCGGGTGTAGACTGTTGCACTGATGAGGTTGGTGTTGGTGAATGCACTGTACCACAGCCCTTTCGACCACGTCTCGTCTAGTAGCGTATTCGTTTTTCCATTTAGCTGCCAGCACCTATTGATATCCCTGTACACTCGAGAGGTCTTCGAAAAATGCTTGAATCGAATGTATTCCTCCGCAGTATTCCAGGTCAATCGTGTAGGATTGAAAATATCTCCATGGTCATGGCGCTAACTTAATAAAATCACATTAGCCTGGATAGCCGCTGGCGATGGATTGCGTGTACAAATCTATAGCCACCGCCTACACTGGGAGGTTGGATCCGTTACTATACAAACCAGTGTGTTCGTGGTTTCAACTGCATTGACACGATACAATAGTCCTAGACACTGAGTTGAGTATTGACAAAGGCCATAGTCGAGCTTATAGCGCTCTTCGTCGTCCGAAACGCGTCCGACGTAACTCGAAACACTTTAGAAAAGCCGCATAATCATCATATCACGCAAAAAAATAAAATAGCATTGCCCACCTAAACGACACAGATTCCCGTCGTTTTTCGCACTTATTTGCCGCCTTTCCTATCCCCAAAAGATTTTGCCCATCTTTTTTATGCCAAACCGCCAACAGCTTGCTTTCCTGGGATCCTTCCTTGGCACATTCTCCATCCTCTTTGGTTCCTTCCACTACCTGCGCTCAAAGCTTAGGGACGCTGGCTACGACATCTCGCGTATTATTCTCATCGGTTTAGAGCCCCATCCTTCACACAGACACGAACACACACACGCCAGTCTCAACGAACCAGAACGTGTCATGCAGACAGGACAACTTTTCGACATGGACTCGCCCGTCGCAAAGGTAGTGGCCTTGGCCTTGGCAGTGGCCAGCAGCGCGTTTATATATGCAAAGTTATCCTCTTCCTCCAGTGTGTACCACCCGTTTTTGTCCTTTTTACGCTCATCCTGACCGTCGTATACAGAACGCAAGCCTGTTCTCGATCCTCAAGTATGGAAGGAATTTTCTTTGAAGGAAAAAATCGTCATTTCACCCAATACCGCCATGTTAGCAGTCTTTCTTTGCTTCACTAGAGTGATCTTAAACGTAGTGCACTTGCTCTTTCCATAGATACCGTTTCGCACTTCCTGACCCACAGGATGTCCTTGGTCTTCCCATTGGACAGCATATATCCGTCCAGGCCGAGATTGCCGGCAAGGACATCATGCGTAGCTATACTCCTACCAGCAGCGACGATGACCTAGGTCATTTCGACCTTCTTATCAAGGTGAGCTTTATTCCTTCCTTTATCAACTTGTTTCTCCGTTTATACATCCTTACTCATCTTGCTTTCTCTCTTCATGCATCGTTCGAATACAGTCCTACGAAAAGGGTAACATCTCGCGGTACATCTCCCTCATTAAGGTCGGCGACAATGTCCGCATCAAAGGTCCCAAAGGCCAGTTCAAGTACCACCCTGCTCTCTCACGCTCCCTCGGTATGATCGCAGGAGGCACCGGTATCACACCCATGCTCCAAATCATCCGCGCTGCGCTCAAAAACCCACTCGATCGCACGACTCTTTCGCTTATCTATGCCAATGTGAACGAAGAGGATATCCTCCTCAAGGCTGAGCTCGATGCACTCGCGCAGGCACATCCCAAGAGGTTCAAGGTATTCTACGTCCTCAACAACCCACCAGCTGGTTGGACGGGCGGTGTTGGCTTCGTGTCGAAAGAGCAAATAGAGAAGCATATGCCTCCTGCGGCTGACGATATCAAAGTTCTGATGTGTGGTACGTGACGAGCTGATTTTGGTGCTATTAGGTGTCACCCTCTGAGGTTTTCTTCTTTTCACTTTAGGACCTCCTCCTATGATGGGTGCCATGAAGTAAGTGACTATGGTATACCCATTAACGCAGTAACGTAGTAACTAATTTCACACGATCAATTTCACAAGAAAACATCTTGCAGAGCTCAACTACACTGCACCACGCACTGTCAGCAAGCTCGACGATCAGGTGAGTTGGAGGGAATCACCATCTTCACACTATGCCTATTAACCTCAATAATTCATGCAGGTCTTCTTGTTCTAAGTTGTTCTTGATACCAATGTGTTTTGAGGATTCACTGATTCTGATTCTGGAGGTTTAATGGATTTCTTAGATGTGCTGTATCTCTCTGATCTGAAAAGTCATGTGATATCTGTGCTGATTGAGGTTAGAATGAAATTTTCAAAACTTCGCTTGAGATTGGGTTTGAAGTAGGTTAATAAGTTTTCCTGGACCCCTAGGATCCAGGTTTGAAACGCACAGATCGGTTGTTCGCGTCTTGCCACGAAGGAAGATTTGTGGCCCTTATCCAGGCAACAGGGTACTTACCTGACTTTGACCCGTCAACCTGTTGACCAAGAGAAGGGCCCACGTCATATTTCGCCTATCTCGGGTAAGATACCAAATTTCCGTGTAATGCGTTCAAGGACCACTGTCTGGCTTCAAAATTGAGCAATTTCCATGGTTGACAGCATGAGGGGTCTGCTTCTACTGTAGATTTCCTTCTGTGTTGGCCAAGTAAAATTAAAAGGGGTTGAGTTTTGAGATTACGAGTGGCAGTGGCAGTGTTTTTCAAATGATATCTTTCCACGAAAGATGGGATTTCGCGCTCAAATGGCCCAACATTAAGTGGCAGTAGGAAGCAAGTTTTGAGGTGGGAAATCAAGCACTCTTTACAAGACCGATTGAATTATTTACAAGATATGGAAACTTGTCATTTGGTCAACGAGTTCCCTTCCTATGTAGAGAAATTTACAGTGTATTATGTCCTTGTACCTGTATATACATACCTCCGTGAATATATATTATCTATCAATGCCAAGTTGTTTCCGTCATAGTGTACAGTTAGAATCTAAGTGGATCATCCACGTCAACGATCACAGTATCATCCTCTGCTTCCTTCAACATTTCTTCAAATTCTTCTGAGAGCCATTTCGTTTCCAGCAAAAGTGCTTCAATAGCCTCCCTCTTCGTCCATGCTCTCACTTCATCTACATTTTGATTGGCCTCGAAACCATTTTGCATGGGAAGTAACACGTCATAGCCCATATAGGCTTGAACTCGTCGAATTCTCTGATATGTTGCACGTACCAAACTCTGTGATTTGACAGTCGCGGACTTCGTAAGCTGGTGTATGTCCCGTCCGATACCCTGTGTGGATTCAGTGGATCGCCGTATATCAGTTAAATAATTCTGGCGGACGGGACCAAGATGCACGATATGATGTGGTGAGGTGCCTCCGGGGGATAACGTTGAAAACCGCTCAAAACCGGCTTGCCACATATCAGCATTGGGAGCTGGTGGCAAGACATGAATAGGCTGAGTATTTGGGGCTGATGATACATTGGAATGGATACTAGATATTCGCCGACGTGGCTTAGAGAAGATCGAAGACGATAAACGACGTCCCCGAGGGATCGTCGCACTTGTGAATTGTAATCGTAATTCTTGGTCCAGAAGGGCAACCTTTTCTTGACCCAATAGTCGCAGCTGTAGCTGCAGAGGGTTTCGACATAAGCATACAAGCTCAAGCAAAGACCATAGCATATAATCTACGATTCTTGGCTGCGAGAGCACTAATTCTGAACGTCGACGAATGTCGGGAGGCGCTATATTGAAGGGGTTGCCGATGGAGCCTAGACTAGAACGGGGTGATTGCAAGGGAGACGGGGGAGCGGATTGGTCCAAACGATTGATGGCGAACCTCGCATCTCCTTCAACAAGAAGCGATTTGAGGAAGGACGCCACACGAGCCCATATGCCTGTAAGAGCAATTGAAAGATCGTCTTCTGCACGGACTATAATGGCCTTGATGACTTGAAGGGAAGCGAAAATAGTCATAATCCTTTCCGTACTTGACCTCAGGTGACGCTTAACCAGGGATTTGGCTCGTTCAGGAGAGTGAGAGGGTTTCTGACTGCGAATCTTTGCCTGGCACGCTGTCATGGCGTATGATAAAAGTCGCATCCACGCGTTGGCATGTGTATCCCGTCGCCAAGTATCCGTATGATGCCCATCTGCAACAATAACAGCCGCTGTCTTCAACTTCAACACTAGTGGTAAAACCACTCCCATCAGCAAGCTATGTGAAGGGGGAAGTCTCTCGATCTCTGCAAGCACGTCCGCGCCATGGAATGACACAGCCTGCGATAAAAGATGGACAAGACTAGAGCTAGCAGACGCCAAGGATGGTAGCTCCTCGCGAAACTTTGCTAGGTACGCTTCCAAACCTGCTCTGCACACTTCAGTTACAACGAGACGGCAAAACGACGAGTCATTCGTGTACACGAGATCGGATGAAAGCTGAGCGATGGCTTCGTAAACGCCGGCAAAGCCAACAGACGATGCGTAGACAGCCATGACTGATGCAAGATTTTGTAGTATTGAAAGTGTCTCCTTTGAACCAGGTCGATCCACCCTGAGCAAGCATAATCGAGAGAAATCAGACAGGAAACTGGCGATTTGCTCGCTTTGATTAGCCGATTCTCGAGGCGTAAGCTTGACAAGCTCAAATAGCCGCTGGAAGGTGGCCGAAGTTAACTTGCCTCCAGCGCGGATGAAGGCATTGACGAGTGATAAGTAATCTGTGCGCATAGAAGCAACATCGCAGGGGGTTTTGGACATATTATGGAGAATCCCCCCTAGGAATGCTTCCTGGTATAGATCACCGAGGTCCAAATCGGCCACTGATTGGGCTGGTAGAACATCCGACGGTTTGAGCTTCGCTGTTGCACGAATAAGTATGACCCCTAGCGCTTCGATTCCCTCTCTGAGAACTGGCTTTGCACTTTGTGACTGGCAGAATGATGGCGCCAAATACCTTAATAGCCGCAAAAAGTGCGCAGCCCGTAGAATAGTTGGATCGTGAGCGATGACCGTTAAAAACAATCGTACAAAATCATCCATCCGCAAGCGCTTTGTCTCGTACTCTTGGGGAAGATTGATAATGATATTGTCCTTCCTTGGATTTTCAGCAGGTCGAAGGGAGGCAAGAAAGGTCTGGGGCTTTTCTTCTGCCGTAATGACCATCAGCGCTTCTCGTTCTTGCATTCGATTTGAATTATGAATTCCAGCAGCATCAGGTGCGCCAGAAGATATGTCTTTCTGAAGTGTGGACAAAAGAGTGTATATACTCTGTGTGATCCATTCACCTTCGTTGCTGGAAGCTACAATATGAGCCATAGTGTCCAGGCTTTGGAAAAGGAATGTCGTATGATGAAGAGCGTAGAAACGATTCGCAGCGTACTCGATGGCCTGTCTAATGCCAATATGAGACTCCGCTTCAGCATAAACTTTAATAACAGCAGGTATGAAAAGAGGATATCCGCCTCCAGAGGTGAACAGACGGCGGAAACGAGTACTCGCCACCATAAGCGCTGCAAAAACGGGAACATCAACGTTATATCGGCGATAGAAGTACAGTTCTCTTACCGATCATAGAATGTGAGACAATCCCTATATCGTCACCATGAACAAGTAGAATTCTGTTGAGTCCATCAATCAAGACAGCCAGTTCGTTACGATCACTCAGGTGGCGAGACATGGATCGAAAAATCTGAGCAATCAAGAGTAGGTAACTGCGTGATAGCATTAAAGATAGGCCCCTTAAGCTAGCGTCAAGCGATAGACCAATTCGTTGTGAGTGAAGTGTGTGTGGAATAAAGTCGACTAGTTCCAAGGGTTTTACCTCTGTTGAACAATCTTTCGATGGAAGAACCAGCCTTGACATAGTCTTCCGAACTTGCTGTACATCATGAGGATGGCGCTTTAACATGGTTAAAAAGAGCATATTCTGGGATAGGCGGATCATAGTAATCCAAAGCAGACTGGGAGGCGTTTCGTATGGGTTACGCGAGAGCTGGAGATCTCTGGGAAACATTGGCCCGGAAGGAGATGATGCAGAAAACCATAAAGAACCTGTCGGAATAAGAAACATATCTACTTTTGCTCGACGTAGCTCTCGAATGGACATATCGCTGACTTGAGTGACGAGCTTTGATAAAATTGGGACGGAAAGCGCGAAACCGTAAAGAGCTTCATGGGTTTCCGATTCCCGAGCAGAAAATTTTAGAAACCCAGTCAGATTATTGAAAGCATAGTGAGTCAGAGCGGGGGGAAGCAGAGTCCGAATGTGAAGGAAAGCGCGGATCGTAGTTATGGCGGACGCAAGTTGACCGTCTCCCAGAAGATCAAATATAGGGCGAGTCGGTAGTATGGGATCATTACGCATCATGTCTAGAAGAACACCGCGGGCGGCGCTCGCCACAGCGAAGTGCTGATCAAAGACCAATGAAGCAAGTTGTGGAAAGATAGCTGCTAGTGAGGGTACAAACACCGCACGACGCTTCGTACGACCAAGGTGGTTAGATGAACCAAGAGAAGGATGCTCAGATGCATCGCTCGAAGAACGTGGCTTTGTAGGAGTGGATAAAGGAGACATAGTGGGTGAGGATGAGAACTGCTCGACGCTACCATCCATGCGATCGATTCGATAGCTTGGAAGTAATGATAATGGTGTCATAACCCACTCCCACTTCTGATCGGCGGGTCTACTGTCTTCCATCCAACCTACTTCAGACAGACGCCTGCGTAACTCAGGAGGCAGGTGGCTATGCGAATCGTCCGTGTCGTCTTCCCTGACATACAAACTAGAGCCGATATCTGTTGCAATGAATGGAAGTGGATCTCGAGCTAGCTTGAAGGGCCTGCGACTTTTTCGATCCACAATGTAATTCTGTGATAATATCTGAAACCGCTGATTTATCAGCGTACCCATTCCCTGGATAGAACGAAGTTTCGTGACATGATCACTATTGCAAAGTCAAATGAGCAATCTTGCACAAGCAGCGAGTTATTGAATATACCTGCACAGATCGCTTTTTATAAGTGACAAGAAATCTGAAGCGTTCTTCTCTATACATTGCATAAAAACGGAACATGTCTGTAAATGACGTTAGAAGATATATGTCAGAGAGTAGTTTGACCCACAGAATGTACCACTCGCTGATCAACATTATGGAGGCACTGTGTCCATAGGAACGGTCCAATTCGCTTGTAATCGTCAACAAGCAATGACATGGAGATTGTAACGAGGAGCTCGAGAGTAGGAAGAATGACATTCCTGGGAAGCGATGCAATGAATTGTGCCCTTGCAGAAAAGATAGTCATAATTTCTGTATTTCCGTCCGCAATGTTACTACGAAAGATACTGCCGTCATGTTTGAAGGGCAGTACCATAGTACTTCGGCGCTGATTGATTTAACAGTTGAAAAAAGGAGCATTAAGAAGATCAGACCACTTACCTGATGAGATACCCGTAAGCCCTCTTGTGCTGTTATGTATAGCGCTTCCAATTTGTTCATCGAGTTGACTATCTCGTCTAACGCATCTTCATCGATTGGATCCTCCAATCCTTGAATTTCGGCCCCAACATCTGATTGCAGAAGCCAAGTGATAGCAATCGAATACCATCCTAATCTATACAAGGACTTGAGTTGAGGTACATAAGACATTGAACTGTCGATACTCACCGCTTGAGGGACCGAGTAAACAGTCTAATCTGATTAAAAAGTACGAGGAGCAATATTCGTTGCGATAAAGGCACTAAAGTAGTATGCTCCTAATCCACGAGTAATGTCAAAATGGCCCATTCCAATAAGAAAAGAAAGCTTACCATCGCCTCTAAAATGATTCCAAGCCTAGCCTCCAGAACAGAGAAGAACCTCACTGCAGTTACAGTCAGAGAATCTGGATACTGGAGTATAATATGACACAATTGGTAGAGCAGACTTAGAGAGACTCATACCAGCAAGCCATTATGAACTTGGTGTGAACGTTCGACCGATGCGATCAGCTCAGTTAGTATGACCATCTGACCCAACCTGACTTTTCCCCACGATAGCTCCCCATTTCCCGTTCCATCCCCCCCGACTCCACTGATGAGCGCGACGCAAATCATTTCGGGATCTCGGATCCAAAAATCTGGAGAAAATCGAGATAAAGCTGTTAAAATCAAGAGCTGATTCACAATAGCCAGCTCTTTGGTCGACGCAGCGCATGCAAACAGTGGTTTGAAGAAGAGTTGAGGGTAGACTTGGGCAATATCGCCCAAAATTCGGGAGAGAGGTAAACAAGGATAAGGGGGTGGATCTATAACCAGTCTCTGTGTAGCATATTATAGTCCATCAGCATTAAGAGTAGCGACCATCACTTACATCATGTAAGGATGACATAGATTCCGTGAACAGAGGTCTGCGAACACTGTCAGGAAGTACTTTGAATAAGGTGGACAGGAGCTTCAAGATGACAGGCCAATCATCATTGGCAAGCTGACAAGAAAAATAAATTCATAAATTCGACCTGGCAAACGAAATAGAGGTAACACCAACAGATGTATGTTACTCACACAGCACTGAATCGTCCTTTCAAAACTATCCTGCCACTCTGATTTTTCATTATACCATTGTGAGATGATTCTCTCTGCAAAACCGGACAAATTCGGAGCATCGGCTAGGCGGAGTATATCCAGTATCACTTTGACATATTGTTTCCGGACCTCAATAGCTTGCTTTCCTGTGAGACATTGAACTTCGATGAATACTCGCGTTTGTAATATGTAAACAACGAGCTCCGCGTCCTTCATAGTACTGGCATCGATAACCTTTTTAGGGAGGAGAGCTAATGCTGCATAGCTAAAAGTGATAAGTTTGCGGACATTTATCGATTCAGTCAAAGGATTAAGAGGTGCTGATGATCTCGGCTGTGGCCAATACACCTGAAAAGAATCGACATGAATACGAACATCCTTCAAAAAGGACGAGTACTTACTTCCAAATAATTATGGAAAATCCACCTCCGGTGTGACTCCACGCCAAAATTTATGCTTTGGACTAGAGCTTCTGCTACAAACATATTCCTTACATCTGCCTCGTCGAAGTCTGCTGGCAGCTTCCCGTCGACTTCTGCTTCCAATAAATATGTGGCTAAAACACCGCATGTTCCTGAGCGTATTTGCGAAATCAGCTCTTTGATTACGGCCGTTTCAGAGAGATTTTGATGTTGAACAGACATAGCTGCAAGGAGAGAAAAGAGAGCCCGTACCAAAGACCGAAAGTCATCGGGGGCATTAACTTTGAAAGACCCATCCCGCGGGAATAATAGTGATGTCAGTACACCGATAATCCTGTTCCTCACAGAAGAAGGATTGGATGCGGCTTTACAGCACCATAGACAGCGTTGAACAGCAAACTGGAATATACTTTAGTCTAATCAAAGTTATTCAGTTGCACAGACACCAACCTCATGAGATGCAGGTTTCCAAGCCTTCACGGCGACTTCAAAAGCCTCGATTGCAAGCCACCTATCTTCTTCCATAGACTTTCCAATATCCAGAGACACGAACGGAACTAATAATGTGGATAAAGCGATATTTTCGTGCGGTAGACACGATGGATTCCGAGAAGAGTAACGAAGGACTGCTTCATGCAAAGATTTGGTTGAAGATATCTGCGCCAAGGAGTATAAGGATTGCGGTCTACGAATATCATTCTTCTGATTGAGAGTAGCTGTACTCATATTTGTGGCCGAGGACAGTGCCGAATTGGACATGAAAGGCAGATACAAAGAAGACCCCATAGTTCCCAATGTCGGCTCACGGTCACTCTGCGCAACGCTAGGAGCCTCATCCGTCCGAGCAGTCCAGCATATTCGGAACACTTCGTCTGAAAATTTACGAGAATCATCAATAGCAGCTTCACGAGCATGCTCGACGACCTGCCGAAAGCCTAACCTCGCCAGACGAGAAGGCTTTGGAGTTTGAGGACGAGAAGGCGGTAAAGTCTGAGTACTGCTTGTATGCGATGCTGCTGAAGAGGGTGAATCGGGGCGAGATGTAGCTGAAGGAACGACATGCTGGCGTAACCTGTCCCAGCGTACTCTAGATGGTGTCCTCGATGGCGGCGCACCTGATTTTTCTGAAGCGGGAGTCGAGCTGGAGGTCTTAGTATCAGATCTTAGAGAAGAAACGAGCTTCGGAGGCGGTGTACTCTTTTCTAGAACGTAAGAAACGTCTTCGTCAGGAGCCACGACCGGCGACTGAACCAAGGGCTCTTCAGTCCAATTACCGGCGACGATCTTTTCCGAGGACGGATCGTCTCGTCTATTCATAAACGTCTGCAAGGTTGACGCTTTGGAAGCTAGTCGGGTATGCCTCCGTCCTTCATCATTTCCACTATCACCAGACTCTCCTACCAGGCTCTCTGATTGACTTGAAGAGGTATTTGTCGAGTCATGAGAAAATAACCTTCTTTGTAAAGGCTTGAAGCCAGAAGGCCTTCTGGGAGTCGCGTCAGTCTTTCTGGGCATTCGGGAGCTTCTAGCTAATAGCGAGAGCGAGAGCTTGGATCATACACGTCAGCGAAACTGGCCCGTAAAGGATGACCAGAGCCTTGACTTGGACAGCAAATTTGGAAAGTTAAAGAGAGAACAATTCAGTGCTGACTCGGAGTCAACAGAATTAAGTATGAGTTGTAGTCAGGTGTGGCGGTGTAATTGGAATACAGCTTTCGGTGTTTATCTATGTATACTCTAAGCTTAGACCGTGACGTCTTAGACCTTCACAACAGAAAACTCAATCGTACCTGTACTCAGCACTCAGCAGTGAGCTCAACGAACATTCCGTATGTACACAACCAACATGGAATAAAGACATGCAACGTAATACAATTGGGAGTAATATACATTTGTAACCAACTTGCGAGGAAACCTGCAATGTAGTCGTGCTCGAAAAACTTGGGTCATGTTCGTATCGTCCTGAAGAATAAGGGTGCTGGAATGCAAGGAACTTTGAAGCAATGCATATTTTGGAAAGTATTGAATTTGGCAAGGACCACGCGGAAAGAATGGATGACGAGCATAAAGTGGTTCCAGAATTAATTTTTGCCCCGAGGCGGATTATGCATTAAAGGCATAAGATAATGTACTTGGTGCACGAACGCGGTTACCGAAGATATTCAGCGAACGCGGCGGGGTGGCCTGCCGTGAGTCTGTGCTCCAGCTGGGGGACAAATTTTGAGTAATCTGCAAAACTGTTTAATACAAAGCTTGCCTGGAACTTGTAGCCGAACTCGACCTGGATATCGTGTTTGCTTGAGATAGATGGTAGGCTAAGTTGGACGTAAGATAAGGAGACGCAAAGGCAAAGACATTATGGGTATCTCCAGGAAGTCCACTGGAAATAAACTTGTCCATTTGGTGTGTGCTGCGTGTCTGGTTATCTTGGTTGGTGAAAAAAGGAACAGCAGCAGCAGATGAGGAGCAACCATTGAGTACAAAGGGTGTCGCAAAGGGATTCAGGCCAAAGGTTGATGTTTTATTCTCGATACGGAGGTGTCCAGGATGAAGAGGAGCATGAGCATTTCCAATCGCAGAAAATGTGTCTTGCATGTAACGCACATCCACAGGGAGGTCGGTATATGACTGGGTCTGAAGAGTCTCTTTGGCTTCTCGAGCATTTGAAACCATCGCGTACTCCACCACGGCAGACACTGTATTAGCTTGCTGTTCACTTAAAGAACGATCAAGGAGCCTCATCGTTTTGATTTCGCCAAATGGACAAAAGAGAGGGTGCAAGTCACTTTGTTGAGAAAAGAGTAAGAAGGGTAGATGTGTCACGAGCAACCTAGCTGTGGGAACAAATGTAGTGTTTGAACACTTATCGCCTTCATTTGTGGGCAACGCGGGGGAAGAACCAAAACAAGCATCAACGTCAGATAAAGTAGTTGACAGAGGTGATGCAAGCATCATTGAACGGTCTTCGCCATCCAGGAATCCTGTAATGGGTTAGACTAATAGTCGGCCTAATGCCATTGAATGAATCACCTTGAGAGCGTTGAACAACAGCCCAAGATATATCGATAGTGTGGCCCCTATGTCAAGTCAGTGAATTTAGCTTAAGCAAGACGTCCGAGGTCATCACTTTATTTGAGTTCGAGACATAGAGCTTATCACCCTTTTCGCTTCCTCGTGGGTCGACATAACTACAAACCCGCGGCGGCGAGACGCATTATCGACAGTGGCGAGGATAACAGTGTGAGTTACTGTGCCATACCGAGAGAACATATTGGCAAACTCCGCCCTGAAAGAGCGTTATCAACAAGATAGAACTTCACGTAATAGACTTACTTCGATAAGTCAAAAGGCAATCCGAGAACGTAGAGATTCCTGCGAGAGTCGATTTCTTTAGAATTTCCTTGAAAAGGTTTTGGACCAATAACAGGGGTCACGATTCTTGATGAAGTAATTTGGACAGGTTCATTCAGACAGGTGAGTTATTTTATACGCACAAAGGCATTCCAAGTATGTTATATCCAGACATGCATAAAGCCTTTCTAATGACAACGGTGGGGAGGAAAAGTTAGCGAATCCCTAAAAATGTATTTTAAACTATAAACAGCTCAACTTGAAGTTGTCATAGGTGGAAAATGACAGCTCTATGTGTCCCCCGTTGAAAGCGGTGCGCCGTTCCTCTGAGCAGTGCACGTCTCCTGGGTGTTGGGATTAGTAATCGTACCAGCGTCTCATTATATGCGCGAAAGCAGGTACCTATAAGGTTTCTAAATACAGACGTAATGTCGCAAACTTTTGCTTGTTTAGCAGATGGGAAGTAAGCAAGAATTCTGGAAAACGTTACAGGAGCACGAATACTGACCACCCTTTGGAATATTTTCAACCTTCACGACGAATGCACAGGTATCGCGATTCATAGTTCAATGGTCTGGGAAATCAAATTACGTATGCTTGGGGAGGGATCGCAAAAAGGTGAAACAAGAAAAAGGTTGATAGGGAAGCGCTGAGACTATCTTAAAAGCGTACAGAGGGAAAAGAAAGCAAGAAGAAACGGAACAAGAATGTCCGGCAGTATCCGCAACGCGCATAGACTTTATCTATGGTTCTCACGCGTTTTGATCATGTGATAATGAATTTAGATCACGTGCAAACGGACGATGGCCTCGGATATGGTCGGACCCATGTCCGTCACCAGCAATGCCAATGACTATGTACTCAGGCGAGCATGCCAGTCATTTCCTGAATTTGAAATATACTAGTATTCATGTTGTTCTCGTATATTGATGAGTGTCACCTCACGGAGTAGTTTAGATTCCAGTTTTCATCACGCTTCGAACCAAAACAGCTCCCTGTTTCAGGATTAGAGTTATCTTCAAGTTGCTGCAGTCGCTGTCATGTCGAGAAACTCTCTTCTCTTTGCATCTCTCCCTACTACAACTAGGGTAGCCTTATCTCGTGCTGGCTACGAGAGTATAGTTGAGCTGTCGGATGCATCCCCAGATCAGCTCTCAGAAGGTGACTTTTCGTCGTCACAAATCGCGAAAAATAATGCTAATGTATACATCCTACCAACATCATCCATGCTCAGAGCTTGGGATACCTGTTTCCGAATGTCAGGCGCTGGTATCTACGTCGAAAGCACCTAATCCTTTCATAAATCACTCGGCGGCCGACATGAGCTCTAAGTCTCACTCTATCTTAACATGCAATTTTCCATGTGTAAACACTATTCTGGGAGGTGGCCTTCCAAGAGGATCTATTTTGGAGATTTCTGGCCCTCCAGGTTGCTTCAAGGAGAAGCTCGCAGTTGACTTTGTAAAAAAGGTCATAGAAGCTGGCGAAGAGGTCATATTTGTTGGTAAGTTCTCTTCTCGTTGGCACCGTCAGGGAGATCTCATACACATACACCCATGTAGACATGCAAAACATGGTGAATTCTGCTACTCTCCAGAGGATTTTAGAAGGTAAAATGTTATGCATGTTCTTGATTTCAAATGGCATGTAATGTCATTTCGTGGTGCAGAGTCTCCCACCACGCCTCCGGACTACAAGACATTAGTTCGCCACACTCAATTATTCACGTTGCCGGAGCTGATAGCTTTTATGCATACTTTACACTTACATATCACTCCCAACGTCAGTCAATGCTGTTTGTAGCTTTCTTTGAACCTCACGATTTCAAGATATACAGACCAGACTGCTTGTCCTGAATTCCCTTTCGTTCCCGTTTCAGTCTCCTGCTGACATGGAGCATTCGAAACGGAAGGCTATACTGCAAAGGGTACGACAGTTTCTTTTGGAAACCAGTTCATCTGGAAACATCACTGTAGGTGCATAGGATAGCCATGATCGTCACCCCATTTGCTGAGATAGAAACAGATCGTAACAACTACGCAACTGTCGACAAAAGTTATTGATGCAAATGGTGCACCAGCGAATTTCGAGACTGGCACAACCGCAATCATGGTCCCTCAGCTGGGTGTGCCTTTTTCCTAAAATTTCGAAAACAACACATCTAGAGTGATACACTATACCAGGCCCTACTTACCTCCCAGCGGGTCTCTCATATCGCCTGATTATCGCCTATGAATCCCGAACAACAGGGTAGGTCGAGTGGAGGGCCGAGTATGCGTATCACTGAAGGAAGAAAACTACAGATTCGTGCGACTGCTTTCATCGCCAAGTTATCAGCCTGAGGATGGGCCAGCTCCTCAGGAGCCGTACGAGCTGGTAAACTGCACGATAATATATCAAGCATAGATACTGATGTTTCTCATCAGTGAGATGTCATTCAACATGATTCTAATACCCAAACAAAGTTAAATGCACGCTTGTGTCGTGTTTATTCATCACCTGGGACCAAGCATAGCATCTTACTGATCCGATATACCGTCTCGGATCAAAATCTCGTCTGGGGTAACAATCATATCCATCTTCCAGTCATGGTCAGCGGTTGGGACTTGGCCTTCGGCTCCGAGCTGCTGCCTAAAAGACAGGGCGACTACGAGATTACATCAATATCATCATACTTTCTGGACATTGACCGGAGCAGCTTACCTAGGAGGGGTCGCGATTTACTGTTGTTTAAACTTTCACTCGTGTATGAAGCAATGAATTGATCATAATATCCCTTCCCATGTCCTAGGCGTGAGAACGATCTATCAAATGCGACTCCTTCAGAGTTGCAATTGTCAGTCTGGTTTGGTAAAATCAACTCGAAGTACTACATTACCAACCTGGAACAAGTATCAAGTCCAGTGGATCACAGTCCTCGTCAAAAACTAGCCAATTCGATGTGTGATAAGATCACTTTCAATACATAACAACGTTACGCACTATCTTGACGCTCCTGATTTCTCCACGTTGAGGTTGGTTCTTTGATATTCCAAAGTCCACTAGACAGACTCCTCAAGTCATCTTCGCCATACAATTTGACAAACGTCAAGTTCCCGGATTTGATCATTGGCACGAACAAACTTTTATCTAAGAAGAATTCATGAAAAAGCATTTTTGCACATACATAAGGCTAGAATATACCTGAAACACGAAGGAGATCTGTGACGATCGAAGATGTATCCACCTCTCCTGTAGGCATGCTCAGGTAACAGCTGACTGTCCTGCATCTTTGAAAAACCGACAATGAAGTTATTCTGGATGCAATGGCCTGCGCTGGGAACGAATGGTTGGGATGACTATCAATTTTCGACGTGGGAACCCAATTTCTATCAGACACTAACATTGAGTTTGTATGTCAGAGGGCTGCAGCTCTCGTAGCTTTGCCGTCATGGCCTTTCGCATGACCTTTTTGTTGTATTGCAGTGCGGTCTGTAGGATGCTCATTGCCTATATAAAGTTATGCTATGATCAGCGTTCATGTGAAAGTCCCCCAAGTGTGGGCACGAACCCGTCTGGATTGACTACTCGGTAACTGACAGTTTCTCCGCGAATTGCGGTTCGCGTGCAACTCAACACCGGGCATATGCATTTGGCTCGGCTCTTTTCCCGCTTTTACAGATCCGCGAACGAAGCAAAAGCTTGCATCTTGGCCGCATCTCATATATAACAGCCTGTAACTGTAGGTCATTCAAATTCTCAAGCAGATTCAAAGTTTCACCACAGTCAAAAAGCTAATCTTGCCGCAGCGCTCTAGTTGATCATTGCTGTAGATGGCTACCGATGATAAAGGCCCTACGTCGCCTATTTCACCCGTTGCACCGATTCCCCAAATCGAGTATCGCAGTCGTGTTCCAGAATTTTACGGTTTCGTCGCATGGACATCGACGTCGATCTTATTCTTATTATATGTTCTGTGGGCTGTGCTGCCCGACGAACACATTATATGGCTTGGCGTTGACTGGTATCCTAGTCGGTGAGTTCTTTTTTAATCAGCTGTGCGAAGCCTTTTTGGAACTTCGACGTTTCCAGTGAATGGTCTTTGCTGCTCCCAGCTTACAGTATCGTCCTCGTCCTCCTGACATACTTCGTGTATTTTTCTCTCGCCATCGCCGCCACGCCCGCCTTCTCTGACGTCAGCGCCTTCACTGGTAAGTATTCCATCTACTCCAACTGTTGTCGGGATGTGTTTCAAAGCTCCAATATAGACTCAAAGGCGCTCCTTCCTCCAATTGGAGTACACGACTCGCACATCTCATACACGAAAGGAGATGCAATACCTGAATTATATGATATCCCTATAAGGACAGTGAACTGGGTCCTGTACCATCCTGAATGATGTGGTCAGATCTGGATAGTGAAGGAATTATATATCTTTCTCGTGTATTTGAAATTAATACAATTCGACTATCAATCAGCATAATTGAGAGACAACTGCATACATGTCATTTATGAAAATATCAATACTCCACGACTGCAATGGATGAGTGGGTAAATACGTACGATTGGACCAAAGATACTATAGTGGGATCTAAAAATACTATAGTAAAAAAGGTTAAGCATGGGAGGAGGCCCGGGGTTTGGTAAACTCAGCAATAACGATTCTGATAGCGGCTGAGACAGCATAGAAGCAGACGAAATGAGGGGGGGAAACTACGCCGCCGTCACGGTTTGTAGCGTGAATGGTGGAACAGCCGAAAGGGACCACTTGGCAGAGCGTTACAGGAGTGAGCAAATATGTAACGATTTATCATAAATCGAGGTTTTCAACCAACCTGGCGTGCTGGATATGGGTATTCTTCTGCGCTTGCGAAGGAGTAGATATCTTCATACCCATCGCTCGACCCCAATTCAGATGATGACGCACCCGACTGCGTCGCCAAACGGGTGTAGTAAGTGGAGGACGATGATTCACCCTGCCTCAACTCCATCGATGGCACAGATTTAAGCCAATTGACGCTACTACCAGTACGCGTCGCGAGACCCTGGCTTGGGGGCATCCACCTATACTTGGATGGGGTAGTTCCAAAATCGTGGTCTTCAGGGTTTACCTGTGACTCCTCAAACTTTACAGTATACTGTTGGTGGGGTGGAGAAGTATCACATGACGAAGGATTGATGCCGTGCGTGCGAAGGTGACGTTTGGCGTTTGAACGAACTGCGAACTTCTTGTTGCAGTGTGGGACACTGCATTCGAACGCTGATATTATATTAGTATTGGTCAAGGAGCGCATACATGAGCCTACGTTTAGCTCCAGAATGCGAGTTCATGTGAGTGGCTAAACCACTTGGACGGGGAAACATTTTACTGCATACTTTACACTGGTGCATCTTCGATCTTTTTTGCACCTTGTGCTCAGTGGTGTTTTGAGCGCTTATTTGAAGACGAGTGACGGTGGAATCGCCAAAGTATGGCGGGCGCGCATCGCGCATATAGGGCGGTATTGGGCTCGTAGGATTAAACCCGGGCACCGGCCGTCTTGTGTCAAAGGAAGATGTCGAGAGTGAGCGACCGTAAAAGTCGACGGACGGCGGGGGTTGCATCGAAAATCTATGAGAGTAGGTGTCATCCTCTATGATGCTATCGTTGTTAGGACTGAAGAGAGGCCCCGCCAGCGAATACAGTTCTGGACCATACACGCGCTGCAAAGCGTCGGGGTGTAATTGGAAGGCCATGATGATGGGGGTGAGCGGTAAAAGTGGCAGGGAGAATGGATTATAATTACGGGCTTGGAATACGCCCATCATCTGAAGCATATCTGTTGGTGCTTCTGACTCGTATTCGTCGTCGGAAGTGGTATTGGAAAGGAAGCTGGGTGTACTGTCATTGAACGACAGCGACGTTAAGGTAGGGGGATGAGAATGTGGATCAAACGAGCAGGGTACGTTGCATAGATCATCAATATTCGAAGCACTCAAGCTCAAAACGTGCATATCACTATTTGCGTTGTCGTCCCCCGTTTCCGCTGTAGGTAATCCGCGACGAAAATCTCCTTCGTCCTTCCTAATCGATAGTGTGCTCATGCCATGATTTGCGCAATTTATCAGAACACGAAAAGCAGAATTACTCGATTCGTAGTGCCTATTTTGTGAGGGGTAGCTGATTGCCGTCCTTTGTGATGATTCTGGGTAACTATGGCATGTATAGTGGCATGGATTTGATGGTAGTGGCTTGTAGTTACTGGGCTCCGACTCTGGTGGTGCATTATCTAGCTGAAGGCAGGTCGAATCAGCACCAGAACGAGAAGACGTAAAATTGGGGATGTCCTGTTGTTCGAAGACACTCTCATGGTACTGGTTAATTATGTACGATGGGGAAGCACTGGATATCGAAGATGAATATTCGTAGTTATACTTCGTATTTTGTCGTTGATTGAAATGAAAAGGAAGTGTTTCATATGGCTGGTTCGTAGCTTGAAGAATCGCCCTATCGCCCGTATCTTCCATCAAATTTTGAGATGCTAGTCGCGCCGAGATCGACTCATCGTCCATAGGTTACGGACAAGGAGGAGGAAGGGACCACCGGACAGTTGTACTACCAAATTCTCTACCGTGGTAAAAAGAACAAAACAGGATCAATAATGATAATGCAGGTAAAGTCAGGGAAATTCGGTAACAGACAAACCTACTTGGTGGGCAGAAACGCTCTCCCGAGAGGTGGGCACTAGCAAGACTCGAGCCTAAGGAGAAAGGTCAAGAAATATGAACTAAACATGCGCGTGGCGTGTGGTAATGTTGTGCGACATGAGGAGGCCTTCGGGGGGAGCAGCAGATGGGGTCAGCATGGAAGAACCGGGGGATATTGCCACACCATCAGACCGCAAATGTACATCTCCTTCATTTGAAAACCTAGACCTATTTCGACACCGCAGTAACCTAAATAGAAGCCCTAGCGCCCTTAGCAGAATCGGTAACATTCGATCGTGAGGACCTCTCAAACAAGGAACATTTAGCATAAATATTGATGAGTCAACATGGCAGTACACTTGCCCATAGTAGTGTCGTCGCGGCCTTTCTCGAAAGGGATAGTCATTGGCCAGTGCTATTATTGATCTGTTCGATAAGCTCACAAGCAACTTACGGACATAACACTTATCTGAGCCAAAGCTGTGGAATTGGGCATTTACTCTGTAACAATTCCATGGGCACAGGACTGTCATTTTAACTCCGCGGCACTCACAGAAAGTAAGCCTCTAATAAGCACACTTATCCCAACGATATTGATAACCCTCCCTCCCTCTCAATCTCCTTTCAGAAGTCAGGAGGTATCTCTGCGCCCACAAAGATCAGCTGACTATTCGATATGGATGTACGGTGCTCCATGTGTCAGACAAAGCATCGAGAATCTGGATGAAGAGGCTCAGCCTGAGAACCGAAACATCATCATATCAAATTCGATAGCCGCGACTTTGGCTGTAACCAGAATTCGCTTTCCGCTTCTGTTATCTTCCAATTTGTACGCAGCAGAGACGTCGGTCTGCCAAAGCGTCACTGATTAACTTTCCAGTCATCTTGGGCGTGGATCACGATCGGGGGGGTTCAAAGTTCAATATTTGGTCTCGTATGTTAGACACACACATGTAACATGCCCACCCTTACTGTATGATCGTAACAACACGCCATATGCTAAGTTCGAAGACCTTCTATGATATTGTTTATGTACAATGTCTGCTTCCGAATCAAGGGCAGCTTCCAAAACATCTTATTTTAGTACCAAGGTGCTCAGCGCTCAGCGCCCAGCTCTCAGGCATTTGGCTCACAAGAGCCAATAAGATGCCTTCTTGACTACTTGCGTTATCACTATCAAAAACCATACAAACAAGATGCACGTGCAGAGACGCAAGTGACCGTTGCGTAAATCGTGCTTGAAGAAGATGGTCGGCTACGCGGCCGATACACGACTCAATTCGCCTGCTTGTTCGCAACAATCTTGTACAGCATATATCTTACCACTGTGTCAGACCTGAGCATGAGCTATAACTGTCGTGTGCACAGTTTAGTTCCGAACCCTTGATTATAAACATATGCTGACTGGACGGAAGCCTATTTTGCACACTGGAAAAGCTTCAAGCTATTCCGAGGACCCAAAGTCATCGCAGGAGACGCAGACTTGAACACTGATGGTGCGGAGTTTGGACGGGAGCGGTATCCAGACTGTCGGCCGGTTGGGGTAATCGTGGTTTCATTGCGCCTTAACTGAACTCCTTTCTGTGACCAGTAACCTGCTGTTCAGTACGTCAAAGTCGGGTATCAAGGAAAGTTAAACTGACCTTTAGCCTCGCAGAATCTGAGTCGTGGTTCCTGGCCCACTTGTTCCACCAGCCAGTGGCCACGATCTCATTGCGCGTCGCACAGACCTTTGGCTCAGAGTTTTCTACGGTCGAATCAACGTCTATCACGTCATTAGTCCTGTCCCTCCCTGTCTGCCCCGTATGTTCTGGGGTGACGGGTCCCGAGGAAGGTGGTTCAATATCGCTTGGCAAATCGATGGCCAGGATGTGCCGCAGATTTGGACCGTTCAATGCCTTTTGCTTTGATTTGCGGTGAGATGGTGTAGGTGTATCCGGCACGAGGACTTCGTTGTGCTTCGGCCCATCAAGCCGACAGCATTGACGTGCTAGTGATCGTACTGCAACGGGGCTAGATACGATATCAGCGCCAAAGTCATCGAAGTCATCCTCAAAATGCCGTTTAGCCTGGGATCGCGGTCGTACCGGAGAAGATATATCAGGTGTGTCCAATCGGCAGTAAGATGGTGTTGGTGATATGTATCCTTCCTCTTGTGTGACAGGGTCGAGCACTTCCTCCACGTTCCACATCGAATCATCACGACGTTCTGTGTCCAAGAACAGGCTCTCCTTGTCAAGAGTTAGATCGTAAATTCGGGACGACCCAGCGGTTGATGCAGTCATATCTGATAGCACGTTATCTCTGCTACGTGCGGAACCTTGAGTGCCACTTCCCCCGCTGAAATATCGCGATTGGACAAGAATAGGTGCCTCGTCATGGTCATGAGAACCTCTTTTTGTTCGCTTTATAGCAAGATCTTCGTCCATGACTTCGCCCAATGTCCTTTTTCCGCTGGCTTTTCCGGCCACGGGCACAGCCTTCGCTGGGGTTGAACAACTTCGCACTTGGGTAAGCTTCTGTTTCGGAGCTTAAGGAAGCAAAGTTTCATGAGCTCCAAACTATCCGTTATGTCGGCGAAAGAAATTACCGAAAAAACCCAATATTCCTGCGCTTGCGGACTTGATTGGTGCCTTTCCCCTTCCCTTTCCCTTTCCCGTATCCTTGTTGGGACGGTTAAGATCATTAGCGACTAGGGGCAGGGGTTTGATAATGCGAGGCACATATCCAGGATTAATGTCGACCATGGGTAAAAGTGATATTGGGTCTACATCTCCTTGAGCAAGCTGTCTTGCTAAGGATATTTCAATGTCTCTGCGTAAAAATCAACAGCATGTGAATGGAGACTTTCCAACTTTTTGAAACCAGCTTACCCTCCAATATAGGCCTCTTGTTTACTATCCCATAGCTCGTCTTGAGGTATCTCTATAAGACTGACCAGCTTTTCATCCAAGGGACAGTATACTCTCTGATGCAAAAATACTTTCTCTGCTAATTTGTACGCTTCTAGGTATCCTCTCGGTACAGCCTTCTTCCCTTCTAACCTTAGTGCCCGGATAACCTGATCCGCTGTTTTGTGTTTCCGTAGGAGTGTCCAGGCAGTCTTCAGTCCTACTCCAGGTATGCTGGGTAAATAGTCACAGCCACTTAAGATGGCCATGGCACGGAACTGGGAGTCCGACCATCCGTGTAGCGATATACCACCTTCCGTTGCTGTCACCGAGCCAAAATCTGCTCGTGAGATAGAAGTAATGGTGCTAGAAACTGAATCGAGTTTGAAAAGCACGTTACGACAACCAAAGACCAATAAATCAGAGTCCTCTGTGATAATTCCATCAACAAGCCCAATCCGCTCGAGGTACGCCATTTGAGCATCTGCCTCATAAGGAGCGACAACATATGGGACTCCTTCTGCCCGAAGAGCCTAAAATAAGGACATGTCAGATACCAACCAGAACCCTAAGCGGAGTGTAGAATGACCTTTATCAGCTGAAACGCCATTTGAGGTGTTACATCCACACATTTTACATAGTATTCACGAGCTTGAGTGTGTTTCCCCTGAACTGCCAATGCATTGGCCTTAGCGAGGTTCTCGTCGCGTCTTTGTTTGCGCTCAGCTTCAGTTCCTTTTTTGGCGGGTAAGGGGCCACCGTCAAAGACGATATAAGGTTGGATTTTGTGATGACGAAGAAGGCGGACACGATGCATGGCATAGTCGACATATCTATACAAAGTTGGGTCGTCAATACCAGTTCCGCCCATTTATGTAGTGGCTTCCCATAGGACAAGCGTGGTTATAGTTTAAGCAATCAACTTGAAGGTGTCACCACTGGTTTCCGCCTTATCCATAAGCTGATACACGCGCGAATGAGAGAACTTTCGGCGCACCCCCACTCTCGAAGAACTCTCTGGAACCAAGGGACGGAGCACTCACTTCGTTGTCGTCTTCCCAGTGGCTAGCTCCGTGGGGCAAGTAAAAATTCCCCGATGTAACCAGACATAAGCGTCCACTGCCAGAGTTTGTCCAGAGAATTCGGATAGATGTTTGTTTATTTGTATAGACTTCAATGAAGGAAGGAGGCCAGAAATGCCCATAGCTCGATTTCGCAGGTGTCAGTCAAGGTCGCGCGGATATCCTATACATGCAACGATATGCAGAGGCCAATGGAAACTCAATAACCAGTGGCAGTACTAAAGAGTGGACGACCTTTAAATTAAATATCCACAAACAAACGCGTCGCGTCGTGACGTGTAAATGTATTTTATTGTCACATGTGACCTCGCTGTAGGGCTTCATCCATTACATTCATACAAAGAGCTCAAGTTATTGTAGTATTGACGGCAACCATGTTGAATGTTCGCCTGAATAGTACAGAAATAATACAGACGCATAACTCACGTAAGCCTATTCTTTAGACGCAGCTGTCTTTCACTCGTATATGCCATGCTCTCTATCGTACTGTGCCCGATTGGCCTTCTTTTGTTCCTCTGAGAGGAGCACAAGATTGAGTTCCAGAAGTTTGAATGATCCTCCATTTGGAAATCCACGCTTTCGAGCCTCATTGTCATCTTTGATATCCTTCAAAGTCTGTAACAAAAAAGCGTTAAGCGCCTTACTCCCGACTCGAATCGGCGCTAAGTGACTTACTACCACTAAAGATTTCTTGACACCGAATACACAATCGCTGTACACATACTTGTCTCCTTCAGGGTAGAATGCAGTGACAAGTTTGTTGAATCCTGGTGCTTCTATGATCATGTGCAGGTGATTGGGACGTATGTTGTGCCGGTTGAGTGCCATGAGAAGGTCGCCGACAGGGCCCTATAGAAGCACTAAATTACAGATATAGCATAAATATATGTGTCACTTACATCTACAGGAATGGGATATGCGACAGGTACGACGGCTCGATAACCGAATTTTCCATCCTTACCTGACCGAAGGCGTCCTCGACAGTCAGGGTGAGTGCGATCAGCGTATTGCGTATCGTAGAAACCTATATCGGCTGTGAGGGATGATGTAACACCTAAAGTTGTGGACTTACCATCCGCATCCGTTTCCCAAGTTTCGATCACAGCATCAGGTACTGGTTTTCCTTCCGTTGTCTTTATGCTACCCTCCACATACATATAGTCGCCCTTTCCTTCAGATGCAATAGAGTCGCCAAGGGCAACTAAAGACATGTTAAGCCTCAACCTCCTCATTAGGCTTTAGGCTACTTACCATCGGCAGCGTCCTCGGTGAAAAACGGACCCAGCACACTACTTTCTGTCGCGCCTTCGGTAACGGGATTGTTGAGGGAATCAACCAAAGCCGAGACGCCCAGGACGTCGGAAAGAAGGATCATTTCTTGACGCAGTGGAGTACAGGTCTGACCAACACGCGTCAGAAAGTTAATAGCTAACATCCATTCTTCAGTAGATAGACTGATAATAGGGAAACGTTTATCAGCCATTCTCGCCTAACTATGCTGATCACTTACTTTGTGGCTTTGACAAATTGGTGTAGGTACTTGACAAGGTTCTGGAAGATAAACTTTGTGCGGCTAACAACATGGTGGAGAGTGAGCAGCCGCGTCCATGAAGAGGTCATATGGTGACTCACGGGTCTGGCGTTAGCTCAGTTAACTTCAAGAGATTAGCAGTGATGATTTCAGGTCCGTCTGGAAACTAAGTGGCGTTGGGAAGAGCGACGCGATAGTAAGGCTCCATACAGTGCGACACGACACGACAGACTCACTGGAAGCTCAAAGTCTGGAGGTGGAATTCCGTTCGAGACAGCGGCATGAACGTCTGATGAAGTATCGATTGGCATATCTGAGAGTTATTGGGCGTAGTAAAGAGCTGATATTGAACGTTGCGGCCAAGATATGGTCTTTCGGAAGGATCATGAGGTAGGTTTTATACATTATCCATCCAGCCCCATTCGGGTGGGCTTGTACGTGGAGAGCCCTTTTGCGGCTGTATGACTTAGCAGGAAATGGCATCAGACTGGGTCTCTAAACGGCTGCCTGCAAAACTATAGAACACTATACGATCCTCCGAAGCTAAACCCGAATTGCCTGTAAAGGGACAGACTTCACTTGCACAAGCACTCCCGTGACCAAACACAAGACCAAACATACCCAAAACAGCCAGCCACTGCAATGTGTATGCATACTGTAATCGAACTGGAAACTGTTACTCCTCTTACTCTCATGTCTGTATTCTGCTGGCGGGAGCCATGGAGCATCTTCCAGAAAGCTCATCATCAATATTGGTCGCTGGTCCCAGGCTTATCTGTTTCCTTTTGACCGCCATCCACGGTCACAGTCTCAAGCGAATAGCGAGGCGGAGATTATGAATTGGAGTTACCTCAGAAATCCACTTTCTATCAGCAGCACTATTTCAAGGGTCACCCATTTCTGCTTTTTTTCTTTTCGCATACTTGCACTTGATGTCCGCGCCAAGCATAGGCGAGCGCTACATCATTCATTGCCAGTGCCAACCACAATGATATCGCATTCGACATCCCTATACTTTGCAGTTCTGACAATATCCATATTTCAGAACAGGCCACGGTACCGCGCTAAATATGCGTGGATTTTAACAAGATTCCGCACAGGATTCCCTGGGTTCTATCTTTTGGCCAGACCATGCGTTGCCATTATCTATTCATAAGCCATGCATCATTCAGTCCAGTACTACAGACGAATTCCTTACCGTATTGATATCACGGGCGCCGATAGTCCCTGTAGCTTGTTTGGCAAAATTAACCCAGAAAGACGCGTTGTCACGGAGTTCGGTATTAGCGCTCTTATTCTGATTATCCTTATAGGCACTAATATACTATGGCCCGTAGGCAGCCTCTCAGACAGTGGGGGCTTGCAAACCCAACTCATACCCAGGATGTTATAGGGTGCGATTCTCAGTCACTTAAATACATCCTATTGTATGTACCGCAGAAATTTATCAAACTTCCTTTTTGCTTGACGCATTGAATCGCTTTATACGACGTACGCAGGAATGCTTCTGCCATCCTGTTTGGAGAGGTATGTGTTTCGTCAACTTTTGTTTACAGTTTTTGATTGTGTTTGTATCATAGCGTTAATCGATCAAAGACCGGGATTTTTAAAAAATGGTTCCAGTTTTGCCTTTTGTCAGAGTCGATGGCTCTGATGTAGGTTACAATCACGATGAATACATGAGGCAAACATCAGCCAAAGGCGTACAAACGTTGGTTACGAATGCATGAGCTTTCTTAACTGCCACCCATCGGCACGAGGCTGACAATACCAAATAATGAGATTCCTTTTGTTGCACGCTCATTGGACGTTCTGACACAGCCAACGTCAGCCTCGCATTCCAGTATAAAATTTTGCATCTCGTCCATTTTGCATCATTTTCAGACGAGCTCATTGATTCGTTATTATCGAATACCAACTGCCATGTTGCGGTCAGTCTGCCCCTTGCTACAGTTGGTATTTGTGGCGTTGACCATAGTTGTATCTAGTCTTACTCGTCACTCGTCACTCCAGTGCCATAGTAGCGAGCATATTGACATGCAAAAATGAATTTATACCGGTCGCTAAATTTACGCGGTGCAACTTGGGCTCTGTCGACATTATCTGGAACAAGTCTCCCCGGAACTTGATTTCCTACATCGCTTTTATTCTCCTTCGAACTAGCAGATTCCTTTGACTGCATGGTACATTCAGTGTTTTGCCTCTGTGATGCCACAGCCTGCGAGGACTACTTATTTATCGGGTTCTGTTCTCTTGTTCTTGCTGGCGTGCAGCTGGTACGTGTCTTTGCTAGTTACGTGACGCTATCGCTCACCAGTATTGCTCTCCGGCACGCTAAGCCATTATTCTGTGTCCTGTGCGTGGGATCAACTTCTGCATACACTAGGACGCCGCTGTCTGCGTAGCGCTTCCTTCTTGCCAGGTGCTTTGGCCTACTGTCTGTTTAGGCGTTGTAGCACATTCCAGCGCTTTGTCTCTGCGACGCCGCAGCCTGCCTGGATTGTCCATTCATCGAAATAAATACATTTGATGGTATGACCTACCTCTGCTTACATTGGGACGCCAATCTTGGTTTTTCGTACTCGCATCCTTTTATTTCTAGTGCCTCGTTAAGATAAACCTCAATCCTGCCTTGGGACGCTGCCGTTCAGCCCGGATCAAACTTTCGATGTCAGATATTATCGACCAACTCGCTTCTGGTCCACTTCGGTTTTCGGGTTTGAGTTGTTTTCCTCCTTTCTAGACCTTATTCTTTCTATGCTTTTATCAACCACAACGCACTGCGCCGACAGTGTTGGTTCGTCTCATAAAATTCATTTTTTACTTATTTGCAGGTTTACCTGATACTCGATGGAACAGGACAGGGAAATAATAGGTGTGTCCATCCTCATCATGCTTTGTCAATACACGCCATGGTTGTGATGGAAGCATCTATTTTTTCCTCAGAGCTAACATGGGACTCGACGGCGCTGTAGGAACTATGTATCAAGTTTGATCCCGCCATGCATCGACTAATCTCTGTTTTCACTGTTGCTTTCTTTCGACGCGTACACGCCTGCACAGGGTTTTATTAGATCAATAACTCGTTATATTATGTTCTCCGGCGAAGTCTGATGTTGGCATTGGTTGGAATTAATGTGACGCCAGGTGCCCACTTCAGCATCGTTTCCCTTTGCTCATCGAACGGTTTATGCATCATATTCTCTGGTAAAAGCACCTCGTATCGACGAACCAGGCTGGCGAGGATGCAAACGCTTTCTGTGAGAGCGAATCTTTGGCCGATGCATCCACGAGGGCCAGCCGAGAACGACAAGACTATACATATAAGGGTCAGTTGTTGAGAAAAGAAGGGACAAGTGGGGGATGGAGTTCATACAGGCATCCCGTGGCCAGCGATATGTATCCGAGTCAATGAATCGCGCAGGCTTGAAGTCCTCGACATCGTCGCCCCAATATAATGCTACAATGGTGGTTAACAAAGTTGTCGCGGTCTGGGTTGTAAATGTGCAGTCTCACGATTCATATGTAAGGCCCATATATCCACGATCACAACACTACCAGCTGGCACTGCCACTGAAAACGGCTTGCCAGGAGTCAGGGAGCCCTTCGCACCCACAGTAAAACATTGTGCAGGGAGCACAGCGTCGGTATGCACATTTTTTGCTAATCGTGGTACTGCAGGGAACAATCGGAGTGTTTCACGGAAGAATGCCAAAGTATATGGCTGAGGGAAGAAAGGTCTGAGCAAGCAAGTTTGTGCTGTAGAGGAAGTGACCAACCAGCTGGGTGAAATCTTGTTTGTAGGACTGTGATAGATGTTGGCGAAAAAACTGAGATATCATCCTAGTCGATGCTTACTGAAGTAGAACCAACTGTAGGACCTCCTTCTGGCCAAAGCCTGTGCACCTCTTCGTATATCTTGCCTTGTGCTTCTGGATGCAACGCCAGTAGACTGATGGCAAATCCCAAAGTATGAGCGGATGTTTCTAGCAGAGACGTAAGCTAGAAACATCCATTGTCAATGAGAAATATGATTACCATGTCCAGCGAGGAGAAAGCCCTAAAATGACAGCGAGAGTCAAAGGGAGGATTTTAGATAAGAAGCTACAATACTAACAAATATATTAGAAAGAAGCTCGCTATCAGACAAACATTTGCTGCCACCCTCCGGCGACATGTTTGCTTTCACAAGATTATTCAATAGAGCAGCACCTGAGGTTGCTGACTTTTCTTCCACAACAGATGCGCGAGCCGACGAGACAAGTTCTAACATGTGACGTCCCAGCTCCTCGAAGGCCTGCCCAGTTTCTTGAATGCGTGCGGACAAATAAGGCACTGTTACAACAGACGACAAGGTAGAGAACCATTCTGGGGTGAGAATCCTGAACAAAACGTTCTCGACTGCCGTTATCACAGCCGAACGAAAAGTGAGAGCATAACCGGCAGCAGGCGCTACAGAAGAGTCATCATCCCAAGAAACTCGCCTCCCAAAACCAGCAGCAGAAGTAATGAGGAGGGTAGCCTAAAGATATGATATTGAGAATTAGACCAGTAAGCCATTTGGATTATTGTACCTGCGTCATGGCTGGTACCACTTCGATAGCGAGGTCTGAAGAGGTGCTACCGTAAGCAGACATCTCAGTGCATTGGATACTGTCGAGCTGATCGAACCAGTCGTTGATTACTCTAATGGTTTCGATCCAGACTAATTCATTGTTGGCCTGGTATAAACGGATAAGTTGTATCTTAGAAGTGAAATTCTAATCGCACCTCACTGAACGCAGGAGAAGCAACAGCACGATGTCTTTTCCATTCACCCATTTCCGTGCTGATAATGTTTTTTCCATAAAAATTGAGAGGTTCATACTGTGATGCATAAGCCCGAAAGTCTGGATGCTGCGTTGAAAACAGTTACCGCGGTAGCATCCTTGCGGAATGTGAGACGATCGGAAGTTACTGTTTTGACTGCATCCAAATCTGCGAGCCAGAAATATTGCTGGGAGTTCGAAAATCTCACTGAAGCAAACACAGTGCTGCAAAACTGCCTGTACACTTTGAGAGATGAAGTTACAAAATAATAATAAGCTGGTTCATCGTAAAGGACTCACACGATAATTTGCCAGCGAAATGACCTATGCTGCCTTGTCGAGGGAAGACAGGCGCGAGAACGAGAGCCAGAGAATAGAATGGGTCAATCCAAAGGAACCGACGCCCCGGATATCCACTACAAGATCATTGTTTAGACAGGTTCAAATCAATCAGACTTTCTTTAACGGTGTAAATCCTTTAGATTAGAAATCTCGACCCATGAATTTATACAACTATGAATTCAAATATACAGAAAAATGAGCTGAGAACTTACGATATTACACTGAAAGCCTTTTGAAGGGACACATATTTGTTGAACACGATTTTGAGAACCACTGATGCTAACAGTGTTCCAGAGAGCATCCAGAGTGCACTGGAGCTATGACCGAGACTGGAAGCATCTGACATCGTGTTGTGTGACTGTGTTGTTTCGTATCACACCTATGGTGTTACCTATGTCAGCCTGAGAGTCTGTCGACTCAGTGTCAAGGCTGAACCGGCCTGAATTTCGCCAAGGCGTATTTCCCATGAACACTAACATATACCTATCATGGTTAGCATGGTTAGCGGAACTTCACTTCTTCCGTCTACTTTGGGAGTGAGGAACGATCTCACGGAAGCCGGGACTCATGCCGAGACTGAGCCCCAAGAACCTGCCGCGGAATATCCCGGCAGTCTCTTGTCCTTAGGCAGGACCCTGATCGCTAACGTAATAGCCTTGAAGGGGGGTTCTTTGTTGATAGAAATGGGGCCTCAAAGGCTCCCTCTGTGCGATGGTCTAGGCTTAAATATATATATGGAATTACCAGATCTTGATGTGACCCGAAATGCTCCGCAAAACGTCTGTGAAGCTTAGCCAGACCATTCCATGACAGTCTGCAATACATCTGCAATGTTGACATGCAGCGGGATTTCTCCCATGCTTCGATACCATTAGGGTTGTCGGAGATTTCCGGAAGCCCACAATCAACGGCACCAGTGGCTTTGCAAGAGACAAAATAAATTAAAATATTTTATTCCTATTGTAAGTATGGTATTCGTACTGAACCCCAGTGAAAAGTCGCATGTCTAAAAATTGGGCGTTAGCGAGACAGCAGGAAAAAGCGGAAAAGATCAAGAAAAAAAGAGAAATATATAGAAATGTTTTTCGTAGTAAAATTCCAGATTTCTCTTGCTGTGTCTCATAGAAATGGGAATTTTCAAGTAACTTCAACGAGAATAAACGAGAGACAGCGAGAGAAATGTGTAGTTACATACATGTAATGATTTTTACCAAATTTTAGAATTACTCAGAGATCACCCAATCAAATAGAAAAAATGCCAAAAATATTGAATTATGAACGAACTGGAATAAACAAAAGAAAACGCTAATGAGTGTCGCAAAAAAAACAGTACCAAATAGCCATAGCATCCTCAAATCAGAACCCCACTCTCCTCTGCCTCCCTATTGCTCTCGCTATCCACTATCCACCATCCCAACATTTGAGTCATATTTGAGCCATCACATGATTGCTACATTGTCTGAGCTGCCAATTGAGCAGCTACTTTCTGTAAAAGTAGTTAGAATTGTAGCAAGTATTAGAAAAATCACACACCATTCGTTCCAATTGATCATGGTATTTCTGTAAGAAACGAGTCAAAATCAGTATCAAAGTAAGACAGCCAAAAGACTTACCTTTTTATCTTCCGCTGAGAGAGCCTTCCAGTATTGTTCAAATTCAGTTGTAGTCCCGGTCAGATTGTTCTCGCACCATTTCACCGCACAAAGGTTCCTATAAAGAGTGAGTACATGCACATATATCTACTCCACTGTGACTTACCTTGGTGTTAAAGTCCCTGTCGGCCTCATTTTCTTTCCGCTAGGCTTCGCAATTGTGGCTTCTTTTTTCAGTATTGTTTGGGCTGTATTGGTTGGCAGGTTGGCTAAAACCTGACGAACCATTGTTGGAACGCTGGCTACAGGACCAGTTTTGGTGGTTTTTGCTAGGGTGTCACCTATTGATTGGGAAGAATTTGTGTCCATTGTTGGAGCGCTGGCTACAGGACCAGTTTCGGTAGTTTTTGCTGGGGTGTCATCTATTGATTGGGAGAAATTTGTGTCCAAATTGTTTATGGATCGCTTGTCCCTCGTCCATGTAGAATATGTTGATGCTGATATTTTAGCCCTTACATATGTAGCAACTAGATTAGCTTGATATGTTACAATAAAATTGCAAACAATACATACAAAGGGTTTTTGATGATGATTTTGAACAATGGCTGTAAGAATATATAAATGTAAGGGCATGCAAAACTCAAATCAATGAATCATGCCTTCTCATTTTCTGTACTGGTAGGTTGTGTCTCCTCCGAGTTGAGTCTTTGCATGATGTGCTCATTAGAATTGATTGCAGGGTCCAGATTCGACTTTGAGTTTTTGTGTGTATATTCAACATCTTTGGATTGTGACTCAGAATCCTCAGATTGTCGTGACAAATCTTGTGTTACAATTGACATACCAGCACCTACTTACGCTTCACTTTTGTACTTCTACTTTTATTTTCCAAGTCACATGACCAGTCATGTGACCATTTACTTTACATTACATTTTTGACTTTTCATAGTCACATGACCAGTCATGTGACACATTACCTGACCAGTGTCTAGACTCATCATGTGACCGGTCACATGCTAGATATCGGACTTTAAACTTTATTTACAACTGTACAGTACCTCATGTATTTTAGTATATATACAGGAGCAATACATGGGGAAGGACTCAGCGAGTCCTCCTGTTGTCTAGCACAACTAACTCACTGCAGCCTAAGGGGTAACCACTCCCCATCATATTCTTTATAGTGTGTTCCTGTGTGTGCCAGAGTAAAAAACTCTTGGTTGTTACATCTTGATCATGCGTGAAGCTTGTATCACTATCAACCCTGGACTTCTTGTGCTTAGGTTCTGGATCAACTTCCTGGTGTTCAGTGTCGAGAAAATGCTTCCGAGTTGAGGGCTTCAAGTTTTCTTCAAGAGACTCCTTTTTAACACAAGCATTCTTCACATGATACCCATGTCATGATGGATAGTCAATGATTGCAAGCTGATTAATCTTCCAGTGGTTATGACAAAGACCGATGTCATGCACCAAAGTTGATTGGTAGCATGGACAGGTGTCAATAACAAAGCGAATATTCAAAAAGACTCGCCTTTGCGCCACACAGGCAAAGTGCCACATGGAATAGTAATTAATATTGCCTTTTTCGAACTTGTGGCTGATCAGCACCACCTCTATTAGGCAATCCAGTCACGCTCACCTTTGCTTTTCCATTCGGTACTTTCCACATTTCGGCATTTCGGCAAATTTTCGTGTTGCCACTGGCTACACATTGCATTGCGCCCTCGCTTTTGTTGTTTCCCTTACTCCCCTTCCTTTGCCTAGCCCCACCATGGGCCCCTTCCTCTCCTTTTTATTCTCACCTGACGGTCGTTTCTGGATCCCCATTCTAATCCACTTTTTCGTCACCTCCACCCTCCTCCACCTCATCTTATTTGCACCCCCACCATTTCTGATGTCACCACTTCCTATCCGCTTCCGTTGCCAATCTGTTGACTACCACGTGCCACTGCTGATATCAGCAAAGCCCCGGCGGCCGGTCCAGATAGGGCAACAGGTCCATCTTCATGACGTTGATCTGCCATCATATACTATCAAAACATTGTCAGGCAACAAATACGAAGCTATATAACAAAGCACAATGCCTGGTCAAGTCCTTGCTGGAAGGCGGTGAATCAGGGTATGAGAATGAAGAGTATCGGTATGAGCGCAAATCCAAACTAATATTGAACTAGAGAATAATACATCGAGTATGTACTTCTCTATATAGTGAACGGCAATGGTCAGACCAAGAAAGGGAAGTACTGAGAAAGTGGTCTGACCAGCTAGCTAACCAATAAGAAAAAAGGAGAAAGTGGTCCGATCTATCGTATTTACTAATTGTATGAGAAAATGTATTGGTAAGGGATGTGCAATTGGCTGTATCAGTAAGCCCATGAGAAGGCGCTGACTCACAACCTTCTTCGCTTATCAATATTCCTCCGAAGTATTCCCAGACATAGCACTGGATCGTGGCTATGTCATCTGGATATCTTCTCGAGGGTCGACAACAAGTCTACCTCGTTGTAGGTACGATAGAACCTGAGTGTGAAGAGAGAATAAGAAGAAAAATGATAAAAGTAATAAGACACCTGCTGTAATCTCTAGTCCAAGGGCAAGAGGAGTGACGGGGATCGAGTCTGCTAACCACGACATGACAGGAATGCGATAAGAAAAATTGATTCCTCACAAACATTGGTCGCTCGTCTTGCCTGGTTGGAGCGTGGGTGGGTAGTTTTTAAGCTGGAGAAGATTCATCCCCTTGCATCGCCCATGTTCATCGCTGTCCCATTCACTTGGGTACACTTATCTTTTGTCCATCGTCTTATCATTGCCACAACTGATTGGATTGCTTGGACAAGAATGAGCTTGAGGTGAACTGGATTCTCCTTTTTACATGATATGAGTGTATTTGAGGATGCTTGAATGAGATGTTGATCCAGTACTGAGAATAGCAAAATGAGAGCATAGGTTGACTCATTGTTGCCATTGGAACGAAGCTGGGTAAAGTATATGACCTCAGCAAAATTAATCCTGCCGTCAATTTGAAGCTAGATGTGAAGTTAACATTATATACACTGGGAATGAGAGACCAATGAGATGAAGCTGGGTACCTTGATGTTGCGTGATATGCGTGTCTTTTCTGCACTAAATACAGAACAATGTTGATGATGAGAATTGTTGTTAGAAAACCACACACAAAAACAAACTAACACACAATCCTCCCAGGTTCCACGAAACTTGTTTATGTTAGTTTTGGTGATTCTGCACCTTTGTGCTACCTATATATTTTCATTCCTTTCTCTATTTATTCTTCTATCATTCACTATTGATTGTGTTCTCTATCATTTCGCCTTTGTGGCTGCTTTGTTTACCTTTGTTTACAAAACTTCGGACAGTACTGCAGAGTCCAATGCTTCCTATTCTCTAGTTACTCACATTGGACTCTAGGTACTGTATACCTGTCATACTCTCTAATAATATAGTTACTCACATTGGACTCTAGTTCCAGTCCCTGATTGCTCTCAGCAAGTGGCTAGACACTTCCTTCAAGCTTTGTTCTTAATAGGTTATGAGCCCTGTGCTCTAGCCATCTTCCTGACCTCATATCTCACCATCCAAGCGTCCTACTGCTTATCCATTGTAACCATCGTCTTCTGGGACTCTTATTATCTCATCCATCACCTCAGATTACTCTGATCTCATCTTGATCTCCAACAACAACTCCTTGTTGCAAGTTACCCCCATTTTGGACGCTTTTTTGGTCTTATCTGCACCATATCTCGCCCAATCCTTATCTGATCGTCCTGTAACTTCTACCATCGTCTTCTACGGCCTAAATAACCCTAAGAGACCTGTCAGAGCGGTTGGATTTGAGCTGGATCTTTCTGTGAGCCTTCATCATCATTTGATCACCTTTTGGCCCCCTATTCCATATCTCCACATCCTGTGCTCGGATCTTGGCCCTACTTGAGCCATCTACTACCCTATACTATTGCACTTTACACCCTCAATTTGGGGGCAATCCATCCACTCCATCATCCTCTGTGAAGTTCGCATTTTTGGCACTTTCACCCCTATTGGACCCCTATTGCATATCTCCACATCCTGTGCTTCACTTCTTGTGATATTTGGGCCATCTATTACTCTATAAAAATGTTCCCTATACCTCTGATTTGGTGGCAATCCATCCATCTTATCTGTCTCTGCATCAATTTCGACTTTTTGCCCTATTTTTCGCTTTTTGGCATATCTGGTGTGTGCATAAAGCTCCAATCTTCTCTACTCTGTCCATTATTAGATAGAACAAGCCTATAGACTGTGAAGCTCGCCTGCATTGCCTCAGTTTGCTGTTGCCTAGAGCCTCTCTCAGTCTGTGGTGTTTGGGGAGCTTAAGTCACTTTGTTGACTCATATACAAGCCCTATTAACCAACACTGTCTCGAGGTGATTTCTCTGTTAATATCAGTGTGGAATTGAAAGGGGAACACAGGCATAACCCTGTAGCAGCACTAGGAGGCCTTAGCACCCTCCTGGATTGCTTTTGGACACTTTTTGGACCCTATTTGGACCTATCCTTGCGCTTTCTGACCCTCTCCATATCCTCTCTCTACCACCTCACCATCTTATCTGCTCGCCTCCTACTGTTTCCCATTGTCTTTGCCACTATTCCATTGCCTATAGCCGTCTCCTACATCATTTATCATTGCTCTATCGTCTTATACAACACCCATCATGTCTGACTCTGATTCCAAGTTCCATCCCTTGTCTGGCACTAACTACCCCCAGTGGAGTGGTGAAATGCAAGCTTGGTTGATGACCAAGGGACTGTAGAGGCTCGTCTCTGGCGCTGAAAAGTGTCCTGGGACTGACGCTGAAGCAATAGAGAAATGGGAGTTGAGAGCTGAAAAGGCTGCTAGTGCATTATACCTCAATGTCACCAAAGAGCAGCATATCCATCTTGATGGCATCATTGATGATCCTGTCAAGATCTGGGAGAAACTGGCAATTGTGCACGTCTCTAAGAAGCCTGGGACGAGATTTAATGCCTATGACGACTTCTTCTCTATCAGAAAGAAGGAGGACGAGTCCCTGCAGTCTCTCATGACCAGAATTGACGAAGGCATGCATCAGATTCAAAATCTTCGTCCTACTGGCTTCTCATTATCTGAATTGGACGATGAATTGACATGCATGGCCATGATTAGGGCGCTTCCTGATCAATATGCCCACTTCACTTCATCTCTACTACTTCTGGGCACCTTGGACAAGACCCAGCTCAGGGATGCTTTCCTTGCTGAAGAGGTCAATCACCGTCGTCGTGCTGAAGTCGATTCTGCCTTGCATTCTTCGTCTACCACTGCCAATAGCACCTGCACCCATCCTAACTGC